GGCCTTTGCAGGCACTAGGGGGCAGTATTTAACCTTTTAAATAAAGGTTTAGATTTATTTATGCATAGAAGAACTGGGGTGTAGGCCCGAGGTGCAGGGGCTGAGAGGATCCACCAGAAACAGAGTGGGGAGCAGAACAGGAGGACCTACTGAAATCCACTGCTGAGGGGTGCAGTGGGCAAGACGAGAGGTCTGCACCATGTGGGTCAACCCTCGGCTGGGCGCAGTGGTGAGAGCGTGATAGCACTGAGACTTAGCTCCTATGCCACCAGGGAGCCCCCCTTAAATAAAGGTTTAAAGGTGTGCACTTTGAGTCAAAACCTGCTGCAGTTTGAGCCCATCGCTGCTCCTTAACTCTTGTGCCTTCATAGCCTAATCTGAAAAGGTCCAGTGGTAGCACCTGCCTCGTCGAGGCATGCAGTAATGAGCGGACCCTTGCCCGGCACAAGGAAGAGGGCCAGCTCTGTGCTCAGATGTTACCTTCTGGCCTCACAATAGCCCACTGTGATGCGTTTATATATTTTCTAAAATTTTTTTGTTCCTGACACTGTTTTCCTCCGAAGTCCTAGCGGCTGTATTATAAAAGTTTGTCATCTTCTGGTAAAACTGTTTCAAAGCCCTTTTCTAACTTTGAGGGTTCCCCTTGGGCTTGATGTGCTGGGACTTGAAGAGCTAATCTGTGTTCTTCCTTTCTGTCCTTCTCTACTTTTTTTCTGTAATTTCTTTTTCCCTCCACCACACCACCCCATAATCCTTCTGCTTCCCTCCCCCATCCCTACCACCCCCTCCCCTAGTCCCTCTGGTAGCCAGTATCTTTTTGCTGAGTTCAGGGTGTTTTTCCCTTCCTCTTTTGATGGGCATCCATCATCTGACCTCCAAGTCTTTGCTTGGCAGAGCGGGGAAGGTCCTTTTTCTTTCCATCTTCCATAGCACTGTGAGTCAGCACCAGTCACATGGTTTGGAGCGAAGTGGAAGGGCAGCAAGGCAAGTCCCCTGTTATTCCGTGGAGCTTAGTTCGGGGTCTTCACCTTGGGCTGATGCTGGCGAGTCTGTGCCCATGGCTGTGGAGGGAGCACTCGTGGGCCCTGCCTCTGGGTGGCGAGCCGCTGGCGGAGCTGAGGGTGAATGAGGACCCCGGCCCACAGTGGCCCCCGCAGCGTGAAGGTGCCCTGACTCTTCTCGCCAAAGCAGCAGCTGGTGGGGGCGGCCAGAGTCGGTTGGTAGCTGCCCTGGCTTCTGCCCTGGGTTGCAGTGGCGGTTGGTTTTACGACTTGGAGACATCTGTATTCTTTCTCAGGCCTCCCTCTGATCTTTCTCAGGCCAACCAGGATCTCCCAACCCGAAGACAGCAGGCAGCCCAACAATGTGATCAGACAGCCTTTGGGTCCTGATGGGTCGCAAGGCTTCAAACAGCGCAGATAAACGCGGACGAGAAAGGATGCCGCCGCTGCCACCATCACGCCTCCTGGGTCGTCCGCCACGGGTCGCACTGCCGTGGCTGACAGCTGGACTTGAGCAGAGGGAACGACCTGACTTACTTGCACTGTGATCCCCTTTGCTCCGCCCACTGTGACCTTGAACCCCATGCACTGTGACCTCCCCCCTTCCCCCCCTTCCTACTGTGATTGGCACGTCTACAAGGGCTGTCCCAAGTCAATGGAAAGGGAAAGGGTGGGGGTTAGGGGAGGGTTGGGGGGACCCACCTAGGACTCAGAGTAGAGAGTCAGGCAGTGCCACTTGGCCACTTGGGGTAAAGCCAGTGCCAGCAATAACAGTTTATCATGCTCATTAATTTGGGATTTCAAAACACAAATGAGAACTCCCACCCACCCACCCCCAAGTGCATGTCTTCATCACTTAGAAGCAAGTTCCATTTGAAAATATCCTTTCTTTTTTTTTTTCCTTCCTATTTTTGTTTGTTTATAGAAATATCTGATTTGCAAGAAAAAGTGCATGGGAGGGGTTTTAGCAGTTTAATGAATTTTTAATTGAGAAAGGGTAGTTTGATAGCCTACTTAAAAATGTTTCTGGGAAATTCACGAGAAACATTAACCAATAGGATTTTGGTGAGCTTAGCTTCTGTAGTCCCACTGCCGCCCAAAAAAGGGGCGGGGCTTTGCAGCCCCCAGGACAGATGAGCACCCCATGCCTATATCTCCCTCTCCCAGCTCAGGCCCAGGACATCTTGGCTCTACCTGGAGACTGGGCTAGCTCTGTGGGCTCCAAGAGCCTGGGGAGGGTGCCAACCCCACCTCTAGTATTTTTGGGAGATAGGGAAAGTGAACAGATTTCCCTTCCCATACCCCTCAGGGTAGTTCCCTACCAGCCAGGCTTGCTACTTCTAGAAGAGGGCAGGGAGTGAGACCGCACTCCTGGGCTGAGAAGTCAGGGATGCGGGATATGTTCAGTATTTTGCTGTCAGCACAAGGGAAACCGTGAGTCTGGTTCCAGGAGGCGGAGCCTTCTGCCTCATGTGGCCAGAAGGTGGCTGGACCTCCCACTCCAGCGGGGCGTGGACTCTCAAGGGTGCGTGGTCATTATTCCTGGTACATTTCCTTTGTGAAATCACTCCCGTGGGAGCAGACCATTCTGAATACATGAGGGAGAAGAAAAGCTTGTGTGTTGCAAGGATTGGTGGCGACAGACTGATTTCCCCATAGGCCTAGGCTGCCCTTCACCCCTTTTTCCAGAGCGAGGCCCTGGAATGAAGGCCGTTTCCCCTCTGTCCCTGGAGCCTGCAGTTTGCTTTGCCTCCTGGAGGCGAAGAGGCTACAAGGGCAGCCACACAGAGCAGCTCTGTGTGTGTACAATCTGGGGCCTCCCAGACTTTCTGGACTCTTCCGTTGCACTGCGCCTTATCCCTCAGCCAGCCAGCCTCCCCACTCAATGGTGGATTTTGGAGTGGTTGGTGTGACGTTTTGTAACTATAGCAGCTCCCAGTGGCCCAGGGGCAAGCTAGGGTTTGCAGGCTCCCTCACCTTTGGTTTGCCTGGCCCTCAGCCTCGCCCCATGGGAAGGAAGGCCAGGCCCGACAAGCCATGTCCCATTACATCTTCCCTGTGGGAGGAAGGGCAGCTGCCAGTGGAGCGAGCGACTAGTCCACGGCACAGCCTTTGACTGTGCGAACCCAGGAAACTCTGCGAGCAGAGCTGGAACGGAGCTTCAGTCGTTGGGAACCCACAGGGTGTGGAGTTGTCCCCACACGTTGTCCTAGGGGGAATGACCTCCAGGAGGGGGCAAGGGAGAGGCTGGCTGCTGTCACTCTAGTCCCCTGCCCTGACCAAGTCTCTGCATTCTAAATGTATAGATCTGTCCCTCACCGAACAGTGGTTTCTGGCCGGAAGCGAGACTCCTTGCAGTTGAGAAGGGCGCGAGGTAGGCCAGGTGGGAAGGCCAGAGGTGCTGATAGCTCAGCCATTGGGACCACCTGTTCTTGCCCCCCCTCTAGTGGGAGCGAAGGGAAGGCTGGCTGATGGGTGTCTGGAGTGAGGATGTAGCGGGGTTGGTGTTTCCACCGCCCTGCAGCCAAAGATGGGGCTCTGCCCGCCGTGTGCCTGTCATCACCCACCAGCAGTCACACCCTAGCCTCCCCGATGGAGGCGGCAGGCAAAATAAAAGAAATGAAAACAGGAAACTGTATTGTGTTGGGGGAGGTGGGAGGGAAGGTGGGAGAACGGTTTGCATTGTGTGTGTGTGTGTGTGTGTGTGTGTGGTTTTTCTTTTTGTGTGTGTGTGTTTTTCAGTAGTTGTCTGTAACTTTCCTTAAGTGCGCTTTTTTTTTTTTTTTTTTTAAAGTAAGCTGCAGGCTTTGGCTTGGAAACCCCCAGGGGGATGGAGGGCAGAAACCTGAGGCTGCTGCCCCTTTATCTGCCTTCATGGTACTGTCCCCTTCCCCCAGCTCCTCCCTGACCCCGTGAGCCAGGCCTCAGACCTTCCAGCTAACCGCTTCCCATGAGCCACTATTCTGATGTCAGCCTATAACCAAAGGAGCTGGGGGTCCGGACCTGGTTACCAACCCTTCTCAGCCCACTCAATCAGGGTGCTCCCCACCTGCAGGCAGGAGGCAACACCCTATCTGCTACCATCAGCCCCTTCCAGAGCCCACTGCCCCGCTCTGCCCTGACCAGCCCAGCCATACCCTGCTCTGCCCCATCTGGGGATGCTCTGCTCAGGGATGGGCCGGCAGGGTTGCCCCCAGCCTCCCTAGTAAGCAGAGATTCTGGAAACCTCTGGGGTCCTGTTTTCCGGCTGTGTGATCCTATGGGTGCACATGGGCCCCTTGGGTGTCTGAACAGAGGGCATGGGAGGGAGGGCCGCACCCCTGCAGTCTGCTCTGCTGGTCTGGCGGGCAGCTGCCCACCCTACCCCGCACCGCGGGCTCCTGAGTCGGCAGATTAAGCATTTTATAAATTGTATTTTAAATACATGTTTTAAACTTGTCAGAGCCTTGTCCTTATTTCAGTCCCTGACCTCCTAACTCTTGTGGCTGCTTGTTTGACTGCTGGGGGGCTACCTCTGCTCAGTCCCAGGGAGGTGCTCTCTCTCTGTTAGAGAAGTAGGGCCAAGGTGGTGTGCGGGTTGGGGGGACAAGGACCCACACCCTTAAGCTCCAAGAAGAGAGTACCCCTGGGTCCTGGAGGCTTTATGGTGAGAGCATGGCGGAGACCTCTGCGCTGTGTCTGCCCCTCTCAGGCAAGGTCTTTACCCCAGAACTTCCCTTGTGATCACCACTCCCTTTGAGCAAGTGGGGAGAGAGAGAATTGCTGCCCTGGAGGGGTTCCTACTCCAGAGAGAAACTCACCCATGCTTTGAGTGCACAGGTCAAGACTTGGCACCAGGGCCACCTCTACCGGGAGCCCCCATCCTGGGCAGGGAGGGGTTTGAGATGAGTCTTGCTTCAGGAGCTCCCCAGCCGCAGGGAGGCTGGGGTCCCGCACTCAGAGCCCCTAGAGGGGTGGGAATCTGGGGGGCCTTCCCCGGCACCAGGCAGAGGCTGAGGTTCTTGGTGTTTATTGGCTTACCAGGCCACGAAAGCAAAATCCAGCCGTAGCCCCTGCCCGATGACCCATCTGCAGGCCCGAACCGCTGCCCAGGGGCAGGATCTGCAGCAGGCTCAGTGTGTACGAGCCAGCACAGAGCTGAGCCACTTGCGGCTGTCAGAGCTGTGTTCCCTAGGGAGAGAGGAGGGAAGGGTGAGGGGAAGTGAGCCATGCTCCCTTGCCCAAGGGAAGGGGAGGCCCGACCTGGGAATTGATGGCACATGATGGCAGTCAGTGCCCTTTTATCCCAAGGTGCCTGGACGGGCAACTGCCGCCAACTCTGTTTCCTGCTAGTCCTAACATGGAGTGAGACTTGGACATGGGAGTTGAGCGTTAAACCCCCTGCGTGGGAAGGCAATTGGTACCAGCCCAAGAGAAGGACAATAGGTGCTTCCGAGGTCTGGGTTCAAGAAGGCGTAAGTACTCTGCCTCAGTCTACCTGGGACACAGGCCCTCAAAGGTGAGTCCCCCCTTCATCCTTTTCCATTTCTCCCTGGAGCAACATCCCAGGCACCATCTCCTGGAAGGATGGATTCCCCTGGGGTTGCACCAGGGGCCTCATGAGGAAAGAGATGCATGAGCCTGGGCTGGGGCACCCACCTGCTTCCTTGAGATCCTGACTGAAAGAGGAAGCTCCGAATGTCAGGCTCCAGGCAGACCGGGGTGAACTGATCCAGAACGTAGTGGCTGCCATGCTTCCGGCGGACCGTCTTCTTTTCCAGCCGTGGGCACAGCGGGATGCAGGGCACCTGGGCATAGGGGCTCTGCAGGTTGGCAGCTGTCAAGGGAAGAGGAGGCAGGAGTGGGGAGGTGTTGCAGCACGCCCAGCCCTGGGAGGCAGGCGGACCAGGAGAAATCCCAGCTTTGCCACATAGTTGCTTCAGCTGGCTGGGTGTGGCCAGTCTCTTCACCTCTCGGTCTGTGAGCTGGAGATGATTGTGATACACACCTCACAGAGCTAGTGGTGAACTCAAAGGGCTACTCTCAAAGCGCTGGGCTGAATGTTGGGCTGATATTGTCTTCAAAAGGAACGGTTATCTTTGTAATGGGTTTTGGCAAAGTATGGTAGGTGCTACGGACTCTGGAAAGCTCCTAACCCATCACTTGGCACATGCAGGCACCTAATAAATGGGACGATTTTGGGGAGGCACCTTGCTGTGTGAAGGAAGCACAGGTTTTGCAGTGGATCAGAGTATAAACTTAGACACACTAGCGGTGGGGCCTCGGGCAAGTTGCTACAACTTCAGGTTCTCATCTGTAAAGTGGGGTATATATGTGATTTTCAGGATTAAATTCTAGCAGTCTAGACAGTGACCCCAGTAGTCCAGGCTCTCGGCACAGGCAGGTGGAAAGAGTCTGTGCAGAAGGCCTTTGGCCAGAGACTGCAGCTGGGTGGTGATCAGCCCCTGGGGTTGGCCGTGTGAGGCTTTGGAAAGAGGCCAGGTAGGCTGGAGAGCAGGGCCCCCACCGTGCTCAGGGCCCTCACCATAGTTCTGTTGCTTCAGCCGACTCAAGATCCTGAGGACCCTTCGTTCTGGGACTTCAAAGTTGTCTGCCTGCTGGGGGGTGTAGGGATGCTTCTTCCGGGACCGCAGTTGGCATATGGCTGCTTCCATCTCTCGGGCCTTATAAGTGCCTTCTTTCAGCTTCTTCTGGTAATAGCTGGGGAAGCAGTGCCCACTCAGCTCAGCCTGCTGTGTTTAACTTAGCCACCTCCTCCCTCACCCTTCCTGAGCCCCTGTTCTGTCTGACCAGCTCTGGAACAGGGACACAAGCCCGGGAGTTGGGGGCCTGGGTTTGGTCCCGGCTCTGCCATTTATCTGCTTCCTGTAACCACAGGCAAATCACTGCCCAGCTCTGGGCCTCAGCTACCCCTCTGTGAAAAGGGAGGAAATGGTTATCTGCACCACAAGTCACTGGACTCCTTTGAACTTCAGGCCTCCCCTGGATCAAATGGATAACACCGTTCATGTGCTACAGAGTTAAATACAAATGTTAAATGACAAGACTCATCAATCACTCAGCATGTCTTGGCCGTGGAAAGCGCTTGGTGAATAGTACCTGATTTCTATCACTGATTTTTACTTAGATGTGCAAGAGCTTTGTGAATCATCAGGGCAAGACGCTCCTCATCTTCTAGATTTCGGCTTAAAGGCCACCCCTCCAGGAAGTCGTCTTCTGTAGACTACCTTGGTTATCACTACAGGCCCCCTGAAGGCCTGTTCTTACCCCCATTGTCAACTTATTTTCTTAGCTCATCGTTCACCCCCATTAGACTGCATTACCATTCATTCATTCATTCATCTTCAACAAGTACTCAGTGAAAAAAACCACAAGTACTCACTGAGTGTATACTGTGTATATATTCAATCTTCTAATCACTTGGAAAAGACAGGTGCAGGAGGTACCCATAGAGGGCTCCTGAACCCCCATTTTCCCACCCCCGCTCACTCCAGCCACTGCCCATGGCAACCACTTTGCAGACTTCAGCCTCTTGCCCAGGGACAGCCAGATACAGCCTCACTTAAGCCTGAGCATCTTCTTGACCTGGAGCTACTCTGACATGTAACCCAGAAGTGCAGGGGAATTAACCACCTGTGGAAGCCACCATTGGCCAAAAGAGGCAGCAGCTGAAGTCCACAGGCTTCTTTCTTCCCCTCCCTTCCCCTTCCCTCTTCCCCTGCTCCTTCCTAAAATTCCGTTTTTTAAATTTTTAAAAAAAGATTTATTTTTATACAAAACCAGGGTACAGGTCAGAGGCACGGGAGGGTGAGAGGATTCACCAGAGACAGAGCGGGGAGCAGAACAGGCAGATGGACCGAAGACACTGCTGACGGGAGCAGTGGGTGAGACAGGAGAGGTCTGCCGCACCATGTGGGTGTCTCCCTGGCCGGCCAGGAATCGAACCCATGCTGCAGAGGCTGCGGACAGCTCCACAGCACTGCACTCAACCCACAGCACCACCAGGGAGGCCCCCTAAAATTCCTCTTTAAACCAATGACCTAGGGCCTCCCTTGTGGCGCAGGGGTTAAACTCAGCACTATTAAGCTATCCCAGCCACTGAAGCACGAGTTTGATCCCCGGCCAAGGAGCTGACCCACATGGTGAGCAGACCTCTCTTGTCTCGCCTGCTGCTCCCCTCAGCAGTGTATTTCGGTAAATCTGCCTGTTCTGCACCCCGCTCTGTTTCTGGTGAATCCTCTCACCCCCCCCCCACCTCTGGCCTACACCCCAGTTCTTCTATGCATAGATAAAATCTTAAAAAAAAAAAAAAAACCTGCTTTGAAGAAGCTTGTCCACCACAGGGATTTTCTCACTGCCTACCACAGCTGGAAACCGAATCCAACCCTGATGTCTATAAGCAGAATGAATATATAGTGAATAATATCTGAATAAATAATAATAGGAAAATAAATATATTATCATACTGCACAATAAATAACATACAACAGTAAAAATGATTCATGATTTCCCACACAAAAACATGCATGAATCACAAAAACTGAAGACTTACATGATTCCACTCAACGTTCAAAAATATGGAAACAAAACAAAATAGTCAGGAATACAAACCAATGTAAGTAAAAATGAAAAAGGACCACCACAATAATGAAAATTAAAAAGACCGACAGTACTAAATTTGCACAAGATGTGGAACGTGTAGAACGCTTACACCGTCGGCGAGAGTGTAAAGTGTACAACAGTTGGAAAAAGAGCTGGCGGTTCCTTCTAAATAAAATACATCTATGCTATGTCCCAGCAATCCCTTTTCTGGGTATTTACCCATCAAAAATTAAAATGTGTCCATGAAAAGACTTGTACGAGAATGTGAATAGCGACACCATTCATTATAACCCAAATTGGGCACAGCCCAGAAGTCCATCAATAAAAGAGTGGATGAATAAATGATGATCTATTCAGACACTGGTCATGTTATGGCAGAATCCCATCAGGCAAGCAGGCATCACTCAGAGAGGAGGGGGGAAGTTCTTTATTAACGCCCGTGGGCTCAGAGATCCTTCTCCAAAGCCTGAGCAATTAGGCAATTGAATATTTATTGCCTAAAGCCGGGTGAGGGGGAGGGAGTTTAAATCATCACTAAAGCCAGCTGAGATACAGAAGCAGGAGATTTCTAAGCGGATGAGCTGGGGTGTATGAGTCAGGCGTGTGGCCTAGAGACCTTTTATCAGTAACTCTGGAACTTTCAGTCTACAGTGAGGCTTTGTTTCAACATAACTTCAGACATTTTCCACTTCAGTCACACATTCTTTTTTTTTTTTTTTTTTTAAAGATTTATTTATTGATTGATTGATTGATTGATTGATACATGCATATATACAAGCACTGGGTACAGTCAGAAGCGCGGGAGGGCGAGAGAATTCACCAGAGCCAGAGCGGGAAACAGAATAGGCAGACTGATGAAGTACACTGCTGAGGGGAGCAGCGGGCGGCAGGAGAGGTCTGCGCGCCATATGGGACCCTCCTCCGGTGGCCGGGGAGCAGCCGGGGATCGAACCGGCACAGCAGAGGCTGCTGGCAGCTTCGCAACCCAGCGCTCAACCGCTGCGCCACCGGGGAGGCCCAGTCACACATTCTTAACGACATTCTGGTCGACCACGGACCCCCCACGTACACGGTGGAGGTCCCAGTGGGCTGGACCATGTCGCCTAGGTGTGCGGTATTACACCCTACGACATCTGAACAGCTTCTCAGAATGTGCCCCCGCTGTGACGCGACACGTGACGACATTCAGCGTGAACTACTGGCACCCACACCAAGGAGCAACACCAGAAGCATCACGCTGAGTGAGAGAAGCCGGACACCAAAGACACACATTGCATGCGGCAATTTGTCTGAAGCTGTAACACAGACGAAACCAATCTGTGATGGATAAATATTAGAAAAGTGATTGGCTCTGGAGGGGTGGGTACTGGGGAGGATCAGGAAGGCATTTTCTGGGTCATGGTGAAGTTCAATATGTAGAGAAGGGTTCAGGCTGCCTGGTGTGAGCATTTGCTGAGATCTGTGCAGTGATACACTTGACACTTGTGCGCCTCACCAAGGGCAAGCTGCATGTCCAAAGGTGAAAAGAAAAATGCCTTCACTAATAATGACCATCAATGAATGAGAGGTGTGCTGAAGAGTTAGGAGGGAAATGACTATGGTTTCCTTTGAAATGAATAAAGATAATATGAATCGATGGATAGAGAGAGTTGGCTAAGGGAGGGATAGAGGAAGGCAAAATGAGTGTGGCAAAATGGCAATGATAGAATCTGGATGGTGTGTATACGTGTAAGTGTGCACTGTAACTTTTTTAACCTTTGCCTGTATGTTTGAAAATTTCAAAAAAACAAGGGGAAAGATAAACAATGAAATTTTAAAACAAGAAGGGAATAATGGATAGTTCTTCTTTGGGGAAAGTGTTTTGTGATTGGGGTGAGCCAACCAGGGGCTTCAAGATTATTGGAAATAGGGCCTCCCCGGCGGCGCAGCAGTTGGGCGCTGGGTTGCAGGGCTGCCCGCAGCCTCTGCAGCGCTGGTTCGATCCCCGGCTGCTCCCCGGCCACCGGAGGAGAGTCCCACATGGCGCGCAGACCTCTCCTGCCGCCCGCTGCTCCTCTCAGCAGTGTACTTCGGTCCTTCTGCCTGCTCTGCTCCCCGCTCTGGCTCTGGTGAATTCTCTCACCCTCCCGCGCTTCTGACTGTACCCAGTGCTTGTATAAATAAATAAAAATAAATCTTTAAAAAAAAAGATTATTGGAAATAATCTATCATTAAACTGGGCACATGGATACCTGGGAACTCGCTTTATTCATTTTCAAATGACACACTTAGGTGATTCAGAGTTGTAGAGAGAGTGATTTATAGCTGTTGGGAGGAGAAAAGATCCCTTGTCTTTGAGGTTGCTAAATGGGCGCTGTCGAAGCAACCTGCAGCCTCTCCTCCCACCCCCTGACCTCAGGCTGAAAGATGAATACGGTAGGAAAAGATGAATTCATCTTCCCAAGCAACAAAGACAAGCCTTGGTGCGATGCACAGACAGAGCGGATGGGCCGCTTGCCTTCTGCCTTTTCTTCCGGCCTTGAGTGTTCATGCTGTTTTGAAAACAGCCATCTCTTCCTGAGATAAACACTTGCCTCGCTGGCCCACCTCGAATTATGGAAGGCTTCTGACTCTGGTGTTCTCGGACCCAGGTAAGCCCCATATCACATTCCTTTTCTTTTTTTCTTTTTATAAAGATTTATTTATTTATGCATATGAGAACTGGGGTACAGGCCAGAGGTGTGGGGGGGGGGTGAGAGCATTCACCAGAGACCGAGAGGGGATCAGAACAGGCAGACTGACTGAAATCCAGTCCGGTGGGGAGCAGCGGGCAAGACAGGCGAGGTCTGCTGCACCGTGTGGGTAGCTCCCTGGCTGGGGATCAAACTTGTGCTGCAGAGGCTGCGGATAGCTTCATGGTGCTGTGCTTAACCCCTTGTGCCACCAGGGAGGCCCCACATTCCTGTTCTGAGCTATAGGTACTGTGAGAAAGAATTTCTTTTGCTCCCAAGGAAACTAAACTAGGGGGGTGTGAGTGTAGGGCCCCCAGTTGCCATTCTTTCCACTAGGAAGAGCCCAGCTGAGCTTGAGGCCAAGGCAGAGATGAGCAGGGGAGATAAAGGCTCCATGATGTCACCTGGTCCCAATCCAAGCATTCCTGGGGCCCTGACTAGTTACATTTAGCCCCTTTGGCTAAATCCGGTTTCGCCTGGATTTCTTTCACTTGCAACTAAGCATCCTGACTACCAAGAGTCCTTGGGTGCCAAAACGCTGAGGGTCATGTCTCTGTCCACAGCCTCCCAGGCCAGCCCCACTCACTTGGTGATCTCCTCCAAGGCTGCCTCGGGGAAGGCCAGCATCTCCACCAGCAGGGACAGGATCTCAAAGAGCAGAGTGTGGGGGTTGGAGGGAGCCATGTCCATCAGGGCGTTCTGTTCTGGGGACATGGGAGGGTGGCTGCCATTACCACATGGCAGCCCTGGAAGCCCACGCTGCCCCCCAGCCCCCTGCCCCCGGCTCCAGCTGTGACTTCCCTGGGCTCGGCTCTGCTCACCCACAGAACAGAAGAAGCGCTTGGTGTCTGTCATCACAGCCAGGAAGTCTTTGAAGGTCACACGACCATCTCCTGAGGAGGCAAAGGAATAACAGGTGGACAGGGGCCTTCCAGAACAGGTCCACGCATGGCAACCCGGGCAGGGTTAGTAGCACTATTCATTGGGTCTGATTATAAAAGTGACATCTATATATTGCAGAAAGTGTGGCAGGAACACAGAAGGAAATGAAAATGAAAATATCTTGGGTTAGAAGTGCCCAGAACTGTGGCCTCCCTGGTGGCGCAAGGGGTTAAGTCTCAGCACTGTGAAGCTATCCACAGCCACTGCAGCATGAGTTTGATCCCTGCCAGGGAGCTACCCACATGGCACAGCAGACCTTTCCTGACTCACCCGCTGCTCCCCTCAGCAGTGTATTTCAGTGGATCTGCCTGTTCTGCTCCCCACTCTGTCTCTGGTGAATCCTCTCACCCCCCTGCACCTCTGGCCTGTATCCCAGCTCTTGTATGCATAAATAAATCTTTAAAAAAAAAAAAAAGTTTCCAGAAATTGGGTCCTGGTGGTAACAATCCAGGTCATAGCTCAGGTCCGCTACTTACTCTCCCTACGACCTCAGCAAAGTTTCCTAACACCACTAAGCCTTAGTATTCTCACCTTTATGGTGAGGGTAACCCTGATGCCTTTCTCCCTAGAGGTAAAAAGCGGGAAAGTGCTTAGAAGAGGGTCATGGATATAACTCATGCTCACTAAATGTCAGCAGTTGCTATTAATACTGTGCGCTCACAAGACTCCCACCTAGACGCTGAGGCCCTGCAGGACCTGCCTATTACCTGTCTCCAAGCTCCCCCAGCACCTTCTCCCTGTGCAGAACTTTTGCACGTGTTGCTCTCTCTTCCTAGAATTCTTGTCACTTTGGCCAACCCCTTCCTTGGAGAAATCAGGCCAGCCCATGTCAGATGCCCCATCCAACATGCTCACAAAGCCCTTGTCCTTTACATACTCATAAGGTCTGGAATTTAACCAAGATGTGGGAGGCAGGGACTGGGTCTGTTTGGTCTGTGTTTTGTCCTCAGGGTGTAAGACCAGAAGATCTTAGCCAATGTTCTGTAGCCAATGAACTACCTGACAGAGGAATGAATAGTTTCTAATCCTTGAAACACACTCCAGGGAGCTTAATTCTCTAGCGCCAAGATGAGGCATGAAGCTCAGAGAAAAAGAAGGCTATTGCCTTAGGGTCGTGGAGGGGCAAACTGGGCTCAATTCCTGGCTTGCATGTGAGGATTCCTATTTGTGCAGTGATGGAGGAAGTGGAGGCCGAGATTTGGAGAACAGGAACCCGGTCCCCCAAAGCCTGCTGCTCCCCATGCTGTGTGTCTAGCCAACCAAACCAGTAAGTGTCCACTCACCCTGCACCCTCTTCCCTTTGTTTTGGTAATTTCTACCCCCGGGGAGGAACACCCTTCATCCTCTCTCCCTGCCTAACTCCTGATTAATCTTTCACAATGTGACTCAGGCATCACCTACTCCAGGAAGCCTTCCTTCCTGCTCCCTTTCTCCAAGCCACTTTAAGCACTGCCTCCTTTGGTGCACCTGTGTCTCTTCTGTAGTTTCTTTATCACTGTCACTGTGAGTACCTCAAGGGCAGGTTTCATGGGCCCCTACACATCTCTTTATTCTTGGTATTCAGGACAGGGATGGGCACACAATAGGCATTTAATAAATGCTTAGTGGATGATTAATACTAGCAGCCAATGTCTCCTGGGTACATTCTGTGCACCAGGCACTGTGGTCCACACTTTGCCTGGAGTATCTCAGTTAATCTTTGTAGGCGCCTGTGAGATGGGGAAACCGAAGCTTGATGAGCTTCACTGCCTTGTTCAATGCAATAGAGCTGGCAAAAGGGTGACCAAGTCAGGGAGAAAAACTCAGTGACTCAGGAACAAGGACATGGTCTCAGAGGTCACCTACATCTTGGGGTCAGGCGTAGATCTTGTTATCTCTGGATCCCAACAGCCTGGCACTCAGTAAGTGCTTCCAGGGGCCTAGGATCAGCTACTTAACTTGTGGGATCCCCATAGAAAGTGAAAATGCAGGACAGAGCCCCTCATTCACAAAATATTAAAAATCTCTAGACTGTGACAACAGAGCATTCAACCAAGGCCAGGGCCCTTTAAGTGAGGTGCCACGGCGACTGCGCAGGTCCCCTTTGAAGCTGGCCTGCTCGGGGCTCAGAATGAAGCCCCCCCACTCACCATCAACATCAGCACTTATCAGGGCAGCCTCCACCTGGCCCCGTGTCAGGGAGATGCCCACGAGCAGCAGGATCTTCTCCAGGCTCTGCGCGTCCACATGGCCATGGCCACTGAAGAGCTCAAAATAGCTGCGGAAGGCTGGAGTGGATGGCAGGGCGCCGTCAGGTGCGACATCTCATTTCTACTATTTAGTTTATCTCCCCACCTACCTCCTCCCCAGAATTCTCTGCCAGCCTGGCCTGGTGGAGCAGCAAAGGTTAAGCAAAAGAACAAAAGTAATGTCCCATGAGCTCTTCAGCTCTCTGCTATGAGTCAGGCTCAGGGCTCAGCCACGTAGCAAAATCTAAGCCACTTGGCAACCTTCTCCCAATGCAGCGGGAGCGCCCCCTTGCAGGCACCCCACGTGTATGTGCCAGGGCGGGTGCTAAGCTCTCTCTAGCCAGGTTCTCCTTTAATCCTTACAAGAGCTTGTTAAGAGCAGAATGCTTAGCCCCTCTGTGAGAATGGGGAAACTGAGGCGCAGAGTCTGATGACCAGATAGGTCTTCCTGACTCTAAGTTGTGCCCTTGACTTTGGTGCTCTGTGGTCTTTAATCTGGATGGACATGGCTTCTAGCTCAAGCTGTATGGACCAGAGCAGTGGGCCAGGGAAGATGCTGGAAAGTCCCAGAGTGGTGTGTGTGGATGCAGAAGCTGCATCCTGGTCTTCATGTGGGTGGGGGCTGGTTTTTCACCCCTCAGCAAAACCCAGGTCATCCACTGACCTAGTCAGACAACAACCGTGCCATTGAATTAGCTGGTTGGCTGTTATGGGGCTGAATTATGTTCCCCGCAAATTCATAGGTGGAAGCCCTAATCCCCCTGTACCTTAGAATGTGACTGTCCTTGGAGACAGGGCCTTCAAAGCAGTGATTAAGCCAAAATGAGGCCATAAGGGTGGCCCCTAATCCAGCCTGACCAGTGTCCTTGTAAGAGGAGGAAATGTGCACACACAGAGGCCCCAGCGAAGAGTGCATGGGGGACAGGCCGTGTGAGGACAGTGACCTGCCCGCCAGGGAGAGGCCTTGGCAGAGAACTGTTCACACCTGGATCTCGGCCTCTGGCCTCCAGAACTCAGAAGATGTGAAGCCACCCACTTTGTTGTGCTTTGTTATGGCAGCCCGGGCCAGCCCAGCGGGGGGCAGTTGCTGGGGTAATCACTGGGCTCCCCAGCTGTGATTTCTTATCTGAAAGGGGGTGTGACAGTGTGAGCCCTCCAAGAGCGGTCGTATGAAGTCGCTGCCTGGCACCCACCCTACGTCGCTGACACGTGGAGCTGAGGTGTGGGGAAATGGAGGGCTGGGATTAGAACTCAGGAATGGGTGGATACCCTAAAGGCAGGGAAATAAAACCACTTTCAAAAGCAGATGGCATCACCCAAAGTGCATAGTGGCTGGACCCATGGGAGCAGGGCAGCCAGCTCTTTCCCCACGAGAGCAGGCTGAGCATCGTGGTGGGGACCCCAAGTCTCCAAGCCCACGATGCTTGTTGTGCATAGGCTCTGCTCAGGTGGGGGTGGTGAGAGCTGGGTTTGGAGAAGCCCCTTCAAAACTGGCTGGAGAATTTAGATGTTAAAGGGGTGAGCTTCAAGGGTGGAATCATAGAGAGCGTGGTTCGGGGAAGCAGGAAGAGTCACTGTGGCCAAGCAGGTCACGGATTTGAGAAAATGTTAAGCCACCCGGGGAGGAGGGGATGGGAGGAGACGTCACGCACGCTCCCTTCCCCTGGCCCAAGGGGCAGCTGACTGGGGGGCTCTGGAGCACACAGGGAAGCTGCAGATCGCTCCCCCTCCTTCCCCTCCTGTTCCCCCTGCTCGGGACAAGTGTTCCGAACTTTGCAAATTTTTTGGAGGGGTGAAGGCAGAGGAAGAGGAGCTGTCCAGGACTAGCGGTCATGTGAAATGGTGGGGGGCTCTGGCCAGAGAAGGACCCACGAGTGGGCTGGGCTGGGGGAGGCAGAAATGCCTCTAAAACCTGCAGCCCTTTGCAGGACTCGCTCCTTCATTCAGAGAGGTGGTTCTGGAACCAGGAGGAGGACTGGATCCAAAGGGAGGGGCGCCAGCGTGGGCTCTGCTCCCCTACCCCAAGGGGCACGAGCTTGTGTCAGCCTCTACTCTGCACAGTTCCCCTGTCAGACTCCTGTCAGGGCACCCCCACCGGACTGTGGCAGCACCAGGGCAATGGGGCAATCTGTGAACCCCACAGAACCTAATGGACTGTGGGTCCTGCTGCGGGGCGGGGGGTGGGGGCTTCCCGCCAGCCCTGCCCTCACCTTCCTCTTGCTTCAGGGTGAGGTGCTCCTCCGTCCTGTTCTCCCAGTTCTGAAACAACTGCAGCAGGCTGCGCTCCTCCGGCTGGGGCCTGCGGAGGGGAGACCCCATGTCCAGCCTCCCACCTCTGCCCGGGCCACTGCGAGCTGGGGGGAGGGGGAGGCGGGAGACGGAGCCCGTCATGGCAGGGACCCCGGGGGAGGCTCCCTCGGTGGGGTCAGAAAGAGAAAAGGGGTCAGAGATGTGCAAGATCAGATGCAGGAGACAGGCGGGAAAGCAGAGGGAGTGGGGACAGCGCCTCCCGGAGAGGGGCCGACGGGCCGGGCCCGGCTCTGGCCTCTGAAGCCTTTCCGGGGCGGCTCCTACCGTGTCTTGCTGTAGCTCAGGGTCCTCTCGCAGGCCGGGTGCAAGAGCTCTGTCCTCCTCCAGCCCAGGTCCGGGGCAGGGCCCGGCAGGCCGGGGACGGGCATTGAGGCCGGGACTGAGGCTCCCACGGGGACAGGAGCCGGCCCAGAGGTCATCGGCCGGATCCAGGACGGGGCCGTGGCAGGGGCCGAGGGAGGGGCCTGAGGCAGGGCCGGAGGCAGGCTTGGCGCTGAGCTGCCCCCGGGGGCTGAGCTGGGCACGGGTGTCAGCGATCTGGGGGACTTCCTGTTTGGCAGGCCTCGGGTCTTGGGGGCCCTCCGAAGCGTGGCCTCCTCCTCCTCCACCGCCAGCAAGCACTTCATGAAGCCCTGCCGGTGACTCCCCAGGTTCTGGGCCCCTGCGGCCAGGGCGGGCTTCTGAGGCTGTTTCTGTGCTTGGTCCGGGTCCCTCCTCTCTCCAATGTCCCTCACCCCCTGGGGACGGGACGGGGGCTCTGGGAGGTCTCTGGACAGCCAGAGTACTCCGCAAAGCTTCTCCCTGTCAGCCGCTCTCTAGGGGCGCCTCACATTGCCCTTTGCTCTTCGGGCCCCTGGGAGATGTCCCCCAAATCTCACACATGGCTCCTACCGCATGCCCTCCCTGCACTAGACCCAAGCTCTGCCACCTCCCAGGTCTCGGAACTCTGATCTTGCTTGAATTACTCGGGGCCCTGGCACTTGTTTATTTCCTTTACCGCAATCAGCACGGCCTGCTGTGGACTTATCCATGCCTGTGGTTAGTCCACCTGCCCAGAGGTAAGCTCCGTGAGGCAGGACCTGCCTCTTCTGTCCATCTCCACCCAACAAGCAGCACGTGATAGGCGTCATAACCTCCCTCTCGCTCACCAGCCGGTCCAGCACTCCTGCATGTGTCCTGCCCCTTAGACGGATGAGCACCCAGAGTCTACCCCGTGGTAGACTAACCGCCTAACCATCCACGCCCAGCCCTTTCTCCCAGCCGCAGAGGTAGCTCCTGCCACACCCCCTCTTCCTAGTATCAGCTCCACTGTCTCCACCAGATTATTCCCACCTGCTCGATTATCTTCCTTTTGAAAAAACACAAAAAGCTCTTTGCCCAAACACGACAAAACCCTCCAACCACCACCCCAGTTCTCTGCTCCTTAGAGCAAAATTCCTCCTAAGAATTGACTGCTCCTGGGGGCCTCCCTGGTGGCGCAGGGGTTAAGTCTCACCACCATGAAGATATCGCCAGCCACTGTGGCCTGAGTTCCATCCCCAACCAGGTTGCTGACACACAGGGCACAGCAGACCTCTCCTGTCCAGTTACTGCTCCCCTCAGCAGTGTATTTCTACAGATCTGCCTCTTCTGCTCCCCACTCTGTCTCTGGTGAATCCTCTCACCCCCCCACTTCTGGCCTGTACCCCAGTTCTTGCATGCATAAATAAAATAAATCTTAAAAACAAATTTGACTGCTCCATTTTCACTTTCCTCCCCGCTCCTACCAGGCTTCTGCCAGTTCGTCTCCAGCCAGGCTCTGCCCTCCTAGAATCCACCGCTGAGCAGAGGCAGACACAAGATCATTCCGTGCTTTCGGAATGCTTTCTTCTCCAGATCCTGCTCTCACTGGCTGCTCCCCCCAGCATCCTTCATTGGCCCTTCCTCGCTGTTGCTCCATTTCTAAATGTTGCCTCCTTCCCCAGGGATCCCACTTGGCTGTTGATACCACCTGGGGCTCAGGACCCAGACTTGGAGGCACTTTTGTTTCTCTAACCAACCTTACCCCCATGCAGCCTATCAGGGGAGTCGTGTTGGCATCACCTCAAAGATCTTATGTCAACGCCGTGCACTCACCCCATCTCTTGTGCAGTGCCCTGCCCCGTCTTCCACCCTCCACCCTGCCCAAGTTCATTATTCACCCATCGTGTTTCCAACTTACATCAGCTAGAGGCCCTCTCTTCACTGACTTCAGTTTGACTTAGAATTCATTCCAAACTCCTCACCCTGGCCACCAAGGCCACGTGTGATCTGCCCCCCACTCCTCATGCCTCAGATCTTATAGCCCATCCTCTCCCTGCCCTTCTTCCTTCCTCCAACCTCGGCTTTCTTGCTGGGCCTGGTGCTAACAAGCTCGTTACCAAGGCCTGGCTGCTGCCACTGCTGTCACCTCCTGACAGGTGCTCAGCTGGTGGGTGAAGGGTGATGCCAAGGTCCTGACATCTTTCCTTGAAGTATTTCAGCCCTTCTACATCTGGATTTCTCATTCTGCCTTTCTTGTGACCCCTTCCACCTCTACCACATGTCCTGTGCATATTACTGAACTAGCCACTACGTAGCTCTTTTTGGCCACTGTCTTACTAATCCTGAACTTGCAGTGGCTCCCTATGACCATCAGGCCCACCCCTACAATGCATGCTCAGACAGACAGATACAGGATGCCAATCCCCATCCTCGGGGTGCTCCCAGTCCACTATCTATCTTAAGTCTTGTCTGTGCAAAGTATTGCAGGACGTTGGGGTGCCAAGTCCAAGCACCTCTCTCGAGTACTGGAGGCTTATTTTTATCAAGACCCACCTAGCTTTCCATCATCTACTCCACTATACCCAACACGCTTGTCCCACATGGTCACCCACGGTCACCCCGAGCTCCAGGGTCATTCCTGTCTCTGCACTTTGCTTGTGCTGGACCTGCTGCCTCGGTGCCTTTTCTCCTCCCTGGTTCTGTCCAAATTCCATCCACCCTGTGTCATCTAACATCAGCCCTCCTCCTCCAAGAAAGCTCCAGGATGACGCCAGGGCTCTTTCCTGAACACCTGCAGTATTTCCTGCTTCCTACAGCTGCTCAGTTGGGGGAGCCACAATTGTCTGGAGCCAGGTGCAGCCCCCTGCTTTCCTGGCCCGTTCCCTCCAAGGGCCAGGGCCTGGCAGCCAAAGACACTCAGGACACATTGCGGGATGGAAATGTGCACTCCTCTCCTCTCTGCAGGTGCTGGCCCCTGCTGTGAGTGTGGGAGGGAGGCCAAGAGGACAAAAATGCACCCACAAGGCAGGTTTCCAGTTGTGATCTGACCTCTCACCTTTTCAGAGAGGTACCTCTTATTATCCCCATCCATTTACTGACCCCACTAAGGCATGCCCAGGGCCAGACCTTCTCTCAGTCACAAAGAATAGAAGTGAACCACAGTGGTTGATCTCTTGGGGCTTATGTCCAGACAAAAATGAGTTCTCAAACATATGAGATCATGTCAGTTAGAGAAAAGAAACAAAACAGAGTGATATGTGAGAGTGACAGGCTGCTGAGATCGTGTGGCCAGGGAAGGCCTTCCGAGAAAGTGATATTGAAGTTGAAACTTAAATCACTCCATGGAGTCAGCCATGAGAATGTCCATGTGGAGAATTACAAGCACAGGGGATAGCAAAGACCCTCATGTAAACTTGGCATAACCCAGGGTGGGAAATGAGACCAGGTGACTGGACCCAGGGCTTGCTGGTGGTGGCGTTTGGTTTTTAATATTGTGGGCACTGGGCCTCCAAGGTGGTGCAAAGGGTTAAGACACTGCAGCATGAATTCAATCCCCAGCCAGGGAACTGACCCACATAGCGCAGCAGACCTCTCCTGTCTTGCCCGCTGCTCCCCTCAGCAGTGTATTTCAGTAGATCTGCCTGTGCTGCTCCCCACTCTGTCTCTGGTAAAGCCTCTCACCCCCCACATCTCTGACCTGCACCCCTGCTCTTATATGCATAAATAAATAAATCTTTAAAAAAATATTGTAGACACTAGCCCACCTCCATATGCTGATGCATGATCATGAAGGAGAGAGGAGGAGGGGGTGACACCTAATGAATAAGGTGGGGGGACAGCAGTTAATGGGGGCAGAAACTACATGGCTTCCATTTTAACCAGGTAAAGGCAAGGGAGGATGGTGCATTTGAGGGCGGGGAAAGGTGGTGTTTCTCTCCTTTCGATGACACCTGAGGACAGACTATCAGCCGAGTTGTAGGGTATGGAGGGGACTCTTGTGACATGACACCTAGAGCAGAGGGTGTGGGTGGCATGGTCCACAGGATATCCAGGAACACCTGACATTAGTGGCCATTGCTTGAAAGTGACCTCATTAGCAGGACAGAGTTTTCCTCCAACAACATTGAACTGGGGAGAGTGATTGGGTTTAGACAGGGCTGGGATTTTGCAGCAAATACAGCAGAAAGCGACAGGGAGGATGATGACTGTGTGTTCACAGGTAGCTCAGTCAAGTCCAAGAACTAGGGTGTGGCAGTGCTGGTGGAGCTGGGAGGGGGTTAGGGCAGCCTCCTGGGTGTCCAAGGAAGCTTTGGGTGATGTCGATGAGGACAAATGGACAGAAGAAAATCATGCTGTTGGGGCCTCCCTGGTGGTGCAAAGGTTAAGCACAGCACTATGAAACTGTCCCCAGCCTCTGCAGCATGAGTTTGATCCCCAGCCGGCCAGGGAGCTGACCCACATGGTGCAGCAGACCTCTCCTGCCTTGCCTGCTCCTCCCCTCAGCAGTGCATTTCAGTCAATACACTGTTCTGCTCCCCACTCTGGCTCTGGTGAATCCTCTCAACCCCCGCACCTCTGGCCTGTACCCCAGTTCTTGTGTGCATAAATAAATATTGAAAAAAAAAGAAAAAGAAAATCATACTGCTGTGGAAAAGCCACAACCTGGGGTGAACGCCTGGAATGTAAGTGCAGCCTTGACTGCCACCCATGGTGCACACACACAGTCACACTTGTAAGCACACCCATGCACACTCACACACGGGAACAGACTCATGCCTTCCCTCGTTTGACTCCAAATAATGTCCCATTTCTGGGTCTGCCCCTTGTTCCTCCTGATTCTCCCCCACATCCCATCCCCCTCCCCACTTATGGCCCAACTTACTGTTGGAGGAACAGACCCCGGTGCTGCCTGGGTCTCCACAGCTGTGCCCCTAAACAATGGAGAAATCCGGGTGGGAGGAGGGTGGCTCAGCTCAAAGCTTGTCCCTTCTACCTGCCTTCTCGAAGCCCGCCAGACTCAGGCTCACCACCCCCAGGGGGTTCCTCATTCCTTTACATCCCCATGTGGGTACATGGTCCTTAAAATATTGATTGACAGAACTAGGAATTTTGGTGTTAAGCGTTATTATACAGATGGGGAAACTGAGGCCGCAAGGGGCATGACTTTGGCCCAAGGTCTTATATCAGGGCAGGCACAGTCAGGACTAGAATTTACCCCATTCATAATTCAGTGGAAGAGGAATGTTGGTGGGTCAGGGAGTGGGGTGGAGTGCCACCAGAGCATAATTTACCTTTCTTGGGGTGATTTAGGTCCTGGTATGGATGGCAGGAGGGGGTTGACTGTCTTTTCCTTCAGTGTTGCCTTGGGCGTTAGGGGTGTTGCTTCCTGGAAACTGTTCTCAAGCTCCCCTGGCTGAGGCGCTAGCAGAGCCTCCTGTGGCCTGATGTGTGGGGTGCCCACCTCCTTGGGGGGCTTGTCTTCCAGTTGCTGTCCACAGCTGTCCAAGGTGCAACAAGGCTCTGCTGGTTGCAAAATGTCTGCCTCATCTGTTGCCTGGTGATCTGGGGTGGGCTCACACTCTTGGTCCTGCTAAGGATAAGGACACCAATTTGGGGACCCCATCCTGTCTCTCTGGTGAACCTCAGCACCCACCTAGACACTAGTGATCACCCATTCTGGTCCACACACTGCAGGAGTCACTTGCTGAGTCTCTCCCAGCACTCCTAGAGGGCAGCCCAGGTTCAGCCATTTTGAGGGTTGAGGAAATTAAGCCCAGAGAGTGCTTGGCCCACCCAAGGTCACAATCTGTGCTTCTCTGCAGAGGTACGTGGGAGCCTGGAGAGTGTGAGATGATGCCCTTTAAATGGGATTTCCCATGGAATGTCTCAGAGAACAAGATTATTCACGGTGTTCCCTAAAAAGCATGTGTGTACACTAGTTGATTTCTTATTACGAAGTTATTATAACATAGTGTGGTGTTAAAATAGGGTAGATAAATAGATGAATGGAATAGAGTGGGGGGTCCAGAAGTAGACTCCCAACTATGTGGTCCATTGATTTTCAACAAAAGTGCAAATCCTGCAGAGAAAGGATAGTCCTCAACAAATAATGCTGGAATGATTTAATAGCCATATGTGAAAAGAAATAAACCTTGATCCCACCATATACAATACTTAATTTGTTTTGGTTTTGCATAGAAGAACTGGGGTGCAGGCCAGAGATGTGGGGGGAGGTGAGAGGATTCACCAGAGACAGAGTGGGGAGCAGATGAGGCAGATCTACTGAAATAGGCTGCTGAGGGGAGCAGCAGGCAAGACAGGAGAGGTCTGCTGCGCCATGTGGGTCAGCTCCCTGACTGAGGGATCGAACTCAGGCCGGAGTGGCGACAGTGCTGAGACTTAACCCCTAGGCCACTAGGGAGGCCCAAAACTTAACTCAATTTGGATCATAAACTTAAATGTTAAGCCTAAAACTCTAAAATTTCTTGAAAAAAACATACTAGAAAATCCTATATGATCATGGATTAAGTAAATATTTGTAAGAAGCCAAAGCACAAAGAGAAAACTGATAAATTGGACTTCATCAAAATTAAGAACATACTGATGTATTATTTGAAAGTCATTGTTAAGAGAATAGAAAAGACAACTCATGAACGGGGAAAAAAACTGCAAATTACATATATGACAAAGGACTAGAATTCAGATCTAGCAAAACTCAATAATAAGAAAACAACATAGTCCAAGTTCTTGCAAGGTCCCTCACGGTACAGTAGCTAACAAAGAGTTTCTAGGCTATTCTAATATAAAGAAACCTGTTTGAACTTTGTTGAACCCTGCATGTCCCAATTTTATTTGTATACAGAAGGCCCCATCTCCTCCTGCTTCCTCGACACACTGTGGGATCACTCTAGAACAAGTTGTAAAGACTGACTGTGCACAAGTAAGAATATGCAGAATATGCTCTGACCCACATGGACTGGGCACTTGACACCCGCAGGACATAGAGAGGACTGGATGTGAGTGAACGGGAATGGGAGGGACAGCAAGAAGTTCTCTCCTCTCTTGTGGGTTCATCGTTGCATCCCCTCCTGCCCAGGTCTCCGTGGACATTACCTGGCAGCTCTTGGGGGCCTGGCCCTCCACCACCTCTCGGTCCTGTTGTCTTCCCTGGTGGTCCTTGGTCTCCCCTGAGTCCTGCTGCTGCAGCCCTTCATATGCTGCAGGGACCTGGGGAGACAGCACCCTCAGCTCACTGGCTGGCTCAACCTGATGCTGGTCTGCTTGCTGCTCCCCAGGCTCCTTTTGGGGTGCCCAAGATGACTGCTTCTTCCTGGGGAAAACAGAAAAAGGAATATCTCAGCTCCTGGCCTGGGCCCCATAGTTTTATATTCTTATATTCTGTGGTTCCCAAGATACGTGCACAGGGCTAGGTACACCATAGGTGCCTACTTAATGTCTAGGCGAATGAATGAAGGACTGATGTGACTTCCCCAAATCACAGACACTTGGATGTCAATGTGTAGGGGAGTTAGGATTTAGTATTTTTTAATTATGTGTTGTTTTCTAGAAAAGCAAGAAAAATCAGAGAGGACAGAGATTCAGAGAGGTTGAGAGACTCCAGGCTTGGGTTTTAAAGTCGATACAGACAGCTCAGCATTTGATTCTGTGTGAGCCTGAGATTACTTTCTATCTGAAGCATGTCCTCTAAGCTTCTTCCTATGGATATACATTCTTATTTTGGTTTTTTTTTTAAGATTTATTTATTTATGCATACAAGAACTGGGGCGCAGGCCAGAGGTGTGTGGGGTGAGAGGATTCACCAGAGACAGAGTAGGGAGCAGAACAGGTGGATCAACTGAAATACACTGCTGAGGGGAGCAGCGGGGGAAACAGGAGAGGTCTGTTGTACCATGTGGGTCACCTCCCTAGCTGAGGATTGAACTCATGCTTCAGTGGCTGGTGATAGCTGAGACTTAACACCTGTGCCACCAGGGAAGCCCCGTTCCTATTTCGAATGGAAATTTTATAATTACCATCTTCAAATAATTTCCTAATTTCTCATAGTTATATTGAGTATGCAATTTTGTAGTCTTTTTTTTTTTTCAAATAACATGATAGCCTAAATTTTTTCTATGCCCCAAATCTTTCACAAATGGTCCCTTTTTAACAAAAGCATAAAATTCCATATTTTATAGATAATCATAATTGATATAACTACTCACCTATTGTGGGCATTTGAGACACATTGACATTTCTAATTTTTTTAGTGTTTAAAATAATGCAGCAGTGAAAATCTTTGAATGTAAAACTTTGCCTAAACCTCCAATTATTCCCTTAAGGCACAGATCAAGCAAGCTGTCAAGTTGTGAAAGCAGATATGTTGGAAATGTTTCCATTTCTGCCCCCCAGGCACAGTCCCAGACACTAGGGATTTGAGGTGGAAGAAGAGACACCAATGTCCCTTGAACAAGAAAGACACGTACAAAAAAATTTGCTGCATAGCAGGGGGAGGACAGACAAAAGGTTAACACAGGAAACTAGTGTGATCGCTCTGTGACAGACAAGTGTAGGGCTGTGGTTGGGAGGATCTGGACTCAGATCCGTGTGGGAGTTTTCTCTCCTCTGCCCACTCCCCAGAGCCCGGAAGGTCCTCTGCTGAACTTATTCTCCAGAAGCCCCCAGCTCACGTCTGCTCTGGAGACCTCTGCTCCTGGGTCCTCAGCTCCGGAGACCTCTGCTCTGTTGCATCTCCATGCGCAGCCTCCATCTCTGGTTCTCCTGAGTTGGTTGAGGGCTGCTCCCCATGGCCCACCTCTGCTGCATCTGGAAACCCCACCTGCAACAGCAATGCCTGTGGTCCCTTTGGGGGGACTGGCCCACTCGGCCTGGCTATTCCTGGCCTCAGGGAGAGAGAGGTCCTGTGCCTAACTGGGGAAGGTGTTGGAGAGAGGTAAGGAGGAGATTAGAGGTCTAGAGAGGGAGCGCAGGGCCCGGTCCAGCAGGGAGGCCGTCAGTCAGCATGAACTGGAGTCTGGAAGGGTCCCTGAGTCCAGATGGCCAGGCCAAGGACAGCATGACAGAGCACCCTGGGGACTTGACAACCTCACAGGTCGAGAGAGGCCTTCCTCCATTTCCACAACTTCAGAGCACAGGCTCTGGACCTGGGGTGTGGTTACCTGGAGCTGGGTGACCTCAAGTCCTTGAAAAGGGACAACACCAAGCCTCACCTGTGGCAGCAAACACTGAATGATCTGGTTCAACTGATGGAGAATAATTACTGTGACCCAGATGACCTGGCTCAGTTGATTGGTGATAATTACTATAATCCAAGATTCTGACAGGAGCCACACTCCCGGGCACCCACCACCAGGCAAAGCTGGGCCAAGTGCCTCCAGGGACTTAACACAGTAGGTCCCCCTGCCAAGACACATGAAACATTGAGGCTCTGGGGGTGGGGCAGGGACGTACCCAAGGTCACGAAGCTGGTTAAGTCACCGGACTGGGAACATAACTATGCTTTTTGATAAAAATGAATGGGTGGTTGAGGGGAGCTCTGAATGTTTGCCCAAGTCTGAAAAACCCCTCCTCACCAGGCTCTCTCCCTGGCCCCACGGGAAGCCATGATTTATAACAGGCTGTGGGGAGAAGGCAAGGCTTAAGCCAAGGAAATATTGACCTTTTGACCTTTTTTTTTTTTTTAAAGGTGACATCTTTTGGCCCTGGGAAAACTAGACGGGGAGGATGGCCTTCTTTATGCTCTTCAGTTCACACCTTTTCACACTTAAAAAAAAATCGGTGGGAAGAAGCTAAGAGGTGTGATGAAACTGAGAATGCAGACTGGGGCTGAAGGGGGGGAGGCATGGATGGAAACCTGGAGCAACTGTCATGGGAATAAAGGTTATAAAGGGGCCAGAAGGCCACAGAAGGCCCCAGGTAGAGTAAGCAGGAAATTCTTGTTTCGTTCACCTAACATCTATTCTGGGTCAGAAGCCTGACTTCTTTTCACGGAAACCTTCCCTTTTCCATTCAGCATATCAGACTCAGGAGACAACTGAGAAATTACCTTTAGTGCATTGTACCAGGAGATCTAGGCCACTCTGCCGTGCCATGCTGACTGATTCAGGAATGAGCATGTGAGCATAGTGTGGGTCAATGACAGTGAGCCCACAGACTCACTTCAACTATTGCAAAGAGGTTCTCTTCGTACTGGGGATACTGAACCAGGGGGTGAAGAGCCTGGAGTGACCTTGCCAGGAGAACCTGCCTGAGACTGGCACAAAGGAGGGCAGAGCTAAAATATATTCATTTGGCACCTTGATCCAGCCATACCTGAAGTCTCCTCGCAGACTTGTCAGTTACCCAAGCTGATGTGTTCTCATGTCCTACTTCATTCAGTTTGTTTTTTCTTTTTTTAAGATTTATTTTATTTATTTATGCATACAAGAGATGGGGTACAGGCCAGAGGTGCAGGGGTGAGAAGATTCACCAGAGACAGAGTGGGGAGCAGAACAGGCAGATTGACTGAAATACACTGCTGAGGGGAGCAGCAGGCAAGACAGGAGAGGTCTGCTGCGCCATGTGGGTCAGCTCCCTGGCTGGGAATTGAACTTGTGCTGCAGTGGCTGCCATAGCTCCACAGTGCGGAGACTTAACCCCTTGCACCACCAGGGAGGCCCCCTTTCATTCACTTTGAATTGAGTTTTGTATCACTTATGATTGGAAGATCTTACTCAAAGCAATTGGGGAGGGAATTAAAGCCTGGGCAAGGAAGCAAAGGTGCCAGCTGGGTGTGGAGTCAAAACAAAAGGTGCAGATCCTACCTGGCTGACTCCTGAGATAGTGGGGTCAGTACCAGTCTCCTGGGTGGTGGTCCTCAGGTCAGGGCTTGGCTGGGCCTCTGGAGTCTTGATCCTACCCTCCATGGACATCTGGATGCTTCTGTTGTCCATTGTGCTAGGGCCAATGAGGGTACCAAATGAGGAGCATCAACCCCTGTGCTCCCCCAGGAGAAATCCAATCAAAGTGCCACTGTGTCAATTACCTAATGGTCACAGTAGCAGCACACAGAGCCTGTAATGTGAGGAGCCTGGCTCAGGAGGAGGCAGGGCAGGCCCAGCACAGGAGGGGCAGGCAGCAAAACCAGAGAGCAAGTCCCCTGCGACTTACCCACATACTGTCTTAATTCTCACCCGTCTGAGGAGCAGCTATCGGAAGCCAAGTGACTTGCCCGTGCTCCAGCACAGTCTAGGCACAGAGCAGGAACTGAACCAGAGCCTGTTGGAGCCACAAACCCACACACCTTCACCCATGGCAGCATGTCCTAAAAGGTGTTCTTTACAATATGGGTCCCATGAGGTGCACCCCACAAAACACTTTGGGAAGTGCTGAGTTCAGTGAAAGTCTCCCGCGTAAGGGGTCAGGCTGCTGCTGCATTAGGTGGAAACTCCAAAATCTTCGATGGGGCTAAGGAATGGGACTCGGAGACCTCCAGTGGGCCATATGTACTTCACCAAAGCACCCCAACCCTGCCCACGCCACAACCCTTTGTAAAGCCTTTCTCAGTCTCTCCTGAACCCCACCAATCCCCCTTGGCTGCACACCCCCTGCACTCATGCTCTGTTTTAATCTGGGCAAATTCCTGCAACCTGAATCCACAGACCCGCTTTCTGACACCCCCTTCCCTACCCCTCACTCTTCTCCTTCTCCAAGCTGCCAACCGCCTCAGCCCTCACTCCGGCTTCTGAATTCTCTGAGGCCACCTCAGCTCCATTCTATGGGTACCTCATGTTAACTAGTTTCTAGTGGTAAATCCCACCCCCCAGAGAGACCATGTGACCTTGAAGATCTTGATGATGCTTCTTCCTTTTAAATGATGGCGGGCCAGCCAACACTCATGGAGGAAACTTCTACTTGCTGGGCACGTTAGCAAACAGTATTAATACCCTCTAATGCCAGTGGGTTCAGCCTGATAAGGAAACCGAGGTTCAAAGTAGCCCAGAGTCTTGTCCAATAGCACAGTTAGTCTGCAGAGGAAATGGATCCAGACTTGGGTTTGTCTGACTCCGGGGCTGGCTTATCTCCCCCTCTTATCTTGCCTCCAAAAATGCTGGAGCCATTCATTCAGTTACACGTGCAATCAATTGTTGAACAGACATGGGCCCATGCTTGGCGCAGTGGTCAGGGCTCGGGGTACACTGGCTGGTCTGGTGGCTCCTGCAGTTTACCATGGGCACAGAGCAAGTGCCCCTAACAGCTGCTGACGCCTCCTTTCTTCCCAACCTTGCTTACCCTCCATCTGTGTCCTTCCTGCAGGTAAGACCACATGCTCACAAGCAAGACCTCAGCTCCCAGGTGGCCCACCACCCCCCAGATGCAACTCCAGTTCCCCAAAGGGCCTGGGCTCTCACTTGGCATGGAGAAGTCAGCGCTGTGGCCAAGTTCCTTTCTCTCAGCTTGGAGCTCCTCTCTTCTCCCTGCTCTCCCCTGAGGGGACCCTACACATCTCCCTTTCCCTTGAGCCTTCTTGTCCCAGGGTAGAACCCACCCCATCCCTTCAAACACGCCCCCCATTGTCTACTATCTCTGCTTCAGAATTCTCAGGTCCCAATATTCCACAAGTTGAAGTTTGGAGGGAGCAGAGGGCCCAGAGGGGCTCCAGCCCCAGCTTCCTTTTCCATCCCTGTCTGCAGTTTGCAAACTCTGAGAGTCTGGCAAGGAGGGGCAGTCCTGATCCTTGAGGAAGGACAAGGAATCTGAAGACAGAATTGGGGATGGGGCACAAATATATCTTTCAGAGCGCTTTGTCCTTTTTTGGTTAACAGCTTCATTAAGATAGGAGATGGAAACAATCCAAAGGTCTCTCAGCAGATGAATGGATAAACAAAATGTGGTCTAGCCATACAGTGGAATATTAGTCAGTCGTTAAAAGGAGTGACCTTTTGATCCATGCTACAACATGAATGAACATAAAAAGCATTATAGTAAGGGCCTCCCCGGTGGCGCAGCGGTTGAGCGCTGGGTTGCGAAGCTGCCCGCAGCCTCTGCAGCGTCAGTTCGATCCCCGGCTGCTCCCTGGCCACCGGAGGAGGGTCCCACATGGCGCGCAGACCTCTCCTGCCGCCCGCTGCTCCCCTCAGCAGCGTACTTTGGTCCTTCTGCCTGCTTTGCTCCCTGCTCTGGCTCTGGTGAATTCTCTCAGCCTCCAGCGCTTCTGACTGTACCCAGTGCATGTATAAATAAATAAATAAATCTTAAAAAAAAAAAAGCATTATAGTAAGTGAAAGAAACTAGGCCCAAATGAAAATATTGTTACGATTCCGCTTAAATGAGATATCTAGACTAGATGAATTCACAGGAAGAATAGAGGTTACTAGAAGGTGGGGGGAGTGGGAATTGGGGTATTAAGGCTTATTAGTTATAGAGTTTCGGTTTGGGATGATGAAATGTTCTGAAAATAGTGGTTGTAGCAAAAAGCAAATTGTACTTACTTCACTGAATGGGACATTTAAAAATGGTTAAAATGGTAAATTTGGCGCAAGGGGTTAAGCACAGCACTATGAAGCAATCCACAGCCTCTGCAGCACGAGTTCTATCCCAGGCCAGGGAGGTGACCCACATGGTGCAGCAGACCTCTCCTGACTCGCCCACTGCTCCCCTCGGCAGTGTGTTTCAGTCAGTCGGCCTGCTCTGTCTCTGGTGAATCCTCTCACTCCCTGCACCTCTGGCCTGCACCCCAGTTCTTGTATGCATAAATAAATCTTTTTAAAAAATGATAAATTTTGTTGTGTATACCTTGCCACAGTAAACATTAAGAGTTTATGCTACTGGGAACAGGTCTGGATTCTGCTGCCTGTCACTACCAAAAAGCCAGTAAGTACAGACAGGAATTGAATCTATAAGCACTTTTATTTTTCAGATCTTTGGCCACGGAGCTGAGAGAAGGGCAGGCATAGTACCCTAAGGAAATCGTTCTCCCACCTCCATTGATCTGGGAGAACAGAAGGACCGTCTACCATCTCATCTCGAGTTGGCTTTTTTTTTTTTTTAAAGATTTATTTTATGTATACAAGAGCTGGGCTACAGGCCAGATGCGCGGGAGGGTGAGAGGATTCACCGCTGACAGAGCGGGGAACAGAACAGGCAGACTGAGCGAAATATACTGCTGAGGGGAGCAGCGGGCGAGACAGGAGAGGTCTGCTTTGCCATGTGGGATTCTCGCCAGCCAGCTGGGATCGAGCCAGCACTGCAGAGGCTGCGGACAGCTTAACAGCGCAGCGCTCAACCGCCTGCACCACTAGGGAGGCCCTCGAGTTGGCCTTTTTATAAACAAAAACAATTACTCATAGGCAAACAGTCCATCAGAAGAGCCGGTCGTAGTTGAATCAGTTTATCAGAACAGTCTGTCATAGTTGATGCTCTTGGTATTCATCACATTCAGTTCCCAGAGTTTGTCATCAGCTTCTTGGTTATCTTGACCCTGGTACATCTGATGGCGTCAATGTCCACTCATTTGGGCATCATTGGGGTAGGAATCTCAGTTTTATTATTTGTTTAAAGATTTATTTATTTATGCATACAAGAGTTGGGGTACAGGCCAGAGGTGTGGTGGGTGAGAGGACTCACCAGAGACAGAGTGCAGAACAAAACAGGTGGATTGACTGAAATACACTGCTGAGGGGAGCAGTGGGCGAGTCAGGAGAGGTCTGCTGTGCCACATAGGTAGCTCCCTGGCTGGCCGGGGATCGAACTCGTGCTGCAGAGGTTGCAGACAGCTCCATAGGTTGTGTCTTAACACCTTGTGCCACCAAGGAGGCCCCAGGAGTCTCAGATTTTTTTTTTTAAGATTTATTTATTTATACAAGCACTGGGTACAGTCAGAAGTGCGGGAGGGTGAGAGAATTCACCAGAGCCAGAGCAGGAAACAGAACAGGCAGACTGACGAAATACACTGCTGAGGGGAGCAGCGGGTGCAGCAGGAGAGGTCTGTTGCACCATGTGGGACCCTCGCCGGAGGCCGGGGATTGAACCACTGCTGCAGAGGCTGCTGGCAGCTTCACAGCCCAGCGCTCAACCACTGCGCCACCAGGGAGGCCCAGGAGTCTCAGTTTTAAATCAAGTTTTAGCTTAAAGAAAACAGATCATTAGTCATATAATATGTATGCAGATTCCTAAGCTAGGCCTGGTGCCCTTCCCTTTCCCCCGCGGCCCCATCACTTAGAGCAATTCTGTGATATGAAGTTTACACTCAGTGAGTGAGCACAAGGACAGAGAGGCTGAGAGCGGGCAGGAGAGCGGGTAGAGAAAGTCTGGAGCTGCCAGTAACTTGGAGATTTGGGATCAGCTGAGTCTCACGGGGGCCTGGAGGGCATGACGATGGGAGAGGAGAGGGGACTTTGGGAATCAAACTATGATTGGAAATGTCCCCACTAACATTCTGTGAGAAACCCAAGTTCAGACAAAATTCTTTTAAAATTACTTATGTTGCTAAGCTTCGTTTCTTTGAATACAACTCCCTGTGGAGCCTAGGCCACCTGGGTCCTGGGCGAAGGGGGCGAGGTGAGCCTGGCCCTGCAGGGCAGCCCCTTGTCCTGGAGGGTGAGGTGGGGGCTTCTCCAGGAGAGGCCAGGTCCAGTCAGGGGAGTCAGGAGAAGGGAGGCCAAGGAAGGGAGGCAGAGCTGAAGGAGAGACTTCAGGGTGAGCTGCGCACAAGCTAACCACAGTTTTGAAGTTGAGCCAACTGGCCCTTTTAGGGGGAAAAGGCTGTCCTAAAGCTAATTCCATACAGCCTTTGTGGACTCTACCCCCACCCCAGGCCAAAGCCAAAGACACTGGGAACTCCAAATCCCATCCCCACCAAAGGGAAGGTGGCTGGGACCTGAGGGTGGGGTTCAGCAGCCAGGTTGGTATAAAGCCAGACACGTGGGCTTTGGGGGGGGGGTCCCCCATTTTGGCTCTTCGCCAGCTCGCAGCGTCTGGCCAGCTCTGAGAGTGACTTTGGGTTTCCAGGTCGTCGGATCGGGTAGGACGCATTAAAGACTTTATTTCCCTATTTTCTCCCTGAGTTGTACATTTTCCTTATTTCCTTTTCCCTTGTCAATAAACCTTTTATGAACCTTTTGTGTGTGCCTGTCGTGGAGTATTCATAAGTCCCTTGTAAGCGCGTGGGTGAGGACCCACAGCCAGGAACCCGTTCAGTATCGGGGCTGCTCTTTAACAGCCCCAGCATAAGAGGCCAAGGGGGTGACCCCGAGGGGAGCCGCCTCAGCGGGGTCTGTTGTGAAGTTTTCTCTGCGGCCCACGACGTCTTGCGGGCGAGAGCGCCCCCTAGCGGCCTCTGGTCCTCAAATCGGCCCCGGGTCCTCCGGCCGCCTGTCTTGAGCCAGAACTTCCAGCAGAGGGCGCGCGGGCAACGAGGCCCCCAGGCCCTCGAGCCGCCGCTCTAGCCCGACCCTCGGGTCATAGAGTCGCGCCGTTTCCGGCCCCGCGGCGGGGGAAGAAACCGGAAGTCCGGCGGGCCCCGGGCGTCGAGATGGAGGAGGGCGAGTACGAGTCGGTGCTGTGTGTCAAACCCGAGGTCCACGTCTACCGCATCCCGCCGCGGGCCACCAACCGCGGCTACAGGTGACCGCCGGCCGCGGGGCCGGGCCAGCCCCAACTTAACCCCTTCCCCGCCGCCGACACACCCACTGTGGCCGCTGAAGACCACCCCGGCGAGTTTCGGGGCGTGGGGGGGGGGGGTCATGCTTCGACTTCTCGGGTCCGAGGTCCGAGCAGGAGGAGACCCAGACTCTCGGCCCTCTCCGCCGGGCTCACGGGGCTCCCAGCGGCGGGAAAGGTTAAAACCACGTCTCGGGCTTGGGGAGCCCCGAGGGCTGCGGGGCGTCCTGACCGGGGTCGGGGCTGGTGGTGGCACAGGCCTTTGCTTGGAGCGCTGCCTGGAAGGGATTCCTGAGAAACCCCAAGGGGAGGGCCCTGTCACCGGCGGACTCCCCGGGGGGAAGGAAGGCAGTTCAGAACAGGCTCAAAGGATCCCTCCCGGGAGCTTTAAGCAACCCACGTATGCTTGTAAAAATGGGTCGAGTGTCAGGAAGGCAGCATAAGAGACTGCCCTGAGGGAGGGAGCAGAGGAAGAAGACTTACCGTACGCCTTTTTGTACTGTCTGTATGTTATTACCATGCGTACGCATTACTAAGCAGAAGGAAACACAAAGTGTTAAGAAGAGATGTACCTAATTCAGACAACCTGGCCTGTGGCTGTCTTGTGCCACTGGGTGGTGGGGGTAGGGTGGGGGTGGCTCTTGAAGACAGTATCTGCCCCAGTTATTTGGAAATACAGGATTGGCATACACCCCAAGAACGATGGCATGCCTGCCTATCTGTCCTTACTTTCCAGTTGTGTTAGCGTGGGCTCACGGTGGATTGTGTAGTGAACAAGTATTTTATCGAACACCTGTGATGTATTTTAAAGTTGTGAGAGAGCAACAGTACTAATGATAACAAAAACTCAGTTGCTTTCTGTTCATCAGACTGGAGCGAGGCCAGCAAGCCAGGGATGGTCACCTGGGATACAGTGGGGTGGTTTTGGTCCCTTTTGTGCCTCTGAAAGTGAAGTTACAGTTTCAGCACTGGCATTGAGGAAACTGCTGACCCCTGCACTCAGTTTTCTGAGCTCTGCTTAGCTTCAGTCTAAGGCCCGTTGACCCAGTATGAGGAACTGAAACGGAGCCTTCTGACTTGTAAACTGGGAATCTGCGTTTGTGTGGCCTTCAAAATTACCGGCATCCTGGGCCTCCCCTGGTGGCACAGCGGTTGAGCACTGGGCTGCGAAGCTGCCCGTCAGCCACTGCAGCGCCGGTTCAATCCCCGGCTGCTGGTGAGGGCCCCACATGCCGCACAGACCTCTCCTGCCGTGCCCGCTGCTCCCCTCAACAGTGTACTTCGGTCCTTATGCCTGTTCTGCTCCCGACTCTGGCTCTGGTGAATTCTCTCGCCCTCCTGCGCTTCTGACTACCCAGTGCCTTCATAAATAAATAAATAAATCTCTTAAAAAAAAAAAAAAAAACGGCATCCACAGTGGCAGTATCTCTCAGAGTTCTTGAGAGCTGACGTTTACTTAGGGACTTCCAAGAGAGGCCTTCTGGAAACATCCAAGGCCTTCTGGAAACATCCAAGTAAAACCCAGCTCGGGTTTACTGAGCTGCCTTGTAGGACTCAAATGTCAAGTTCGAGCTTTGAAGGAGCCCAGCCAAGCCATTGTTCTAGGTCCATGGTTTCCTGGGTTTCTTTCTACCCAGGCTGCCTTTGCAAATGTATTTCTTAATCCCCCATTCATTTTTCTCACACGTGCTACGCTCTCTTCTCTTTCTACCACCAGTTGCTCCTTCTGTCCTTTTCCTCCAGGATGGTCTTAGTAAGCCCAAACGGTCACTCTGACCGCCACTGCCCAGCAATGTCAACAGGCCCAGCAGCTGATTCCTCTACAGAAACCTGGAAGTCTTACTGCAGAGAAGTCTCTGTAGTCTAGAACTGGGGTTGCAGGCCAATCCACTGTATTTTTGTATAGCTCACAAGCTAAGAATGGCTTTTTTGTTTTTTTCTTAAAGATATATTTATTTGTGCATACAAGAACTGGGGTACAGGCCAGAGGTTTCGGGGGGTAAGAGGATTCACCAGAGACAGAGTGGGGAACAGAACAGGCAGACTGACTGAAATACACTGCTGAGAGGAGCAGCGGGCGAGTCAGGAGAGGTCTGCTGTGCCATGTGGGTTACTCCCTGGCTGAGGATTGAACTCATGCTGCAGTGGCTGCTCATAGCTTCATGGGCTGCATCTTAACCCCTTGCGCCACCAGGGAGGCCCAGTTTCTATGTGTGTGTGTGGTTTTTTTTTTTAAGATTTATTTATTTATTTATACAAGAACTGGGGTACAGGCCAGATTCACGGGAGGGTGAGAGGATTCACCAGAGACAGAGCGGGGAACAGAACAGGCAGACTGACGAAATACAGAGCAGCGAGGGAGACAGGAGAGGTCTGCCACGCCATGTGGGACCCTCACCGGCTGGCCGGGATCAAACCGGTGCTGCAGAGGCTGCGGACAGCTTCACAGCATGGCACTCAATCACCTGCGCCACGAGGGGAGGCCCACTGGTTTCTATGTTTTTTAATAGGGAAAAATTTAAAGAATATTTCATGCTATGAAAATTATATGGAATTTGAATTTCAGTGTCCACAAAGTTTTACTGAAATGTAGCCATGCTCAGTGGAAAATGCCAAAGACACTAACACCTGTACTGTCTCTGACTGCTTTTGCCCTAGAATGGCAGAGAAGCTGTGACAGGTCAGAAAAAGTTTGCCAGTCCCTGGTCTAGAGCAGACAGCTGGCACGTCCTTCCAATCCTGTCCCTGGCATGGGGTCACATTCCTGCTCTGGGCTGAGGCTCAATGGTTTTGTCCCCGCAGGGCTGCAGAGTGGCAGCTGGACCAGCCATCATGGAGTGGTCGGCTGCGCATCACTGCGAAAGGGCAGGTGGCCTACATCAAGCTGGAGGACAGGACGTCAGGTAAGGCCAGATAGCCCTGGGTGGGGCCCACTGCATGAAGGCAAGGCCTGGCCAAGCCGCTACGGAACCTACCCCAGAAATCAGAGACCAATTGTATGCTGCCTCCATCACCCCCACAGCACATGTAGGAACTGCGGTCCCTGGTGTGGAGTATTCCTGTCAAGGGATCCTTCCTTTTGTGGATGCTTAAGAAGGTACTAATGTTGGAGGCCAAGAGGAGGAGACCTGCAGGCTGGTCCCAAGTAGGAGGCCCAGAGCTTGCCTTGAAGATAAGCTGGTGAAGACGCACAGCCACTGTCGCTGGGCTCCTGTTCTTACCCAGGAATTGTTTATCAGCTAAATGGTGACTCCCCAGAGCTGACCGCGCCCATAACTGAAAGAGCTAGAAGCGGTCCTACTCAGCAGTTCCTGTAGTGGGAGGATAAGCCAAACCGGACCTTGTGATCAGTTGGCAGGCATCTCCTTTGAGGAAATCTCCTGAATCCTGTGCTACCAGTGCCTCTGGGTGAACTGTGGAGGGCAACACAAGCAGCCCTAGCCCCAGCCCCCAGAGCGGGGATCCGGCACACCTGCTTTGTCAGGTGCTATGGCATCTGGTCGCTTATTTTTTTCTAGGATGTAGAGATTTTCTTTTGTGGGGCGGAACAAAGTGTAAGGATTTGTAGGCAGCGTTGGTTGCCCCTTCTCAGAACTGGGTCACTTGAGTCTGAGCTGGGGACCCTGGGCAAGCCACGTGATCTCTGGGGCCTTGGTCTCCTTTTTCTTAAATGGGGATACATGGGCTCCTACTTAATATGATTGGCAGAAATACAAAATGAACAGATGTTGATCCAGTTGCCTTGTGAACTGTAAGGTCTCCCCAAGCTTTGGTTTGTTTGGGAGCCTGGGGTTGCAGGCTGAGTATTGACTGAGGAGTAGCTGGAGACAGCAGCCAGGGCTAGGTTAGAGGACACTGGCTGTGAGATTGGCTGGGGTGTCCCAGGGAATAACAGCCCCTGTTCTTGGGGCGGGGGCTTCGCAACTGGCTAAGGTGACCACCTAGTGTAACAGCCGCTCTCAAAGTTGAGCCTCATCTGCAGGACTCACTCTAGATCTCTCGGCCCGTGGGCAGTTCCACTGGGTTGTGTTCGTCTCACTTTTCAGTCACTCTAGGCCAGGGCTTCCTCACCTCAGCACTGGTGACATTTGCGCCCAGGTGAAGACTGTGGATTGTTGAGTCAAGTTTAGGATATTTAGCAACATCCCTGGCCTCTGCCTACTAGATGCCAGTAGCAACCTCCAAGTTGTAACAACCAAAGTCTCCATACATCACCAGATGTCCCTTGAGAGAAAGGAAACAAAATCACCCCCCGTTGAGAACCGCTATTCTAGGCTAAAGGCATCCAGGTGAGTCTCCCCTATCACCAGGTACCAAACCAAGGGGCCAGAGAAATGAACAGGAAGCAACAAACTGGGGCCGCTGCTCCTGATTTAGCTCAGCCTTGATTGTGTATTCACCTCTGAGCCACATGAGTCAGTAGAAAATATTTGGTTTAATACTTAAAGCACCAGTCGAGATCAGCACATGTAAAAATGATACCAGTCACAGGTGCCCACAAAGGGTGTGTGGCACCACACCATGGAGAGCCACGGTTGGCCATGGGGTGTGTTTCCCGGGGCTCCTTTTACAGCCAGTGACTCCTTGGCCCTGACTTGGGGGTTAAATTAAGTTAGTCTGTTTCAGATTCTTCTGTGGGTACAAACACCTCCCTCATCTTTTCCCCAGGGTCACTGACTCCTCCATGCTGCTGCCTCAGGTGGCAGATGTGAAGGTGCACTTTACCTGGGCCAGGGCTGGCCTGCTCCAGGGCCCTCAGGATTCAGGCAGTGGGAATGGGCCCATCCTCGTGGGAATGGAGCCCCCAGCACTGCCAGTATTTTTCAGTTTTAAGAGAAGTCGGAAATTGGATTATTTTCCATGTAATTTGATTTTGAAATGTTTGGCAGTAAATTGAGAGGGATCTGACCTGCAGGCCAGCTCTGACTTGCCTTGCCTCGGTTCTTCCCTGTGTCTTCCTTTAGCCAGAGTGGATTTGCCTTGACTCCCAGAGTACGGTCTGCCTGGGTGCCCGGCCGCCTGGCAGGAGAGGCCCCGGTGGGCTGGTGGGTGCCTCAGGCTGCACGGGCTCAGGCTCACCCTCACTTGTGCTTTCAGGGGAGCTTTTTGCCCAGGCCCCAGTGGATCAGTTTCCTGGCACGGCCGTGGAGAGCGTGACGGATTCCAGTCGGTACTTCGTCGTCCGCATCGAGGATGGAAATGGTACGCTCGGGTCTGGGCGCTGTCTCCCCGCGAGAAAGGTCTCCTCCGCCTCGAGAGAGAGGGACTGATGATGTGTTGTCCCCAGGGCGACGGGCGTTTATTGGCATTGGCTTCGGGGACCGAGGAGATGCCTTTGACTTCAACGTTGCTTTGCAGGACCATTTCAAGTGAGTGGCTCCGGGAGCCGTGTGCCCATGTCTCCTCCTGCCTCCGCCCTTCTTGCCCTGGCAGGGTGGTTCCCAGGCGCAGACTCCCAGGCGGTTGTGTGTGATGTGTCTGCCGGCAGAGCCCCGGGAGCACTCGGTCGTCCTTTGGGGCAAGCAGCTCTGTCTTGACTCTGGATTCCCTGCCCCCCAGGGATGCCCTGATGAGCCTTTTCCTCCCTCCATCCCTTCCTCCCTTTCCTTTCTTCCCTCCTTCCTTCCTTTATTTCATTCAAGAGCTGGGGTACAGGCCAGAGGTGCAGGGGGTGAGAGGATTCACCAGAGACAGAGTGGGGAGCAGAACAGGCAGACTGACTGAAATACACAGCGAGGGGAGCAGCGGGCAAGTCAGGGAGGTCTGCTGCGCCATGTAGGTCACCTCCCTGGCCAGGGATCGAACTTGTGCTGCAGTGGCTGTGGACAGCGTCATAGTGCTGCGTCTTAACCCCTTGCACCACCCGGAGGCCCCTGATGGTCCTTTCTTACAGACAGGGCAGGACAGACTGCTCTCTTGCTGTCTGTCTGCCTCCACCTCAGCTGGGCCGCTGTTCACATGGGCGCGCCCGATTCGTCCTGGACCTGCTGCCCCTGTGCCGGGTGGTTGCTGGATGGATGTCCTGTGGAGGGCCGGGGGGACCTTTGTGTTTTTTACTTTCTGGGCATCTCTCTTGTCTCACCATCTATCCTATGGACCTTAAGGGTATGTATGGAGATTGTCTTAGTCCTCATGCCAGATGCCAGGAAGGAGAGCGCCAGGTTCTCAGATTTCCTGAAGACCATTATTACGTCCCTTTACATAAGGGAGCTTGTTGAGTTTTCATAGCATTCTTTAAGATGTCTAGATGGTCATCCCATTTTGCTGATAAGAAAAATGTGCACACAGCTGCTCACGTGTCAGTCAGGATTTGAATTCTGGCCTCACCCCCAAGCCTGCATTCTTTCTTACCATCCCTCCTAAATAAAAACCACGACTTGGACTGGTGATAGGTGGGAATGAAGTGAGCAGATCAGGGCAGCTGGTCTGCTTCCTTACCTTTTTCTTCCTACTCTCCCAGGTGGGTGAAACAGCAGTGTGAATTTGAAAAACAAGCCCAGAACCCAGACCAAGGCCCCAAATTGGACCTAGGCTTCAAGGAGGGTCAGACCATCAAGCTCAACATCGCGGTGAGTTCCACCTTCGTTTAGCTCTACTGACCAGAGTCAGGTCACACTTGTGGCCACCACACCAGGCCAGCTCCGACCAGGCGATCATTTTTCATAATTCAGTTCTGTCAGTTGAGCAGATGTTTGTTCATCAAGCAGCTGCCCTGGGCCAGGTAGTTTGTGGGGCATGAATGAGAAGGCTCTGCTGTGAGGGAGCTCAGAACTGAGCTGAGGTGGTGATTACAGCGTGGCAAGAGGGATTCTATGACCTACAGAGCCCTAGGGAATCTGAAAACCCTGGGAAGAGGGGTCGGAAGATGGCTCAAGCCAAGGGAACACCGTGTGCAGAGGCCTCTGAGATGAGAAGCCGCATCAGCCCACGGCCCGAGCTGGCCTCTGTCCTGTTAGGGTGGGGGCCAGCCTAAGGCCTTGCGCTTTGAGTCAGGAAGATTTGGGATGGCTCTGGGCAGGAAGGCCTAGAGCAGGTCCAGGGCATCATAGGCAGCTTCTGCTGATGGCTGTGTTCTGGCTCCTTGTGGCTTTGTCCTAATGTCCTCCCCTGCCCCACAGCCAGCTCCTGCTGAGACAGAAGATTGGACTGGGTGCCAGGACTTGGCTTTTCGCCTGCCTGCAGGGGTGGTGCTGGAACAACTGGTTGTTTGAAGAAACTGTAACACTGAAATAATGCTCTTGCTCATTATTTACTGTCTCTTTCTCCTCTTTTCTGCTTCATGCTGGTGGTGATTCGGGACAACTAGCCTTGACGTTGGCCAGCTGGCCCTTAAGAGAGAACGCAGGTCATGTCCAGTGGACTGGTTGGGATGTGATTCTTCCTCTTGCTTGGAAGAAACTAACATTTAAGACCATCAGCTGTGTGCCAGGTAGTGTTTGTAGGCATTTTCTCATATGAATTAAACATCCTCCTTTGACAGACAGGAAGGAAATCAAGGCTTAGAGAGGTTAGGGAACGCGCCCCGGGTCACAGCGCTAGAAATAGTCGGCCCAGCTGCACTCACACTGAGGTCTTGGAGGATTTTAGCTTCAGGGTGTGGCCTTGGCATTTGATGAAGCTGCTGCTCTTCTCACAAGCAGGGAACCGTGTTGTCTTCATTTTTGTAACTGCTGGTTCCTGGCTCAGCTTTTTCTTCCTTTTTTTGTGTTGGTTCATGTTTTGTTGTAGTATAATATGCATGTGAGAAGTGTACAAATTATAAATGCAGATCTCAGTGGATAAAAAAAATCAAACTTACCCACATAAATGACCATGAAATCAAGAAGCAGAGCATCAACACTCTGGAAGCCCCTCTCACTCCTGTTAGTAACTTCCCACTTCAAGTCACCTCCTCGCGGTCTACCCCGGAGACTCTTCTGTGCGTGACCTCTTTCTTTCACTAATGTAGGACTTGTGAGAGCGTCCATACTGTCGCAGGTCATTTGTGCATCCTTGTTTGGTGGCATGTGATGAGACTGTCCCTGTTTAACTGACGGTGGACGTGGCCCCTGGGGCTGTCATGGTACCATTGCTGTGAGTGGCTGAGTGCCTGTCTTCGCTGCACACATCTGAGTTTCTGTGGGTCTGTATCTGGGAGTGGAATCGAGGGTCATCTGATCATATGGTCAGTTTCAATTGACCTTTCAAACCAGTGTTCAAAGCAGTCCCCAATCTGGTTGCTCCTGTCCTTGTCAGTGCCCAGTAACCGTTTTAGCGATTCTGGCGGGTGTGTAATCATGGTGTGCCACTGTTTTAATTCGCACCTCCCTGATGATTAATGAAGTCAGGTGCTGGGTTTTAAAATTAATTGTATATGTGATTGCTTAACAATCGTCACGGTTGAGTAGAGCGCATGATGATGAAAGTGCTGAACAGCTCTCGACCAGCTTGTGGTCATACAGCGTTTGTAACCCAGGCATCACCTTGCAGTAGCAGCACTGACTGGTTTGCATTCCTCTCCTCCCTTTAGAACATAAAGAAGAAGGAAGGAGTACCTGGGACTCCCCGAGCCCGTCCTGCCAGCACAGGAGGACTGAGTCTGCTTCCCCCTCCCCCCGGGGGGAAGACCTCCACCCTGATCCCTCCCCCTGGAGAGCAGTCATCTGGGGGGGCCTCCTGTGTCCAGCCAACAGTTGCTCCCAGCTCAGGTCAGTGCTTGGTAACTGTACTTCCTAAATCTTCCCCTGTGGCTTGCCCCTTCCCCTTGGCAGCTGGTGCCTCTTGGCCCTCCCACCTTCCCTCACACTGATCCATCTAGATGTGACAGACTGGGAGGTGAGCACCACACAGCTGGTCCTGCCCTTGCTAGCTAGCAGGTTGCTGTCTACTGACTCCCGCTACCAAGCCCTCGAGGGTGTCTGTCTTCCCCTGACAGGCTGGGGCCATGACTGTTTGTCGCTGTGAAATCATCAGCATGCGGGTGCCAGGTTCTTGGAGGCTGCTCAGTGAGGGAGTGGGAGACGTGAGCGCTGCTCACAGGGAGCGTGTGTCTAGTAGGACAGAGGAGTGACAGTCACAAGACCAAATATATGGGGACCGGCCACCGTGCTCTGGGGAGACTTCATGGAAAGGTGGCATTGAACTGGGCTTTAAAAGAAGAAGATTGAGACAGGAGATGCTTGACATTCCAGGGAGGAGAAGAGCACGAAGAAGACTCAGATTTTTTTCATTTCCTTTTATTTCTTTTTTTACATCAAATTTTATTGATTTGCTGCGTGTTTACATAACTGTAATTTTGGAATACAGCTTCACACTTCAGCATGGGTACATTCCTCACCTTCCACCAAAGTGCCAGTGCCAACTCCCTGTCACATCACCCCCTCTTCCCCAGTGGTACACAGTATATTTTTCACAGAGTCTGAGAGTTATTTTTATGCCAGTTTGTTATTTTTTGGTTATTTATATTCCACAAATGAATGAAACCATCCAGTCATTTTCTTTCATGTTCTGGCTTACTTCAGTTAAAGGCTCAGACTTTTAAATTCCCTATTTAGGGAGTGGGATACAGCCTAAGATATACCAGGGTGAGTGGGAGAAAATAGAGCTGGAGATTTAGTTTGGAGGAAACTCCCCACTGAGAGCGTCAGCTTGCTGAGAAGCTGACGGGCACCTTTCCCAGCTGGTATTTGTTTTAGGATATATGAAATGTCTTTTGAAGACTGGGATTCTAGGAGATAGTGCCTCATGATGGCCTCTGTCCATGCTGGGGTGCCACCCCATCCTCTTGACCTCCCTACCCTGCCATCCAGCTGGATGCCCTAGCCTTCCCCAGGTGGGGGATTGTCACCAGCCCACTTTCCCCACACTGCTCTCATGGGGTTCTTAGGGGCAGGATCCAGTCAGGAAACCTGCTTTCTTTCCCTTTTACGAGGCCCTAGACAGTGACTTCCCTATTTGGAGATTGGGCTTCAAACCTCGACCCAATGGGGAGTTCCCAGCCCAGGAGAGCGGTAGGAGAACCAGTCAGCCAACCTGCCCCAGCACCAGGGATCGTTCTTTGGGCTTGGTTTCTCACAATGGGGTCAGGGCAGGAACCTGTGCTCTTAGCATTATTTGTAGTCACTGAGGTCTGAGCCTCTGCCTTGGGCCTTCTCTTAGTTGCTGACACAATTTGAACAGCTGCCGTGGAGCACTTGCTGTGTGCCACCTAGTGGTGTAGGCACCGGGGGGACGGCAATTCCAGCACCAAGTCCATACTCTCAAGGGCTCACGCTCCACCGTGCAAGATGCAGTTAGCATGTCTGCCAACAAGGTGGAGTCCAGTGATAGGAACCAGGACTAGCTGACATTTACTGAGCACTGACTGCTTGCTCCAAAACCAGACTGGCTGAGGGCAAATTCTGACTTACAGTTGTGTGCTGCTCAGAAGAGCTCCTACCTCTCTGTGCCTCGTGTTCGCGTCTCTTGACTGTGGGCAGCGCCATTCCTGCAGCCTAGGTTTCCAGTGAGTGTCCGACAGGCTAGGCTGTGTCCAGCACCTAGAAGTATGCCTGGGACATTGTCTGCACTCCCTGGGCATGAGCTTGTTTTATTAACAGTCTCATCTCTGTGCTCTGGGGCTGTCCTAAGCATTTTGCATTTATTAAGTCTTTTAATCCTCAGACCAGACCTCTGAAACAATTGTTGTGATTGTCCCCATTTTAGAGAGAAGGAAACAGACTTAAGTGACCTGCATAAAGTCACTCAGCTAATCCCAGCCTGTCACCCCCCCAGGGACTGTACAGAGATCATGTACAGTGTGTGCTTGAGAAACTGAAAGACTTAAGCCTTGAGGCTCCAGTTTTATCTGCCTCCCAGGCCAGAGAAGATTAGAAAGAACAAATTGGTAGGAAGGCAAGTGGGTGGCAGGCACAGGGCCTTCAGAAGGGACAGTGGGAGTACAAGGGGTGGTGCCAGAGAAACACAGAAGCAGGTGTGGCAGCCCACTTGTCCCACCCACCTTAGTGAAGAGATGTGCATAGATGCCAGCTTCTGGAAGGTTCCCAGTTTGGCCCCCTGGGCAAGGCACCTCTCTAGCACGTAATTTTCTAAGCTGGTGATCCAGATGCTGGTCTGAGGGCATTTTACGAAGATAACCTTGCTGTCTGGGTGGGTGTTCTCTATTCCAGAAGCCAGGGCAGGAGGTAATAAGAAGTAAACAGATTTGTAACGTAAGTGGTTGAAAACAAGGATGACTTCAGGTGTGAGTGACAGAGACGTGGGGCTCCCCTCAGCAGCCCCCTCCCCTCCACCATGAGTGTGACACTGCTTTTTTTCCAAGCGCCCCCAGGGCCCATGAAATGACTGTGGAAATGCAACAGCTCATTAGGGCTTTGTTGCCAGAAACGTGTGCTGGTGCATGTATGCATGTGTGTGTCCGTCCATGTGTGTCCGTCCTCCTCCTCCACCACCTGGGATCCTGGGAGTCCACTGAGACAACCATAAAATGGTCTCTGACTCCTTCTTCCCTCTCTTCTCTCCCTTCCTGTTGGACTTGATGACATCAGCGGGAGGTGCCACTGTATCCTGGCCACAGCCCAAGCCTGCCACTCCTGCGACCGCTGACATCTGGGGAGACTTTACCAAATCCATGGGGTGAGGAGGGTCATGTTCTCTGTGGTGGGGCTGGGACGAGGACTAGTGTCTAAAAACCTGGGGGTGCACCACATGCCTTCCTTGTGACTTATGGGCAGTGGCTCTATTTGGCCATTTTCAGGCTAACCAGAAGACAGCACCCGAGTGTCTGCTTTGGGTGGCCCCTTCCTCTCTGACAGTTTTCTGCCACTCTCCACTGCTGGGGGCCACTTATACAAGTCTCTGGTTTTTAAACCACTTCACCAAGTGCTTTCACTTGTTCCTCCTCCAAACCTCCCTGTACCTCCCCCAAACCTCCCTGTACTGGGTTCAGACTTAACCTGGGTTCCAGCGTTGGCCTGTCCTCACGGGATCTCTGAGGAAGCCCCTTCCCTTCTCCAACTCCATCAAATTTCAAGCTTCTACTTGGGGTCAAGGTGACAAGACTCTTTAAGTGACTCGTGCCCCATTGTGTAGGTGGAGAGGCTGTAGGACAGGGGTCAGCACACATTTGCTGTGAAGGAACACACTTTGCAGGCTTTGTGGTCTCTGTTCCAACCACACAGTTCTGCTTTTATTTTTTATTTATATTTTTAAAAGATTCATTTATTTATACAAGCACTGGCGTATAAGCCAGAGGTGCGGGAGGGTGAGAGAATTCACCAGAGACAGAGCAGGGAAGCAGAACAGGCAGAAAGGAAGGACCAAAATACACCGCTGAGGCGACACAGGAGAGGTCTGCCGCGCCATGTGGGAATCTCCCTGGCTGGGAATCCAACCCACGCTGCAGAAGCTGCGGACAGCTTCACAGCGTTCTGCTCAATCCTCTGCGCCACCAGGGAGGCTCACAGTTCTGCTTTTAAAGCTCATAAGCAGCCACAGATGATATGTAAATCATCTGAGTATGGCTGTTGACTGTGTACCAATAAAACTTTATTTACAGGGCCTCCCCGGTGGCGCAGAGGTTGAGCGCTGGGTTGCGAAGCTGTCCGCAGCCTCTGCAGCTCTGGTTCGATCCCCTGCTGCTCCCCGGCCACCGGAGGAGGGTCCCACATGGCGCGCAGACCTCTCCTGCCGCCCGCTGCTCCCCTCAACAGTGTACTTCGGTCCTTCTGCCTGCTCTGCTCCCCGCTCTGGCTCTGGTGAATCCTCTCACCCTCCCGCGCTTCTGACTGTACCCAGTGCTTGTATAAATGAATAAATAAATCTTTAAAAAAAAAAAAACAACTTTATTTACAAAAGCAGGCAAATGCCTAGATTTGGTCCCTGGGCTGTACTTTGCTGACCCCTGCTCTAGAATGTTCAGGGAGTGACTTCATAGGGCTCTTTCTGCCCAGAGAGATGCCACCTTTTATCTGCTCTGTATTTCCAAACACCTGAACTCTCCCACCCCTCCTTATCTTCCTTTTACAGGTCCACTTCCAGCCAGACTCAGCCCGGCACAGGCTGGGTCCAATTCTGACCTAGTTCCACGCTCCTTTTCCTGTACAACTTCTGGAAAGGAGCTACCTCATCTGGGCCCAACGAAGGAGGATGCAGTCCTCCCTGGCCAGCCTCTGTTTGGGGCATGACTCTCTCTCTCTCCTCCTCGCCTGACTCTTGACAGCCTGGGCATGTTAGGCAGCAAGTTGGCACCATGTCACACTGTCCTGGGATTCAGATTGCCTCCGGAACACAGAGGAAGAAAAGCTCCGGGATCCCCAGTCCCGTCTGTCCTCTTGACATCAGAGAGACTTTGAGGCTGCTTCTGCCATCACCATGACCCGTATTAAATACAAGCCCCCGCTCCTGGAGTGTGCTGCCTGGATTCAGACGAGCCCTTCTCAGGGGTGACAGGTGTCATGGGGTCACTGTCTGGAAGGGGGGCTTTCTACATTCCCGTTGGCTGGAGCAACTTCAAAGAAGGGATTCCTTCCTGATTTCTAGCAGGTTTATAGGCTGCAGCTTGAACAGACAAGCAGGAGGGGAGTTGGAACTATTAGCCAGCTTCTAAAAAATGTTAATACTTGCTTTGCTAATGAGCTGACCCGCACTAACTCCTCTCTGCAAGGAGGCTGTTCCTGCAATCTGCCCATAGGGGCCTCTGCGAGCGTGTCTTGCCATCAGCCCTAGGAGCAGCCCTGAGCTTCAGGAAGTAGTGTTCATCTTGTCCTAGTAGCCTGGAGTCTGCATCTGCCAGGCCAGGTAGGCAGTGCAGGGCTGAGGCAGGAAGCCAGGTGAAAGTGTGGGCGGGGAGTAGAAACTTCTCCCTGGAGGCTTGGGCCTGCCCTCCCGTCCACTGGCAGCTCTCGGGTTCACAGGCTCACAGCGCAGTTCCTGGTGGACCTGGTTTTCTCCATGGTGGTTCCTGAAGTGCCTTGTCTGCAGACAACCTTGACTTTGCTTCTCCTTCCTTCAGAGACTGTACATGACAGACAGAAGGAGCACAGAGCAAACAGGAAGTCCAAGGTTGCCTGCATTACTGGTTTATCAGAAATGTTATCTGAGCACGCCTCTGAAACTGCTTTCACTGACTGACTTTACCTCTTACTGAGAAATGTCTTTTGTGAAGGGTCAAGACAATGGACTGAAAAGTGTTGGCCTTTTTTTGTGGGACCAGACTTTTAAGATAAAAATAAATATTTTTACTTTCTGTCAGCGTCTGCCGGAGATGAGCATGTTTTTGACACATGACTGCTTAGCCCTCTAGGAGCCGCAGCTGGGTCGGAGGCCGCCTCTCACCACTTGTCACATGACTCATGAAAAGTCCTGGGCCAGGGTGTGAGGGTGGCTGAAAAAAGGGAATTTGGCCCTGTTGCCCTAGGCCACCAGACTCTTCTCTCCTGTGCATGTGGGAGAGGACAGTCTCGCTGCCGCTGGGGCCGTTGTGAAAGTGGTTGTTCACATCACTCTGGGGGACTCAGTTCTCCCATGGAACCTGGGGTGGAAGAGGCTGTGCTGCTGTGCTTGGCCCCCTGCCTCCATCCAAGACCTCTCTGGAAGTTTCTTATAAGACAGTAAGGGTGTGCGGGCGTGCAGAGGCCAAAAGATAAAGGTCACAGCGCTTCTCACACCTGAGCGTTCTGTAAGAAAGGACCCCTTCTTGCAGTTTTTATCATGGACATAGTCACGCTGGCTAATAAACAGCGTAAAGGGTGGTGGGGAGAAAAAAATTGCAATTGAGCCTTTGCCCACTGAACAAGGATAAGGAAATTGCATCAAAGGAGCCTCAAGAGGAGTAAACATTTTTGTGTCTGTTTCCCATGACTTCCCATGCGTCGAGGAAGCTTCAGCTTAGGGGAACCCCTTAATTAGAAGTGTGAACCTTCAAAGATAAGCGCTGGAATTTTGGAGATAGACCTGGGCTTTGGGTCGCCTGCCTTTTGGTTAGCTGTGTGGCACGGCTCCTTCCTTAGCCCAGATAAGGGATATAAAGCATCAGCAGGTGCCCCTCCTATAGTTTGACTTTAATTACCTTTGTCTGGAATCTAGCACCTAGAATTCATAATGGTGATGAGGAAATAACCTGGAAAGCGCCTTCAGGAGGGGTGTCTGGGAAGGCAAGGGAAAGGTTGGTGTGCTCTGTCACCAAGTGGGGTCCCAGCTGCATCTGAGTCCCCAGGGAGAGCCCTGGTACCAAACCAGGAACAGGGAGATACCATGTCCTGTGGGCAGAGTGGGCTGCAGTAGGAGAACAGCTTTTCCTCACTGTAGCTTCAATGTGGACGATTTCATGTTTTCTTCTTGATCAGAGAAAACAAAATATTAATAATCTGTAATAAATTTTAAAAGATTGGGGATAGCTTGATGTCTACATTATCAATTGCTGTGTCACAGTCACCCCAAAATTCAGCAGCTTAAAACAGCACATATGGTCTCAGGTTCTGTGGGTCCAGAATCCAGGTACAGCTTAGCTTATCAGTGTCTCCCACAGCCTCAGCGCATGACAGTGGAACCACAGTGTCACCTGAAGGCTCAGCGGGGTCCACTCACCATTGTTCTTATTGGCTATTGGACACAGGTCACTCCCTTTCCCTCCACAGTCCACAGCTTGGCGGTGCGCCTCATCGCCGGGAAGGGTGAGTGCAGGTGTGAAGGCAGCCCCGGGCTTCATCTGGGACAGTCCGTCACCTTGCTGGGCAAAAGCAAGTCTACTCAGGGCAGGGTGCACAGGGCGTGCACTGGACGCAGGGGTCTCTATCGGCCCTCTTGGGAGGCTACATCTCATTTCTAGGGCTACCGTAACCTACCACAAATTGGGGGGCTTAAAACCACAAAATTTTCTCCCGTTCTGGAGGCCACAAGCCTGAAGTGAAGATGTCAGCAGGGCCCTGCTCCTCCCAGAGACTCTGACAAGAGCCTTGCCCTGCAGCTTCCGGTGACCGGACAGCATTCCCTGGCTTGAAGGAGCGGAACTTCAGTCTCTGTCCCGCCACACTCCCTTCTCCCTGCCCCGGGGTGTGTGCTCGTTCCTGAGAGGACTCCAGTGCTTGGATTATTCTGAATACTGGATGGTTTCATCTCAAAAATTTTAATTACCTCTACAAAGGTCCTAGTTCCAAATAAAGTCACATTCACAGGTATTGGGGATTAGAACTTGAATGCAAATTTGGGGGAGACATAATTCTGCCCAGTACAGTCTATCCACTACCATGACTGTCAGAAGGGGGTGGGTGGCTGATATGAGCGTAGGTGCCTCCATACCTGGAGTATTAGCTCCTTACTGTCTGATAAGGGGTGACAGCAAGGTCCAGCCACAGTATGTTCTCGTAGCTTCTGTGGCTCTAACATGTTCTCTTTCATAAAAATATGAGGGGAAATATTTTGTGTGCATGGAATATCCCTAGAATGATACACAGGACACAGCTCTCCTGTGACTGCAGGACGAGATTGAGTGACTAGGAGACAGGACGGGGCGAGCTACTTTGACTGTATTAACTGTCTGGACTCTTTGAATTTGAGCCAAGTGAGTGAACCATCTCTTCATAGAAAATTGCGTTCAAAAGGTTGTACCGACACCCAAAGATACGGAGGAGGATGGTTAACAGTTTAGTGTTTTCTTTTTTCCCATTAAGCCTACTTATAAGGAATATCTTACTTTTTTTTTTTTCATAAATATGGTTTATTCCGTCCCGGTCTGAAACCTCTAATATCTTGTAAACATCTCTTCAGTCACGGAATGTTCTGTAACATTTGGAATGACTTCACAGCATTCCACTGACTGCAAAGCCCTGGTTGCTGGACATTTAAGTCTTTCTAAATTTTTGCAATTAAAGTCAGGCATTATATGGCCTCCTTGGTGGCACAAGGGGTTAAGCACCGCACTATAAAGCAATCCGCAGCCTCTGCAGCACGAGTTCGATCCCTGGCTGGTCAGAGAGCAACCTACATGGTGAAGCAGACCTCTCCTGACTTGCCCGCTGCTCCCCTCAGCAGTGTATTTCAGTAGCTCTGCCTGTTCTGCTCCCCACTCTGTCTCTGGTGATTCCTCTCACCCGCCGCATCTCTGGCCTGTACCCCAGCTCTAGTATGCATAAATAAATAAATCTTTAAAAAAAAAAAAAGTCAGGCATTATAGACAGACTGCAAGTTAGCTTTGAGTTATCCAGTAAATCCTGTTAACCGGAACGGCCATTCTCTAGCCTCCTGGTTAATGTGGTTTTGCTTAGTGGTGGGCAGAGTCCAACCCAGCCCTGTGCTCAGATTTGGCAGACACTTGGTCCTAGCAACCTGGGGGTGGCAACTCCAGTCACTTGTTTCCCAGTTACCTGAGTTGCTTATTTAGAACCCTCCGCAGTGAGCAGGTGAGTACCTGGCACAGTACCCTTCTGGTGGCTGGTCCTGGGGTCGCTGGTCTGGGCACCACCCAGTTATGGGATAGAGCGACTGGTGGGCGGCAGCCCTGGGGATTCAAATAACCCAAAAGCCAGGCTGAGCTGAGCAGAGCCACTGAGTCAGCAGGTAAGGACCCAGTTTCCTTCACAGAGAGAGGAGGTTGAGACCTGCAGTAGATCTTGTGGGCTCTGGTGGCAAGAGGGTCATGGAGAGAGGAGCTGCTGTCCTCAATTCACAAGAGGAGGCACCGTGTAGAGAAAAGGGCATGGGGATAAAAGCCACTGAACTAATGCTGTGTGTCCTGGGGCAAATGACTGTACCTCTCTGAGCCTCAGTTTCATTTATAGCAATCTGTAAAATGGAAATAATCCTAGAGGCTGCTTCACAGAAGTGTTCAGAGGGGACAGGACAGAATGAGAAAACATAAGAGGAAGCAGCCAGCACAGTGTGGTTTACAGCCCGTGTGGGCGGCCTGCGAGGTACCAGAACTGGCAACCAAGGGAGAGCTGGTCGAGAGGACCTGGGCAGGGAAGGTCACAGAAGGGAACATGAACCCAGACCCTGGTGCTGTGAGAGGCTCTGGAGTGAGGGCTCCAAGGGGCAGGCAGGATGAGAAATGTACCGGTGGGGCCGTGAGCCTGCCAGGGTAGGGACCCCCTGTGGAGTCGGGACCCCGCAGGTCTGGGTGATAGGGTTTCACACCCAGGCCATGCTGGGCATCTCAGGGCAGCTGTGTTTACTGGCAGGGGTCAGGCACCCCTCCCTTGGCTGTAACAGGTCACCTCAGTGAAACTTTCCTTCCAGTTTTGCACCTCTTCCAGCCCCAGCCCAGGGGTTGACTGAAATCTCCGTCGATCAATAACCCTCAGCCCTGATCAGGTCCCAGCCCTGCCTGTGGGATCCCTGGGTCAGCCTGAAGGGCAGGCTGTCAGCCTGGAGGGCGTTTCAGATGTTAAAACCAGGCTCCCCTTAGACAAAGCACCTACTCATCCCCTCCAAATGGAGGGGAGCACAGAACTGTTCTCCAAATAGAAAATCGTAAAATGAAACATGCTTTTTCTAACAAGGCACCCCCCCCCCCCACTAGATTCAGACCTGCCTGAATCCAGTGCCTTCCAGACGGGAAGGCTGAGAGCGGGGAATGGACCCAAGGGATTCGTAAGGGACAGAGGACCTTTCCTCTGTGGTCTGACCGCTTCCCGTCTGGGGCATGAGCAGAAGGAACCGGCAGCAGACGGGCTCGGGTGTCACCATCTCACACACCCGCCCTGTCAGGACATCAGGAAAGGAAGACGTTCCCTCACCCGCCAGCCCCCTGCAGCCCAGTCTCGCTACTCAGCCTGCCGGGGCGATGTGAGGCCGGAGCTTAGTAGTTAAGGACCTTTACGGCCGGGCCAGTGAGGACGAGCCGAGACCTCAGGGGGCCCTTCGATCCCGCCTCTTAGCAGCGGCGACTCCGCGCGACCTGCGCAATCTGCAGTTTCCCGTTTATGCAAGAAGCGAATAATCCCCTTTGCTGGGCTGTCCGGAGCAGTGAGTGCGAGCGTGTGTCCAGCGTGGGCCCGGCACTCGCTCCACAGGCCCGTTCCACGCCCCGCGGCGCCGCCCGGGCCGCCGGGCCCGGCTCCTGGGGTGCGGCCTCCGCCCCCCACCCCCGGCGACGCGGGCACGCGGGCGGGTTGGCCGCGAGCCCCGCCCCGGCCCCGCCCCCAGCCCCGGCCCCGCCTCCGGACCAGGCCCCGCCCCCGGCCCGACCAGGCCCCGCCCCCGGCCCCGCCCAGCCCGGCCCGCTCGGCCCGGGCGGCGGCGGCGCGCAAAGGTAGGGGGCCGGCGGCGCGCGCTCCCGCGGGCGGGGGACTCGGGTGCGCGGGGCGCGCTCCGGCGGAGGAGGCCGCGGGGACGCCCCGGCGCCGGTGGCCGGGCTGGTGTGGCGGCGCGGGCGGCGGGCGGCGGGTGGCGGGCGGCAGGAAGGCGGGCGCCGTCCGGGGTCCCGGGGCCGCCGTCCGGGGTCCCGGGGGCGCTCGGGCGCCCGGCTGCGCCCCGCGGCCGCCTGGCCTGGCCTGGCCGCAGGAGCGCGCGCCCCGGGCCCCGCGGACGTCCTGCCGGACGCCCCGCCCGCGTCCTCCGGGGTCCGCGCGGGCCGGCGTGGGCGCGGCGAGGCGCGGGCCGGCGGGGTGCAGCGGCCTGCAGGCGCCCCACGGCGCCCCCCACCCGGGCCGAGCTGGGGGGAGGCCCTTCCCCGCAGCCACCACAGAGAGTCGGCGCCTCACGGTGGCTGCATGCGGGCCCGGCGCGCGCCCTGCCCCTGGGGGAGGCCATTTCGTCTTCCAGCGACCCTGCGCAGTTGCAAGTGGCTCCACTTTCCCGGGGAGAGAACTGGCGCCCAGAGCGGGCAGTTCAGTTGCCTGAGATGGCACAGCCTGTGCAGGGATGTGGGGCCTCCTTGCACTCCTCAAACCCGGCCCGAGGCTCCCTGGCCCAGTCTCGGGTTGGCGTGAATGGGCTCCCTCGTGATTTTTCTGCAAATCCTAGAGGATTCTGGCGGACTCTGCGCCCTTGATGACCGGTCTCCCCACCTCCAGGGGGAGCCCAGATTTGCCTGGGGGAGGGGCTGGTCTCCCCAGCTCCCAGGGGAGCCCAGATTTGCCTGGGGGAGGGGCTGGTCTCCCCAGCTCCCAGGGGAGCCCAGATTTGCCTGGGGGAGGGGCTGTGAGGGTAACTTGTCTGTTGTCATCTGAGATTTCCTGTTTTCCTTAGCTGAGTTCACAGCAGGTGCTTTAAAATAAATCCTGTGGCAGGAGCAGGCCGGAGTCTAGGGGCCAGGTGGGGCTCCTGGGTCAGAAAAGGGTTCAGGAATGACCTCAGGAGTCACTGGGGGCTTCCCTGTCTGATCTCGGCTCTCCTGTCTTTCTCTCCAGCCCTGGAGACTAGGCACCCCTCCCACCCTGGAGTCCTTTGTGGGGGATGCTGCCTGCTTTACGGCAGGGCTGGGTGTGTGTTCACCCTCAGTCCTTCTAGCACCTCAGTCTGTGGGTTTGCCCAATGTGACATATACCCTCCCAAAGCCCAGGGCAATGATTTCCCCTTTCTTCCCGTTTTTTCCCACTTAGTTTCTGCTATCATTACCTGTCTCTCAGCATGCATTCATTCGGTCAACAGCTGTCCATTATGCTCTGGGCCTTAGGTACTGTGGAGACAGCAGTGAGTAAGGCCAGCTGGGCCCCTGACCTTGGAGGAGATGCAGCGTACATGTTGGAGCAAACATGAATGCCTCCTGGCAGGACCACTTTAGTGGAGAGGTCAGGGCTAGCTCTCTGAAGGTGATGTTTTTGAATCAAGATCTGATTGACAAGGAGGAGTCAGCTATTCGAACGAAGGGAGAAGAAAAATGGCAGGTGCAAAGGCCCTGGGGTAGGAGCAAGCCTGGTATGTTTGAAACGAATCAAGCCAGCACAGCGTGGCTGGAGCAAGAGCAAGGAGGAGACTGGGGGCAAGGCTGGGCAGGACTTTGAATTTGCTTAGGGTGTGATAGGAGCCAGTGGGGTTTGAGCAGAGGAGAGCAGTGGCTTATATAGCACACGCCGTCATTGTCGGAGCTTGCGGGCACAGCAAGCGCTGCCTGATGATGGCCGTGTGGTTTCAAACTTTGGCACCGGGCATACCTGGGTCTCAGCGTTGGCTGCAACTCTTGGTGGCCGGGCAACTGAGCATGTTGTCACCTGTAAAGTGGGCAGATCAGTATCGGCATCACAGGGCTATAAGGTGAGTACAGATTAGGTGCAGATACAGAGTCCTGGTTCGTGATTGCTTCAGTCGTTTTATTATAATTTTTAGTCAAGCAACCAGACAACAATGAAGGGGTATGCGGTAAAAGCAGCTGGTATGTTTCAGACGGAAGAGTCATCTTTGGGGGACTTTCTAGCTATTCCTACAGCTCGACCTGGCAAATAGCAGGTTTTGAGGGTGGGCACTGGCCAAGCAGGGGTGGGGAAGGAATGGGTTCAAAGGGTGTCTCCTCTGTATTTATTCATTGAACAGCAGCCTCAGGTCTCCTGTGCCAGCTACAAGGTTCTAGATTGGATATTGAGAACCAACGAGACTAACACTATTAGTGGTAACAGTAATAACAGCCTACACTTACCCACTATTTAATGGCGTGCAGTAATTAATACTAGCTTGTGTGATGGTGGAACCTGAGTTCTCAGAGACTTGGCACATCAGGTTTATTTCTCAATCGTGAAATATCCTGTGGGGTATTTGGCAGGTGACTTTCTATGCAGTGGCCCACAAACCCCAACTCCCATCTTGTGGTTCTGGCGTCCCCTAGAACTCAGCGTTATTTCCTTCTGGCTGGGGGGCAGGGAAGGAGAGCAACCTAGGAGAACCTTCATGGGAGTGTTGATGGTCTGAAGCTGCACACATTCTTTCTGCCTTAATTCCACTGGCAGCAACTTGATCACATGACCAGATCTGTCTGCAAGGGCATCTGGGGAATAGCTAGGAACCTTTTTCCTAAGAAGAATCAGAAATATTTTATGGTGGACGCATAGGCGTTTCGGCCACACCATATCCAGGCACACAGCTAGGCATGGATCATTTAATTCTGTGTGTAGAAGCATGTACAATTATGATCCCATTTTACAGACGAGGAAGCCAAGGGTCACAGAAGTCACTGGCCCAGGGTCACGCAGCTGGTAGGGAGAAATTGGCAACATTGGAGTCCCAGCAGTCAGACACTGACCCTATTATGTCAGAATTTTCCTATGCGCATTTCCATCATTTTTGAGGGTTCGATGGGAGCTGCAGATGTTGGAGAACTCAAGAAGACTCAGGATGTATATGTGGTTTCTTGGGATCTGCAGAGGCCAGTAGGGCTCGGTGGAGAAATATCTGTGGGCAAAACCAAGTGTTGGTATCACCCATCAGGGTTCTGATGTCCCACCCCCTCCCCCCTCACCATCCCTCAGGGCACAGAACAGTTTCAATTCAGTTCACCAAGCACATCAGGACCCCTCTCTCTGCCAACCTGGGCACATAGGGTGGAGATCTTGGCCTAGGAGTGTTTATTTATACATACGGGAATTGGGATGAAGACCAGAGGTGGGGGGGGGGGTTCTGGTGAGAGGATCCACCACAGACAGAGTGGGGAGCAGAACAGGAGGATCCACTGAAATACACTGCTGAGGGGAGCTGGAGCTGCATCGTGTGGGTAACTCCCCAGCCTGGGATGAACTCAGCCTTTATAGAGCTGAGACTTTAACCCCTGCACCACCAGGGAGACCCTATAGCGGGGATTTCTGAAGGCTGCCTGGGGGTAGCCAAAGGGGGTTCCCAGGGCTTGTAGTGGCAGCTCTCTGCCCCTTGCCAAGTTTAGTTTTGTCTGAATCTGGCCTTGGTTGTCATGGCAACTTTGTGATGCTTATCTTTCCAACTTGGTGCACCCTGTTTCCTGGTTTTCCATTTGCAGAACAGATTTCCTACTTGGGGGTGAGGGGTCACCTGCTGCATTCCTGGGTGGGACCTGGACACCTTGGCGGAGCCTTGAACGGCAGCTGCCCCGACCTTGCCCAAGAGGCACTGTGTGCGGGGTGGTCAGACCCAATGCAGGGAGCTTTAGGTTTCCCGCTCCTGCTGCCTGCTACTTTGGCCTGCTGGGCCTCTGCTTCCTCGCTGAGCCTCCGCTTCCTCATCTGGAAATGGGTGGGGAGTTAATAAGGGAGCATAAATGTGCCTCTTAGGGGACAGGCACTCAGAGCAGAGGGCACCCAGAGGTCGGGGGGGTGGGTGGGGGAAGGCGGCAGGAGCCCAGACACATGCCACTGGTGCCATGTGCTGCCCACTCCCGGGCACTGTGGTTCTAAGCCACTTCCACCTTTCACCCCATTTAATCCTTGCAGTCACTGCGGGGTCCCTGCAATTGGCCCACATTACAGATGAGGAAACTGAGGCTCGGAAAGAGACCTTGTTCAAGGCCATATTGTCAACAAATGGCAGAGCTGGGACTCCAGTGCTGACTCCAGAGCTGCGGCCCCAGCCACCAGGCGGGGAAGGAATAGTGCAGGCGGGTGGGCCTTGGAGCCCAGGGCCCTGGGGTGAGGGACTGGCCATTTGTATTCACTGAGTGCCCGCTCAGGGCGTGAGTCACACAGGGTGTTTTGTTTAATCCCTTGGACAACCTCAAACAGGGGGACATTGAGGATCAGGGAGGCAGAGTTGCTTTCCAGGGGCCACAGAGCCAGCGTGGGAGTGAGGGTGAGGGGGGCTGCTCCCTTTCCGGTCTGGGTGACTCAGCTGGTGTTCTTCTCACCTGAGGTGGGCAAAGGTCATCCCAGCACCCACTAAATACATTCTTAGCCAACCATGTCACCCCCATGTGGGCCAGCAAAGGCGGCCTGGAAGACTGGCCTTCCCAGCTTCCTGGATGCGGACCCACCGCCGGGGTTTGGAGGGCTCTAGGACCCAGCAGCTGGGGAGGGTGGAGAGAGTGCTGGGGGAGGGGTAGACTGGGGGGCTGGAGTGGGGGTGCCTCCTTCTTGCCCCACCCCCCCTTCAGACCTCTTCTCGCCTCAGTTCGCTCCTGCCTTTGCCCCCCCCTTTCTTCTCACTCCCCGCTGGTCCCTCGGCCCCTCCCACCTCTGTGGTCACATGGGGGCACCGCCGGATTTAAGCCTAATCTGCCCAGTGCTCTGCACCGAGGTCTGGCTGTGGGGTGGGCGGCTGAGCTGCTCTCTGGAACCCTGGAAAAGGGGCCTTAGGGTTGCCCACAACCTCCCCTCCATGAGCTTGGGGCTAGAGGGGTCGTTGGAGGCCCAGCTGGCACTGGAGACTGTTGTCCAGGTGGGTCCTGGGGACCGTGCCCACTGGCCAGGATGGGCATCCTAGGCCTAGCTGGAAAGTGAGGGGTGGGTGCATCTTGGGGGTCAAAGGGTGGGAGAGGTGTGATGGTGGGGTGCACAAGGGCCTCAGCTTTCAGCTCCCAGTCAGACTGGGGGTAGAGGGGTGCTCAGGGCTCAACTGCTATGGTTCCCTTATCCTAATGCCCTGTGTGGGGAAGGTGGTCCCCACTCCCAGATTTTAGGGTTGGGGTGAACTGCTGGCACAGTGGGATCCTCACTAGAGGTTGGAACCCCCAATAATCTGCTGCTCTGATTGGGTTTGTGAGGAGGCCATTGGGGTTTGGTTCTCTTCTCTGCCCCTGAGCGGGGGGACCCCCTTCCCTGGGCAGGGGGCACCCAAGAGTGACCTTCCAGGGAACTTTTTGTAACACTAGATTCTAGTTCCCAGGCTTCCCTCCCTTACAGGGACTTCCTGAGGGCCTCCTGGGCACCCACATCTTGGGTGGCTGGACTTTGCTCCTCTCCCACCCAGGCTAGGGTGCCCAATGTCCCAGGTCCCCCACAGACCCTCTGTCTTAACCCCTAGACACTGCAAAGCAGCATCCTGGGGTCGGGCCAGGAGAAGGGCCTGGGTGTGCGGGACCCGGCCCAGGACTCTCTGCCCGCCCGCATCAGGGAGATCGTCACCCGCAACCTCTCCCAGCCTGAGAGTCCAGGTACCAGCCCCCCCACCCCCCCACGGGCACTGCCCACAGCTCTCAGTTTGCTTCTCACACCTCGACAGACTGCGATGAGCGTGCCCACAGCTTTCCATGTTTGTTCTCCCCGTGAGGCAGGCGCAGCCCTACGGTGGAGGAACCCATCTTACCCATGAGGGATGGAGGCTCAGAGGGGTAACCTGCCCAGACTGGTCTCCCCGTGGGATTCAGCTAGAAGGTGCTAGAAGGTGGTGCTGCAAATCCCCTCCTTGCTTGCCTGTGGCCCGCTGCGGAGACTTAAACTCCAAACCCATATTCCTTCCCAGGGAAGGTGTGAGCTGACTGACCCCGAAGTTACCGCGGGAGGCAGCTCAGCTGAGCCCAGGGCTTTGCAGAGCCAGAGTGCTGGCGCTGCCCATTCCCCTTCTGGTCAGGGAGGCTGAGGGGTCTCTGCCCCTCCTGGTGGGCCAGACCACAAAAAGGCCATGTGGCTTAGGGGCGGGGAAGGGCACACTCCATTGCAGCTGGCACGTTTGCAGCTCTCCGTGGTGTTTGTGGTGCTCCTGCTGCAGTACGTGTCCAGCGTCAGTCTCCTTGGAGGACTAGCAATACTGGGGCCCCTGGCAACCCCAGACAGGGAGAGACTTAGAGAATCTTTACCCCAAGCTGGAAGAGCCTAGAGACTTGTGGTGGGTCCAGTTCTTGGCATGGGAGGGGAGCCCAGAAGACAGGGCGACCCTTCCACTTCTGCCTTTATTTCCCTCCTCCTCCTCACTTGGCCTGTGCTGTCTTGAGCCCTTCTGGCTTCGGAAGTTACATGAAGCTCTTCCCTTAAGCGAGGCTCTCGGTCTCTCCTGGCAGGGTTTGTTCCGTCCATTTTAAGGTCAGCAAAACTGAGACCCAGAGAAAAGTAGCAATTAGAGAGGAGAGAGCTGGAACTTGGGGCCTGGTCTTCTGATTCCCGGACCAAGCCTCCCTGCTGCACCTCTCGGGCCTCCCCCACTTCAGCATCCTGGTGCCCCCTCTAAGGCTGCTCACCTTTTTGTCCTTTGGCTCTGTTTGTGTGGTCTGGCACCCTCTCCACTCCCACCGGGCCACCCGGGGTCTGGTCCATGCTCCGGGCTGCAGGAACGGGTAGGGCATCTGTACGGGAGGACGTCCGCCTGGATCCAGGTGGAGCCAAGCGTGTGTCCACTCCCTCCGCAGCCCCGCTGCCGGCCCCAGAGATGGCATCGATGCTGTCGCTGCAGGAGGAGAACCAGCTGCTGCAGCAGGAGCTGTCCCGCGTGGAGGACCTGCTGGCCCAGAGCCGAGCTGAGCGCGACGAGCTGGCCATCAAGTACAACGCGGTCAGCGAGAGGGTGGGTGCTGCCTGCGGGATCAGCCCGGACGCCCCTGCTGCAGAGCCCTGGGCTAAGCTGAGCTGCCACGCTGGGCAGTGTGGGCCCTGGTGTCAGGCACCTGGGTTTAAATTGGGGCTCAGCCACCTGAACGGCCTTGAGCAAATGGCTCCACTCTCCTGTCCTGTTTTCTGTCCTGCTAATGTGACGTGGTATGTGAGGAATCAGTGAGGAAATGGAATAAGATGCTTCCAACCAGAGGTGGTTCATTTCTGGTTGCTCCAGGCCTGCTCGGGGGTATGGGACACAGAAAACGAGAGGACCCTCAAGTCTTTGGGCACCCCCCTATGCTCCCATTTACATGGCTCTTGGGGTTCACCCCAACTGGGGCAGCCTGGGGAGGCACTGGTCCCACTGGATCTGCCTTCACTGTTGTGAGGCTCAGCCAAGGGAGGAAGGAAGAGCCAGGCCTGCCTTTAAGTCCAGCCAGGATTCAGTGCCTTGCCCCACCCCACCCCCACCCCACCTGTACTGCAGACGTCGGAGTCCAGGGTCTGGGGCAGGAGTTGCTGGTTGTTCTCTGTGCACTCCTGCCCTTTGGAGCTCCACAGTCGTGGGCGGTGACCCTGGGGAGTCGATGGTAGCTGAAAGTTGGTGAGAGAGGTGCGTGAGGGTGGGGTGTGAGTGCAGATGGAAGGTGTGGGGTGGTTGTAACAGTCAGAATAGTGACTGCGGGTTGAGTGCCTACTGCGTGCCAGACACGTGCTGGGTGCTTGACATGTAATGCACCGAGGTCAGGCTCACTGTGATGCTCATTTAACAGAAGAGATATAACAGCTTCAGAGAGGGAAGGTGCTGTTGGGGTCACACAGCCAGTTAAGGCCTGGTATCTTGACCCTAGCCCACTCTGCTGCAATGTCATTGCCTGGGCTCAGAAGACACTGGTGCTGGGAGTTCCAGGCGGGTGACTCCTGGAATGCTGGAACGACCTCAGACATGACCCTGTGATGTGAGAGAGGGGGTGCTGAGCCCTGGAGATGGAGGCTGACCCAGGGTCCCCGTGTGGTCCTGCAGAGCCTGTGTTATCCGAGGCCCCCTGAACAGGCCTGTCTACCCTGGGTCTTGCCACCGTGTTGGGAAGAGGACTGTGCATTCCTGTGTGTGGTTGTGGGGTGGCCCGTGTCCTGGTATCCATCCTTCTGGACAAGCCCCCGACTTGTTGGGACTTGCAGAGAGCCAGGGTGGGGGGCTCTGGTGACCCTTAAGCATTGGGGAGTATACAGAGCTAGTTTTCTCAGGCCTGCAGGGGTGTGAAGGGCGGACTGGCCCCGGTCCCACATTGTCAGTAGTGTTAGGGCCTTGAGCCAGCTCCTCCCTTTAAACCTTTCTTCTGGCCCCGGCACAATGCCAGGCCCCCAGGGTCTGCCTCATAAGTGCCAGCTTCTGACCGTCTCTCTCTCTCTCTCTCTCTCTCTCTCTCTCACACACACACACACACACACACACACATACACACACACACTCACACTCCAGGTGGGGAAGGGAAGAAGAGGTGGGAACCGTTTTGTGGTAGGACATAGCTTGTGTGGCTGCACAACATGGGGTCCTGTGTTAGTCTAGAAAATTCTCTCACATGGCTCACTGAATAACATGTGGAGGGGGGAGGGATCCCCTGAGATGCGTGAGTGAGGCCCCACCTGGAGATAGGGATTGGACAAGTATGACCTGGACACCTTTCCCGGGTGGGTGGGGTTGGGGACATCACCTTATTACAGATGGAGAAACTGAGGCCCAGAGAGGGCCAGGGTCAGTGGTGGAGCTGGAATGAGCCTCCCGGCCCGGGGCTCAGCAGGCTCTGAGGGCTGTGTCACCGCCACTGCTCACTTGTCCCTGTGGCTGTGAGTGGCAGGGCCTGCCCCTGTGGCCCTGACTGCTCATGGTGGGCTGGCTGGGGGCAGTCAGCGAGGTGGTTCTGACTCTTTAAACCCGTAGCAGCCCTGGGGTGGGGAGTGATGTGGGGTTGGGATCTGTGTCATGTTAATGCCATGAGGGGAAACTGAGGCCGAGGCTCGCAGTGGCTTCCTGTCAGGTCAGAGGGAGGACCTCAGGTGCCTGAGGAGGCCCCCTTCTTCCTGTCCCCTGGAGCAAGTGTGGGGGAGGCAGCAGGGATGGGAGGGAGGGGTGGCCACGCCTGCTCAGCTCCACAGGTCAGACCCCCTGGGCTCCTCCAGTGTCCATGGCAACCTGGACAGAGAATTGAATAGCGGGTGCTAGGGCTGCCGTTGCTAGGGGAGACAGTAAACTCCTTTCATCCCCAGCAGGGTGGCGGCCTCCTTCTTTTTTGAATTACAAGAAAAATTGAAAGGCTGTTTTGTGAGGGGCCAACTTTGTAGAAAGGGGTGCCGTATGGCCGGGAGCCACTAGATCTGGCTGTGAGCTTGGGGAAGCAGGGGAGCACCTGAAGACCCCCTAAACCCCTAGATCACAGAAGCCAGCAGCACCTGGCTCACATAGGTGTACAACACACACAACACAGGTCACGGTCTGCCGACACCCATGCACGCATGCACGCACATGGTGCAGAAAGCCCAGGCCACCGCTGGCTCATGGGCTGGGCACAGAGCAGGATGTGCCCAGGCTGGACACCATACCGTCGCCCAGGCACAAAATGTGTCACCTAGGTGCAGTCACCCCACCGCGACATACCCACACCACACACCTCACGACACATCTCATACGCACCGCCGGACAAAGATACAACATGCTGGGCACATGGAGTCACTGACACACCCCAGACACCCCAGGCGCAGAGCCCAGACGCTTGCAGACCAGCCCCTGAATTCGTGCACATGGACACACAACACATGAGCGCACAGGTGCCCCTGACCCACCCTGCACTGTACCACACGTAGAACTGGGGCCACAGATGCCACCCCACCTGGGCAGGTTCCTGTGGCCGGGAAGTCCCCACCACACAGACAGTCTGGGTCCCACGTGGTGGAGACAGATGACAAAACTTCCCCCACCTGCCCCACATGGGCCCCTGCATCCATGCATGTCTCGCGGCCACCACCGCACACACACAGACCAGCCTGCACCCGACTTGGGGACCCAGGCCCATGCTGGCCACAGGCCCTGCATATTTATTGCCTCCTCCCACACCCTAGGACTGTGTCCCCCCCGCCACAGCCATCCTGACCCACTGCTGTCCCCAGGAAGCAGGGCGGGGTGCCTGGTGATGTGGTTTTTAGCCTCCAGGCTGCCCTGGCCTGGTTATTAGAGGGTCATGTGTGAATGCCCCCTTCTACTGCTGGGCTGAGGCTAGGGAGGTGGAGGGTTCCCTGTCCGTCTGCTCATCGGCCCAGCTGCCTCCTCCCTCCCTGACAGCTGGAGGAGGCTGAGGCCCCGTGGGACCAGGAGGCGCCTGAGGGGGGTAGGGCATTCCACAGCTGGTGGGGACAGCTAGAGCCCACCTGTGCCCACAGGATCTGATGATGAAGGGGCTGCCAGCTTCCTGGGGTGGAGGAAGGGGGTGGCAGCAGAGGCTTCCCGTGAGTCAGGGGCTGGTGGGAGTCTGAGGCCAGACTGGAACTGCCAGGGCATTAACCAGGGGGGAGCAGGGGGTGGTGTGTGTGTGTGTGTGTGCACCTCGTACAAATCTGAGCACTGTGTGTTTGGGGCGTGGGAGGGGCAGGGAATTCATCTCTTCACCTGGGTATGTTTGAGACCAGCTGCGTCTCCAAGCTCATGTGCATGTACGTATTGAAGCCTGTGTTTTGAATGTATTCATTTGTGCTCATGCCATTAATTCGGGGTAGCAACAAGCACAATGGAGTGGGGAACAGAGCCAGGCTTCCTGAGCTCACGCAGGGTGGGGGATGGGCAGGGATCTGCTAATCACTAACCACAGCAGGCTAGGCTCTGGAGGGGAGGCTCACAGAGCACCCAGAGGCTCTTAGGTTTACCCCCAGGTGCATCTTTGTTTTGCTTGCACCTATTTGTGGGCCCACCTGCACGTGTCCTTGCATGCTGGTCTGTGTGTCCATGCATGCGCTCTGTGGCCATGCATGCCTACCTGTGTCCTTGCTTGGTTGCATTAGCCCATGCACAAGTGCTTTGCATCCTGGGTTTGCCCACATGTGCCTGCAAAGCATTGTGGGTCCTGGCTCTGCCTGGCGCCCCCTGCAGAGGCCTGTGTCTGCCTTCCTTGGAGGCCCAGGACTCTCATCCAGGGCTCTTCCCTGCAGCTGGAGCAGGCTGTACGGCTGGAGTCTGGGGAGCTGGCAACGCAGGAGCCCAGGGGGCTGGTGCGGCAGAGCGTGGAGCTGCGGAGGCAGCTGCAGGAGGAGCAGGCCTCCTACCGGCGCAAGCTGCAGGCCTACCAGGAAGGCCAGCAGCGGCAGGCCCAGCTTGTGCAGCGGCTGCAGGCCAAGGTCAGGGCCTCCCACTCCTGCTTCTGCCCACCCATGTGCTCGCTTTGCCCTGCCCCCGCCTTCCTGGGCTAACCCTCCGCTCCCACCCCCGCCCCCCAGATCCTCCAGTACAAGAAGAAGTGCTCGGAGATGGAGCAGCAGGTGCTGGAGAGATCCACAGAGCTGGAACAGCAGCAGCTGAGGGTGGGTGCCAGCGTGGGCAGGGGCGGGTCCTTCCCTCCTCGTGCCCAGCCTGATGCCCTCACTTCTCTCACCCAGGACACAGAGCACAGCCAAGACCTGGAGAGCGCCCTCATCCGCCTGGAGGAGGAGCAGCAGAGGTGGGGCGCGGCGGGGAGAGTGTGTGGTGGGCAGGGCGGTACACCTCTCGGGCACGTGCCCAATGTTCCCTTCTGCTCCCCCAGGAGTGCCAGCTTGGCCCAGGTGAACGCCATGCTCCGAGAACAGCTGGACCAGGCAAACTCAGCTAATCAGGCACTGAGTGAAGACATCCGCAAGGTGACCAGTGACTGGACACGCAGCCGCAAGGAACTGGAGCAGCGGGAAGCAGCATGGAGGCGTGAGGAGGAGGTGGGCCCGGGGCCTGGGTAGTCAGCAAGTCCTGTGGGCCCAGCCTGACCTGAGGGGAAGGATCCTTGAGAGGCCAGAAGTCAGCTTTGGGGACAGGGGGCACACCCTTTAGGAGGGGTAAGTGGTCGTCCTCGATGGGCACCACATGCCAGGCCTGTGTTTTCTCCCGCATCCTCATGAGAGCTTTGTGGTGGCACCAGTGTCCCCAGCAAAGCAGCCCTCCCACCACTGGGCACAGACAGGTGGCGGGCAGCTGGGGAGCAAACCTCAGCCGCCAGCACTTCCTTGCTGCCTTTTGCAACGAGTGGATCCTGTTCCCTGTGCGAGAGGGAGGCTGGGGAGGCGTAATCATGGCGGTTCCCTGGGCAAGCCCTGGGCTGACCCCTGGGAGCTTACTCCCTGTACAGCAGTGCCCCTGGGCGGTCAGAGCCGGGCAAACTCATCCAGCCCCTCACGCTGCTCATCTTCCCCCCAGTCCTTCAACACCTACTTCAGCAACGAGCACAGTCGCCTGCTCCTCCTCTGGAGGCAGGTGGTGGGGGTGCGACGGCTGGTCAGCGAGGTGAAGATGTCCACTGAGAGGTGAGGCCTGCCTGGTGGAGGGTGTGGCTCGGGGGCAGCAGGAGACACCCCTTTTTAAGTTGAACTCAACTCAGTTGAACTTCAGTCCAACCCAACAGACCTACTGTGTGTCAGGCCCTGTGGAGATGCAGAGGCAACTGGTAACAATGAACTCCTCCCCACCTGTGCAATCGGCATTCACCACCCTAGACTCTCCGTTGTGTTTCATCGACTATCCACAGCATCCCTGTGAAATAGGAACTGTGATTATCGCCATTTTACAGATAAGAACACTGACATTCAGAGAGGTAGAGTGACCATCCCAAGGTCACACAGTAAATGACTGAGTCGGGATTTGAAGCTTTATTTATTGATGCATACAAGAGCTGGGGTACAGGCCAGAGATGTAGGGGGTGAGAGGACTCACCAGAGACAGAGTTGGGAACAGAACAGGCAGACTGACTGAAATACACTGCTGAGGGGAGCAGCGGGCGAGACAGGAGAGGTCTGCTGTGCCATGTGGGTTTCTCTCTGGCTGGTCAGGGATGGAACTCATGCTGCAGAGGCTGAGGATTGCTTCACAGTGCGGTGCTTACCGCCTTGCGCCACCAGGGAGGCCCCCATCTTGGTAGTTCTTGAAGAAGTTTTCTAATTGTTATAACTGGGAGGTGGCTTCATATTGACCCCCCATTCATTTTTCTTGGCTACACAGTATTCCATTGAATGGATGTACCATGATTTATTTTGAAACTGCCCCCTTTAGACAGTCATTAAGGTTGTTACAGGATTTCTGACATCAGCAGTGCTGCACAGGATCACCTTACACACCTAGCCTTGGGGATTTCTGTAGGATAAATTCTTAGTGGTGGAGTTGGTGGATATAGCCCATCCATTTATAATATTCAGAGCTCTTCTTAATTGCTCTTCCTTGTGGTTTCACCCACTTACCCACCCACCCATAGTGTGAAGAGCCTGTTTCCCTCAGCCTCACCACCTAATGTACCTTTTGGGGTCCACCCCCTTAGCCCATCCACATCTAGTGTTCTCTTCATCAGGGACCTGCTGCAGGTGGGAGGGGAGCTGGCCCGGACCTCCCGAGCTGTCCAGGAGGCGGGCCTGGGGCTGAGCGCAGGCCTGCGGCTAGCTGAGAGCCGGACCCAGGTAGCCCTTGAGAAGCAGGCCCTGCTGCAGGCCCAGGTGGAGGAGCAGCTGCGGGACAAGTTGCTCCAGGAGAAGGACCTGGCCCAGCTACAGGTGCAGAGCAACCTGGACAAGGCTGACCTGAGTGACAGGTGGGTGCCTAGGAAGCTCCATGCAAGGCAGGTGTCCCTGCAGAGTGCCCCTGAGATGCAGGGAGGACGAGTGTTCACCAGGGATGGACCCTCCCCACCATGAGCTTAACCAGCCTTCCCAGGTACTCCCATTTGGCATAGGGAGAGACTGAGGGTCAGAGGGCTCTTCCCCAGGGAATATCACAAGCAGCTCATCCTGCGATGTCAGCTCTTTTGGTCCCACTTCCTGTGACCTAGGCAAGTCCCAGATACTTCCCCATGAGATAAAGGGGGTGGTCATCTTGTGGTGGTCATCTCGAGAAGTCCAGGCACAGAGAAGTGTGATTTGCCCAGGGTCACACAGCTAGGGAGATGGATCCTCGGGTCCCTGCCGCAGGTTTGGGGACAGATGAAGGCCACAGGAGCTGCTGGGTTTGAGATGTTGGGGTGGGTCACCCATTCAACTCAGTTGTTACCCCCACCCCCACCCCCAGAGTGACAGAGCTGGCCCTGACAGTGGAGCGCCTTCAGAACCAGAATCTGGAGAAGGATCGAGTCAACAAAGCCCTCTTGGAGAAGCTTGAAGCTCTGGTGAGATAGAGTTGCTTGAGATGTGGTCTGGACACAGGCTGGGAGCTGGGCTGCTGGGGCCACCCCCCTCCCATCCCCAAGCGGTATGCTCAGGCTGTCTCACCCTCATTGGTTAAACACCTAGTGTGTGCCAGCCTTAGCAGGAAGCACACTCACCTCCTTTACGCAGGCATCCTCTGCACAGCCCTGCAGCACAAGCCCCATTATATAAACGAGGTAACTGACTGTTAAGGGAAAACACTCATCCAGGGCCCCAGTGAATAAATGGGGGAGACAGGACTTGAATTTGTGTCTGTACCCAGGCTCTTTCTCTTGGAACTCAGCTGCCTGCCCACCAGCAGGACACTCCTCCAGGATACTCCTGGGCTGGCAACCTTCTGTGCGGGCCTTGGCCCAGATTCTATGTCTAGTTCTCCAAAGGCTGTGTGACCCCTGGCAGGACACTACACTTCTCTGGGCCGAGTCTGTTCAGTGAAGGCACTGGGGCTGCCGTGGGACCCCCCAAGCTGCTGACTGATGCTCACGGTCTTAGAGGCCATCTGATGGGGCCAGGTTTCAGACCAGGGCAGAGACCCTGACCACCTTGTCTTTGTCTTCCCAACATGCCTCCAGGAATCCCTGCGTCTCCAGGAGCAGGTGGCCTTGGAGAATGAGGATGGGGATGGGCTGCAGCAGACCCTGAGGGACCTGGCGCAGGTGTGAGGCGGGAGCCCTGGGCAGGGTCAGGCCAGGCCATCCTGGGCCACCGCGCACTCTGGTACCCTGAGCTGAACTGCAAGTGGGTGGGGTACCTCCCTATCCCACTCTCAGGCCGTCCTGTCAGATGTGGAGAGCGGTGTCCAGCTAAGCAGCTCTGAGCACACGGCGGATGCATTAGATGGCAGCCTGCGGGGACTCTCGGGCCCTCGGACCCCATCCCCGACGCAGCGGCCCTCCCCGGGACGTGGACGTTCCCCCCGCAGAGGCCCGTCTCCCACCTGTTCGGACTCCTCCACGCTTGTGCTGATCCATTCTGCCCTGCACAAGCGCCAGCTGCAGGTTCAGGTATGAAGGGACCGAGATATGGGGGTGGAGCCAGGGTTTGCGGGGAGCTTGGGGACGGAGCCAGGGCCCTAAGGGCAGAGCCGGGTTTCCAGAGGTTGGGGCCTGAGTTTACTAGGGTGGGGAACTGGCCATGGAGAGTCAGGACTCTGGGAGGTGGCTGAGATCCCAGAGGCCTGAATCTGAGCCCGAGGGAGGGGCTTGGGCAACTGGGGGCGGGGCTAGAGTCCTGGTACAGAAAGGGAGTGGAGATTTCTGGATGAACCAGGACTCTGGGAAAGTCCTGGGGGGAGAAATAGGCCTGGAATGGGAAGAGCTGGGGAACTGGGGCAGAGAGGACAACTAGGATACAAAGAGGAGGAACTGGGGAGAGGAAGGGGGAGCGTGGGGGTTTGTCTGGCATCTTGGGGGCTTAGGTCTGGGTTGCTGGGGACCCAGAGAGATGGAGGGGGCTCAGAAGGGTGGTGAGGAACAGTGTGGTGGTGGGAGGCCCAGAAATCCCCTGTGGGGGGCTTAGCCTCACTTTCCCGCCCCAGGCCTGGGCCCATAGAGGTGTCTAGTGTGTGTCCCGGGAACCTGTAGCGGCTCTGGGAGCTTCCTAGGGTTCCCCCAGGCTCACTGATTCCCATGCCCAGGACATGCGTGGGCGCTACGAGGCCAGCCAGGACCTCCTGGGCACTCTGCGGAAGCAGCTTGGTGACAGCGAGGGTGAACGCCGTGCCCTGGAGGGGCAGCTGCAGCGCCTGCGGGACAAAGCCGAGGGGGCGGCCCAGGCCCAGGAGGATGCCCAGCGCGAGGCCCAGCGTCTGCGGAGTGCCCTCGACCTCCTGAGCAGGTGCCCGGGAGGCTGGAGGTGGGGCCTGAGGATGCCAGTGTCTGGATGCTATGCCAGCCCGGGCCGGTACTGTGCATTCGTGCTGATGCGGTGGCCGCTAGCCACGTGGCTCTCTAACACTGAAATTATTTGGAATGTTTAAAAAGTGAAAATGGAGTCCCGCAGTTGCACCAGCCACATTCAAGTGCTCAGTAGCCACAGCGGCTGTTAGAACATTTCTGTCATCTCGAAGAGTTCTGTGTATTGTTTTTCTCTTTGTAAGTGTGATTCATCATAAAAGCTTGAAAAATGGAGGGAAATGAAAGGCAGGCCCTCCTGACCTCCTGCCCTGGCCCTACTGCTTTGCTCCCCAGCAGCACTGAGGCAGCCAGCGTTCCTGGGCTGCTGCCCCGGGTCACGCTCATCGCCACGTTTTTGCTACCCTGTCCCTCCCCTCCCCTGGTGGCCATAATGGCCTGCGGAGCAGGAAGCTGTGGGATCTGGGCAGATGCAGCCGTACTGGGTCTGCTGGAATTGAGGAGCACGGGGTGGTGCTGTATCACATGATCTCGCAGAGCTGGCCGCACAACTGCCCTGGTGTCCCAGGAGCCTGGCTTGGCCTCTTTAACCTGGTGGGGTGTTGGAGAAAATCCCTGTGTCTCCATCCATTCCACTGGGTTTCAGGTTGGGGAAAGAAAGAAGGAAAGGAAAGGAACTGCATTTTCCTCTGTTAGGAAGAATCCACTCTCGGGAGATGTGGCTAAAATGAGATGGTCATGGGCAGGATCAGGGAAGGCTTCCTGGAGGCAGGTGCCTTAGAGCACCAGGGATGTGGCTTATGGCGAGGCAGCAGCCCCGCAGCCCTTCCAGCCCTTGCTCCTCTCGCCCCCCAGGGAGAAGGACAGCCTGGCCCTCAGCCTAAAGGTGGCCCAGCAGCAGGCTGAGGAGCTGCGGCAGGAGCGGGAGAAGCAGCAGGCGGCACAGGAGGAGCTGCGGCGCCAGCGGGACCAGCTGCGGGAAGAGCGCGAGGACTCGGCGCAGGACAGCGCGCGGACGCGCAGGGAGCTCGAGCGCAGGTGAGGTGCCTTCCTGCCAGGGCCACTCTGGTGGGCCTGGGGGCTCCCGGGTGGGAACTGCGGAACACCTGCTGTGCTCCCCCTACAGTCCTCCTACATTGAGTGCTCCCAGCACCCCTCTGAGGGAGAGTGTTCTAACCCACCTTTTTTGGGAAACTGAGGCTCAGGGAGGTATAATCACCTACTTGGGACAGGGAGCTGGTAGGAGGTAGAATGTGGGTGATAGTAATTAAAATCCCAATCGTGGGCCTCCCTGGTGGTGCAAGGGGTTAAGCACTGCACTATGAAGCAATCCGCAGCCTCTGCAGCATGGGTTCGATCCCCGGCCAGGGAGCAACCCACATGGCGCAGCAGACCTCTCCTGTCTTGCCTGCTGCTCCCCTCAGCAGTGTGTTTCAGTAAATCCACCTGTTATGCTCCCCACTCTGTCTCTGGTGAATCCTTTCACCCTCTGCAACTCTGGCCTATACCCAGCTCTTCTGTGCAAAAATAAATTAAAAATTAATAAACGTAGAGCAATGATATTCATATTACTAAATGCCAGATGCTGTTTGAAGCAATTAGAGTCTCTTATTTAGCCCTAATGATAACTCTCTGATGTAGGAGGTACCAATGTCCCCATTTTATAGATGGTGAAGCACAGAGAGTTTGTGTAACTTGCCTAAGGACACACAGCTAGTTAGTGGAAAAGCCATTACTTGAACCCCAGCATTCTGCCTGGGTGAACCTCTTAATCACTGCACTGTTGTCTCTTTTGATAAGTAAATAAGTAAATGGTGGTCCATCTAGGTAGTGGGTATTCTTTATGAAGGCCCTTGGGGAGCTAGGTCAGGGACTGTTTTAAGCACTTCAAGTGCAGAAAGTCATGTATCCTTATCGTGACTTCACGATGCAGGTGTTACCCCGTTTTACAGTGAAAAGAGTCACAGAGGCAGGCAGCTCTGGGCCTGGCTGTCCTTGTGGGCGGGGCTCCTGCCTCCAGCCCCCAGCCTGCTCCAGGCCATCTGACTTCGGGGCGCTCTGGGCTGGGAAGTGACATGGGGCCCCGGCCTGCCCTCTGTCCCACAGCCACAGACAGCTCGAGCAGCTGGAAGCCAAGCGCTCGGGACTGGCGAAGGAGCTGGTGGAGGTGAGGGAGGCACTGAGCTGTGCCACGCTGCAGCGGGACATGCTTCAGGCTGAGAAGGCCGAGGTGGCCGAGGCGCTCACCAAGGTGGGTCCCCATTGGCTGCCCAACCATAAACTTACTTCTGCCCTCAGCCCCAGGCCTTCCCACACGGGCCACAGACCGACCCCTGTTTCAGGCTGACTTCTGACCACAGACTTGACCTCTGGCCCCAGCCATAAGTGAATTGACCTCTTCAGTGGTCACATCCCTGTTTTTCCAGATGCTTCCGGGGCCGTGTCCGTAATACAGGGTCAAGCAACCCCAGCTCTGGGATCAGGCTGGCGTCTCTAAAGTTGGGAGACAGTCCTTGGTGGGGCTCTACCCCACTCCCGTAGTCTGGGTCCTGAGTGATACCAGCCCTAGACCCTGTTCTGGGGGACCCCTGTCCTCTGGCCCGCCCTTCAGCATGAGCCAGCGAGATGAGGGCTGCTCTCGCGTGAATCTGCGGCGTGTGCCTTGTAAACAGTTTCACAGGCAGCAGGCTCGCCACAGCGGTTACTTTCTCTCTCATGTTGTGTCTCTGTGTCCTCCCCCCCCCCACCTCTGAGGGGCCTGTCTCCCTGCTTCCCACCTTCCTACCCTCCGGCCCTGGCCCCATCTCTCCTGTCTTCTCACCACACGTCTTTTTCTGTCTCTGTGTCTCCTGCCCTACGTCTCTGGCTCCCCGGTTCCAACCCTGCAGGCCGAGGCCGGCCGCGTCGAACTGGAGCTCTCAACAACCAAGCTGAGGGCAGAGGAGGCCTCTCTGCGGGACTCCTTGTCCAAGTTGGGTGCCCTCAACGAGAGCCTCGCCCAGGACAAGCTGAGCCTGAACCGCCTGGTGGCCCAGGTATGTGCCAGCGGCCACCTGCCGCTCCGATCCATCCTCCCCACTCAGAGACTTCACTGAAGTGTCCAGCCAGTCTCGATCCACACGCCCCACGCCCTGAACCCCTCTGTCCCTGCCCCTGCCCGCCTTGGTGCCTGGCTCTCTCTCTGTCTCTCTTTCTCTCCCTGACTCTGTCTTCTCTCTCGTGGTCGCAGAGAAGAGATGGCTTCCCTTCTCCCCACTTCCCACTACCCCCCAGGGAGCCTCCCCTGGGCTGGTGGCGATGGGTGGGTGCAGGGCTGGGCTGCTCTCACTCACCCCCAGCCCCGCGCCCCCACAGCTGGAGGAGGAAAGGGCAGCCCTGCTGGGCCGGCAGCGGCAGGTGGAGCAGGCGGCTACCTTGGCGCGGGAGGAGCAGGTGCGGCTGGAGGAGCTGAGGCTGGAGCAGGAGGTGGAGCAGCAGGGCCTGCAGGGCTCCCTGCGGGTGGCCGAGCAGGCGCGGGAGGCCCTGGAGCACCAGCTCCCCGCACTGCGCCAGGAGCGCTGCCGGCTGCAGGAACAGCTGGATCAGGTGGGTGTGGGAGGGGCCCAGGTAACTCACAGGCTCAGGAGCCTGATTCTGGGTTCCAGTCTAGCCTGGTCTCTGCTGGCTGGGGACCCCGGGCAAGCTCTCCGACCCTGCTGGCCTGTCTGCTTGTCTGTAACATGGGGCTGCGAGTTGTCATCACGAGGGGTTGCTCCAAAGAGCACGCCTGGGTCTCTAGCTGACAGATCAGCACCTGGTAAAGAGGAAAGATGGGATAATAGGTAGGGGTTTTAGCCCTGGAGCCTGAGCTGGAGGGGACCACAGGCGTCCAGATGGTGTCTGTCCTGGGAGGACAGACGGTTCCCAGGCCCCAAGGCAGAGAGTAGGACTCTGGGTCCCCACTCTGAAGCCCGTAGAGTGGCTCTCCTTCGGTCTGTTTGGTGTATTTAACTTCTCTGTAAGTTTTAGGGTGCATAAAACATCATTACTCCCCACGCTGAGGACCCTCAGGTTTGCATGCATGTGCGTTACAGGCCCAGAGAAGGCTTTGCTTTGCCCAAGTACACACAGCACGTCAGGGCAGAACCTGGGCTCCAACCCAGGTCTTTGTGTGGCAGACCAGGGCTGGGTGAGGTCCAGGGCTGGGGTGCTGCATGATGAGCAGGCTGGGGGGTGGGGGGCTGGTGCTCACGGTGTCCGGGTGGGGGCCAGCTCTCCCGGCAGCTGAGCGGGCGGGAGCAGGAACTGGAACAGGCTCGACGGGAGACGCAACGGCAGGTGGAGGCGTTGGAGCGGTCTGCGCGGGAAAAGGAGGCGCTGGCCAAGGAGCGGGCGGGCCTGGCGGTGCAGCTGGCAGCAGCTGAGCGTGAAGGTCGGGCTCTGTCGGAGGAGGCCACACGGCTGCGGTAAGGCCTTGGCTCTGCCCAGCCCACTCTGGGGGTTCTGCTTGGGGCCACCCTGGGACCAGCCATGCCCCCACGTTGGCCCACAGGCCAGTTACTTAGGAGCCGGACTTGCCAACCTAGCTATGCTCAGGTTCCCTAGGGAGCGTGGCCCTGCAGGGCAGGGAGGCTGGCACCCAGCCCACGACTGGCCACGCCCTGGGATCCACAGTTTCCTGGGGCCCAGGAGACTGAGTCCCCAGCCTCAAGGATCGTGTGTGCTGCAGCTTGGAGAAGGAAACCCTGGAGGGCAGCCTGTTTGAGGCGCAGCGGCAGCTAGTACAGCTCGAGGCTCGTCGGGAGCATCTAGAAGCTGAGGCACAGGCTCTGCTGCTGGCCAAGGAGACCCTGACTGGTATGGGGGGACCAAGGGTGGGAGTGGGGAGCACTGGGTTCCAGTCCAGACTCTAAACTGTCAAGTTCTGTTGGGAGCTTTGTATTTGGAGTGTAGAAGACCCAGGTTCGAATCCTCCTGCTGCTGTTTGGATCTGGGCTACCCAGAATGAGCCCCTTCCCTGCCTCCCCTGACCGTTAACGGTGGCTGTGCCCACCTTCTGAGGCTGTTGCCAGGCTGCGGCAAGGAGCTCATGTAGCGGTGTTGGCACAGCGCCTGGCTCAGCCCACGGTGCCTATTGTTTATCCTCCTGGGAGCTGGGAGTTCTGAGTTCTCTGCAGAGCCACCGTTGCTTTTCCGACAACACCTTCACCCCACCATTCAGCCCCTCTTCCCCCAACTTGCCCCACCCAAAACCTGGGATTCTTCTCCCTCAGCATGTACTAAGCACCTGCCTGGGTCATAAATTAATTTTCCTGTCACATCTATCTTGGGCGGACAGAATCAGGAGTAGAAAGGCTGGCAGAGTCTCTGGAGGGCTTCCACCCCAGGAGAAGGTTTTGAGGTTGCCCAAGTGGGGTGTACCCTCCCCATGCTTTCCTCCATCAGTGCTGCCAGCTAATAGTCTTCCAAGTATGTTCATGGCCATCAGTCATTGAAGGGGAGACTGGGGAGCTGTGTACCTCTGGGGGCCACCTCTCTCCCCTGAACCTCATCTTTAAATTGGGGTGAGATCAGCTACCTAGGCATGTTGTGAAGCTGTGATGACAGGAGACCTCCCCTCATCTGTAGATCCCACTCCACCTCTAGGTCTGGCCCAGAGTGAGCACTAATGCTGGTTACAGTTTTGCTGTCATCCCCATTGGGTGCTCTCCTCATCTGTCATGTCATCCCTTGGATGTCCTTCCAGGTGGGGGGAGGGGGACAGGGCTAGTGGGCCTGTGCTGCAGACAGGGAAGGAGTGAAGCTTCTCCAAGGGGACCCAGCCTCAATGCCGGGGGGGCCCTCTCCCCTCTGGGATTTTGACCACCTAGCTCTCTTTGCCTGAGTCTGCTGACCCCCAAAGTCCTAACCTAGCCCCCCTCTCCTCCTGTGCAGGGGAGCTGGCAGGCCTGCGGCAGCAGATAACAACTACAGAGGAGAAGGCAGCTCTGGACAAGGAGCTGATGGCCCAGAAGTTGGTGCAGGCTGAACGGGAGGCCCAGGCCTCGCTACGGGAGCAGAGGGCAGCCCACGAGGAGGACTTGCAGCGGCTCCAGCGTGAGAAGGTTCAGGCAGCTGGTTTGGGATGGGCGGGAGTCTGAGCCACTGTCCTTTGTGACTGCAGATGACTTACCTTTTTCTGCCTCAGTCTTCGCATCTGTGAACTAGAACTTTGTCTCTGTTCTAGAGGCCCTGGGGGAAGCTGGAAGGAACCAGTGGGGATATTTTATCAAAGATACAGATTCCTAAACCCCAAATCTGGTCCAGCCCTGGTGATCCTGATATGGGGAGGGATCCACTACCACATTTTGGAAATAATAATGGGATGTATATTAGGAAAGCACTTTCATTGGCTAAAAAGTGCTGTTTGCATATGAAGGATCGCTGGGACCTAAACACTAGAAGACAGAGCAGAGGTGTCCAAGAGCAATGACCCTGAAGTTATAGTGCCTGGGTTTACAACTAATCTTGGTCACATACTGGTTATGTTACCTGAGGTTTCTGCGCCTTCATTTCCCCATCTGAAACAATGGAGATATTGATAGATATAAGATATCGTGAGGTTACACAAAATAAAATGTTAAAGTTAAAAAAAAAAAAAAAAGATATCGTGAGGATGAGGTGAGAAAACTCCTGTAAGGAGTAGAGCAGAGTGACTGGCACTTAGTTGGTGCTCCACAGATGCTAGATATTATCTTACTGGGGACTCTAGAGTGGGCCTCAGCCCAGGGACCTGAGTCACCATCCTGAATCCTGCTGCCTCCAAAGGACGTTCAGTGGCTGCACAATGGCCGTTCACCCTGCAGTCTTGGGTTGGTGTAGATAGTATCACACTCTTCTCCAGCAGGTGGCACTGAAGCATCTGGCGTGTCCCACAGTTTCTAGAGACCTGCTGGGGCCAGGCACTGTCCCAAGTGGACCCTTCTTTGCCTGTGGGTTCTACTCACCTACTCAGTCCCCAGGGACCCGACTTCTTTGCCCTGCCTTTCTCTCCCGGCACTGCCTGACTTGGCCTCTCTTAATGCCATCAAATTTGTGCTCCTTCCTTTAGCTACTCTGCCTGTCCAGCCCCCCCCGCCCTGCCCCCCGCCCCAAGTCATTCCTCATGGCTGGTCCTCGTCCCCTCGACTCCAACACCCAATCCTACTTTCGCTTTCCAAGCTTTTAGACAATTCAAAATTGCTCTCCATTGCCCTGAGTCGGGCCCATCCCTCTCCACAGCCCACAGGGCCTCGCCTGGCCTGACCATATCACTCATTATATCCCCCTCATATTCTAGGCTCCGGTGACCCTAAATGCAGTGGTTCCCTGGACGTCATACTTCCTCTTTCCTCCAGGCTCCGCTCTTAGCCTGGCTTCACTTTCTTTTCTCTCTTTACCTGACTGACTGGTTTTGCCTCTGACCACCAGGCCAGGTGGCCGCTGCTCCGGGCTCACAGCCCAGCCCCGGTGTGCCCCCCACCGCCCTCTCATCCACCCCACCTTGTTTGTGGTGCCCCAGCCACCTGGCCTGCTCTCGGGGTCTGGATACAGGTGGTTCTTGTTGCCCTGGGGTTGGTGAGGGGCTGCCTGGGCCCACTGGGTCACACATACCCGGGCCTGACCCCTAGGAGGTGGCCTGGCGGGAGCTGGAGGTAGAGCGGGCCCAGCTGCAGAGCCAGCTGCAGCGAGAGCGGGAGGAGCTGCTGGCCCGCCTGGAGGCCGAGAAGGAGGAGCTGAGCGAGGAGATCGCTGCCCTGCAGCAGGAGCGGGACGAGGGCCTCCTGCTGGCTGAGAGTGAAAAGCAGCAGGTTTGTGAGCGCTGGTGCGGCCTGAGCCCTTTTCTAGGCTTGTCCTGTTCAACCCTCCATAGCTGAGACCTAGATGTCCCTGTCTGGACCACAATTTCCTCACTGCAGGATGCGAGAGTTATGGGGTGTCTGTGAAGTGTCACTGAGACCCACATTCAGGGAGCCCCAGCCTGGCACACAGTGGGAGCTGGCCGGGGGATAGCTACCTTGTGACCCCATGCACTTCAGGAGAGCCGACCACATTCTCCCAACTCTCCTCTCCTCCCGTCCCTCCCCAGGCTGGGCATGGGGTTCCCCTCACTGCCTCTGAGCAGTCCTCACGAGGCCCTCTGCAAAAACAATCAGCTCCCGGCTTTCCCACTGTGTACTGAGAAGGACAGACTGCCCAGTCTCCCCTCCTTACCAGCTGTGGCAACGTGGGCAAGTCGCTTACCTCTCTGAGCCTCAGTCTCCCTGTCTGTCAAATGGAATGCTGAGGGCGGCTGCTGCAGGGCTGCCGGGGCGCTCAGTGAGATCGGCGAGCTGTATCCATGTCGGGTCCTTTTTGGAGGCTGCGGAGGGAGGGGATGAGCCCAGGGTCTACCTGTGGTGGACCAGTCACACCCCCAGTGGGCACATTTCCCAGGGTGGGGGTGAAAGAAAGACCCCAGCATGTCCTCAGAACCAGCCAACGCCCCAGGCCCCTGGCTCCTGCTCTGCCCAGGCCCTGTCCCTGAAGGAGTCGGAGAAGACGGCGCTGTCAGAGAAGCTGATGGGCACGCGGCACAGCCTGGCCGCCGTCTCCCTGGAGATGGAGAGGCAGAAGCGAGACGCTCAGAACCGCCAGGAGCAGGACCGGGTAGGGTGGGCCTCAGCCCTGCCTGGGGGGGCCCCTCTCTAGGGCGAGGGCTGGCTGTGCCCTGGAGAAGCCTCTAGGCTGCTGGGTAGTTCACGCTTCCCTGGGAGTCCCCATCTGAGGGGGTGGCGCAGCTGGGCCCAACTCTGACAGAATCACCAAATGCGTGGGCAGCCGAGGGTCAGATGTGCCAGCAGGAAGGGGCGGTGGAGTGGACCATTCAGCCGACCCAGTTGGGAGCAGCAGGGCCAGGGCCTGGCAGGCAGGCCTAAGGAGTCTCTCTGCCCCAGAGCACCGTGAATGCCCTGACATCTGAGCTGCGGGACCTGCGGGCCCAGCTTGAGGAGGCTGCTGCGGCTCATGCCCAGGAGGTGAAGAGGCTGCAGGAGCAGGTCCGAGACCTGGCCAGGCAACGGGAGTCCTGCCTCCGTGAGGTGAGATGCTCCCTGGTCTCCACTCAGGAGAGTGTAAGATTTGTCCCTGCACTGGAGGACGTGAGAACAGCCAGCTTAGAAAGGAGGCAGCAAGGATTTCTTAAACCCATGTGGGACTCAGGGCACTCAAAGGGGGCTGGGCAGGGGCTCTGCCCTCTTGGGGTCCTCCAGGGGATGATTCTGACTGATGATTAGTTCAGGCTGTTGCCCCACAGACCCCAGCATGCTCACACCCTCAGTGTGAGTCACTGCGCCAGGCTGGCGGCTGCACCCTGTTGCCAGAGCTGTGGGGAAGGGCTGGTTTCCACCAAGGCCGGCTTGAGTGGGGACATCCCGCCTGTCCACACAGGCAGAGGAGCTCCGGACGCAGCAGCGCCTGCTGGAGGATGCCCGAGATGGGCTGCGGCGGGAGCTGCTGGAGGCCCAGCGCAAGGTGCGTGAGGGCCAGGACAGCCGGGAGGCCCAGCGGCAGGAGGCCGCAGAGCTGAGGCGCAGCCTGGGTGAGGGCGCCAAGGAGCGTGAGGCCCTGCGGAGGTCCAATGAGGAGCTGCGGGCTGCCGTGAAGAAGGCTGAGAGCGAGCGCATCAGGTGGGGTGATTTGGGGGCCGTCTCTGTCCTTCACCAGGCCCTGCCCTTCCCAATAAATGTTAGCCCTGGAATCTGACTTAACTGCCAAGATCCTGGGGACATCACACATTTGGGGAGTTTCTGTCTTTAAACCACAGCCTGGCACTTGGGTCATTTTAGGTGAGGGGGCAGTGGGCCAGGCTGGGTCCAGACTCTGTACCCCCAATCTTGCCATCACTCTGCAAACTAATGCACATGATCTCCCCACCCCCACCCCTACTACTCTCCATCTCTCTGAGCTGAGGGCCCCATCTAGGCCTGGTGGCTCAGCTCAGAGGGGCCACATGGCCAGGCAGCCCTTGGAGTAACACCAGGCCAAGCACTGGTCAGATGTGTGCCAGGAATTCAGGGAAGAGGTGTAGCGCCGCACACTGTACTCCGCCCAGGACTTGGGTCTCCCTCTGAACTCTGCTCTCCACCTAATGCCCCCACCCCCTCCAGCCTGAAGCTTGCCAATGAAGACAAGGAGCAGAAGCTGGCACTCCTCGAGGAGGCCCGGGTGGCCGTGGGCAAGGAGGCTGGGGAGCTGCGGACAGGGCTGCAGGAGGTCGAGCGTTCACGGCTGGAGGCTCGGAGGGAGCTGCAGGAGCTCCGGAGACAGGTACTCTCCCCAGCCCTGCACCCTCCCCGCGCGTGGCTGCAGGCCCCTGGACCAGTAGCACCCCCGACCATGTAAAACCAGGGGCAGGAACTATAAGAAGCTAACTCTTAGTTAGCTTCGATATTAATGGATGAGCTTTGGGGAGTTCTTGAACCGCTGAAACTATGTACAAAAGTGTGTGTGTGTTTGTGGCATTCACATTCACTATTCTCCAAGGAGAAGGTCTGGAGTGCTTGTCCAGTTTTTAAAATTCTGAACAAAAGGTTGAACTAAATTAGGAGCTGCCAAGCCTTTTTGGGAAAAAGCCCAAGAGTAAATATTGCAGCTTTCTGGGCTCTGCAGCCTCTGTTGCAGCTACCCAACTCTGGCGTCGCGACAGGAAAGCTGTCCTCTGTAATCGAGGGGGCGTTCCATGACAACTTGGCTAATGGACACGGAAACTAGATTTTTATATCATTTTTATGTGTTAAGAAATAGTGTTCTTTTGACTTTCTGTCAACCATTTGAAAATGAACCATTTTCAACTCTTTAAAAATGTAAAAGCCCACAACACGTGCTGGAGAAGATGTGGAGGAGAAGGGCCCCCATTACACTGTTCGTAGGAATGTGAAACGGTGCAGCCATTTTGGAAAGCAGTTTGAACTTATCTTAAAAAGTGAAAAATGAGACTACCGTATGACCTAGCAATCCCACGCTTGGGCATCTAGCCAAAGAACATGAGACCATCAACTTGAAAAACCATATATTTTACAGTGTTTATGGCGGCGTTATCTACAACGGCTGGGAAAGGGAAACAACCTAAGTGCCCACCGATAGAGAACTGGATCAAGAAGGAGTGGCATGCTACACAATGGAATACTATTCAGCCATAAAAAATTTACAGTGAATTGGAAGGCGTGGGAGGGAATTATGTATAGTAGAGCAAGTCAGAGTGACAGACAGATTTTCAGCATTTACGTAGTTGTTGATTTAACAAAGCAAAATGCTTATAAATACGAGGGGCCTGTGTGGGCGATCTGGCTGTGACATCTGGCCCCCCACTGATTATCAGGGTGGGTTTGGCAGATCTGGCTGGTTAGGCAAATGCCCCCTCTGCCCTCAGCACTCCATGGGCTTCCCTCTTGAAGCTGTGTGCTCCGTCGAAGAGCATAGCCGTCCTCAGATAAAAAACTGTTCTCTTGTCAAGGGTTTGCCAGCAGCTGAGCTCCCCTGCTGGACCTCCAAACAAGTTCTCAAGGACCATTTGTAGATAGTCAGGCTCCCAAGGGTCCAGAGGTATCCAAATGAGGCACTGCCTGTGGTCGTCTGCCTTCCAAAAGCCCTCAGTGGACACTAATAAATGAAATGAGGCTTTTGAGGCTAAGAAGGGGGAAGAGAGGGAGCTTTAAAAATAATTTTTAAAAAAGCAAAAAAAAAAAAAAGAGTAGAAGTCATCCTTAGCGCCAAGTCTTATAGAAACAAACAGAAATTGACCTGTGGGCACTAATTTGCCACCCCTGAACTAGATGATTTCCCAAACTCCACAACTGCAAGCGTTTCCTAAGTGCCTGCTGGAATCGAGGCACTGTCCCGGACCCTGGCCTCTGGCTTTCCCATTCCGGAAGCCCTGAAAAGCAAGAAACAGCCCCATTTGGCTCCCAGGTTCTGCTTCACCCAGAATTATCTCAGCCTGAATAGCAGATCCTCTCCACCTCCCACCTCGGGCCCCGTGACCCAGGCCCCGTCCTGATGGGTTGACGTCTTGGGGAATCACAGGAGTCCCTGAGAGGTACTCACGTGTGTGCCAGGTTCATCCCGGGTGCTCTGGATGCTCTGGCATGGTCTCGTGTTCCCATCGCTATAAATAGGGGCTTAGAACACACTGTTAGGTTCCACTTGTCTGAGATCAAGTCTTAGTCAGCTGCTTGTGGGCTGTGTGACTTTGGACAAGTCACTTTACCTCTCTGAGCTTCAGTGTTCTCGTCTATTAAGTAGAGATGCTATGAATCCTTACCCCATTTAGAATTGTGTGGAGAGGAAATGAGTGAATATGAGTGAAGTACTAAGAACAGGGCAGGATGCAGGGTAAGCACTCCGTACAAGTGACTCATCATGGGGGGGGGGTGGGGGTGCAAGGCAACCCAGGGAGTGTGGTTCTGGTTTACTTGGGGTTCAGCCCTCGCGCCCCCTCCCCCCCGCCACCTCCCCAGGACAGAGTTAGGATTAGGCGGTAAACTGAGGTCCTTGGTGCCCAGGTGCCTGGCTTGGCTTAACCTCAGCGGAGTTGTCCGGGGCAGGAGCCCAGAGGGTTTGGGTGGTGCTTGATGCAGGTGTCCCTAGAGCAGTGGGGCCTGAGTGCCCTCTGGGCCAGGCCTAGACTGGGCAGGGTATGGAGCAGACTGAATAGACTGCCTGAGGGCATTCAAACACCACCCTGGGCTAGAAGGCTGAAGGTACCAAGAATGTGTCTCAAGCCCTCTCTGTGTCCATTCTCTCCCCCAGATGAAGATGCTGGACAGTGAAAATGCCAGGCTGGGCCGGGAGCTGGTGGAGCTGCAGGGCCACCTGGCGCTGGGTGAGCGGACAGAAAAGGAGAGCCGACGGGAGGCCCTGGGACTCCGACAGAAGTTGCTGAAGGGCGAGGCCAGCCTGGAGGCTGCGAGGCAGGAGGTAACAAAGCTGGGTGGGCAGGCTGTCTGGAGGGGGCGGGTGCTAGGGGGCAGTCAGGCCACTCTATGCCTCTCTCCTCCCTCCACAAGAGACAGTTGGGGCGTCCAGTGGTGGACTCATCTGAGGAACCACTCCTGGGACTTATCCCTGTCCCCTGCTCCTTGAGAGTCTTCCTCAGATATAACAGTAACAACAACTACAAGAACTGTGGCAGGGTGGGGTAGGGGGACATCTGTACATATAACTCTGATTTTCCCAACAGCTTATGATGTAGGTACAATTAACCGCATTTTAGGCACTAAAATTAGGCACACACTGAAGCTCAGAGAGGGCAAGGTATCCACCCAAGGTCACACAGCCATGTAGGTCTTTCTGACTCCAATGCCTACTTTCCACCTTGCTTTCTCGTACCATTTCATGGCGTTGGCTCTACTGTGTGACCTTGATGAAGTTACTTAACCTCTCTGTGCTTCAGAGCACTCATGGGCTAGGGGATGTGTGCAGGTCCTGTTGCTTGACAGGTGGTGGTTTCCAGTGAAAGGGATGTGTATGAGGATGCTGACGCTAAACCAAAGAGCTGTGTGAGAGAGGAAGCTACACTCCCTCGGTAAATCATTCTTGTTACAAGCCCCTATCATGTGATCCCTTGATAAATCATGTGTACCAAGAGGCAGTGTGGCCAAATGTTGAAGAGAACAGCCTCAGGAGCCAGTGTCTGACTTTGAATCCTAGCTCTCAGCTGTGTGGCCTTCCCTTAGGTTGCTTAACTGCTCTGAGCCTCGGCTTCCTCATTTGTAAAATGGAGATGATTCCCAGGGGTAAGGAGAGTTGATATTTTTTGGAAAGTACTTAGTGCCTGGCACTGACAGGTCCTCTCTGTGTTAGCTGTTAGTTCATTATTAACACACGATGTATTACAAGGCACATACACAGAAGGAAGGGATTACAAACAGCCTCCTCCCGCACCCCTGGATGTTCCTGCCTCTCCTGCTTGGGTGGGCCAGTGGACTCCACACTGGGCCAGGGAGGAGGCGTGCCTGGTTTGCGGGGCCGGGGGCTGACTGCATCTCGGGGCTCCCCTTTCCCCCACCCTCGCCCCCCACCAGCTCCAGGGAGCCCAGAGGAAGCTGCAGGAGCAGGAGAGCGAGTTCAGGACCCGCGAGCGAGGCCTCCTGGGGTCCCTGGAGGAGGCGCGCGGCGCCGAGAAGCAGCAGCTGGACCAGACCCACAGCCTGGAGCTGAAGCTGGAGGCGGCGCGGGCCGAGGCTGCGGAGCTGGGCGTGCGGCTGAGCGCGGCGGAGGGCCGGGCGCACGGCCTGGAGGCGGAGCTGGCCCGCGCGGAGGCGCAGCGGCGCGCGGCCGAGGCCCAGCTGGGCGGCCTGCGCTCCGCCCTGCGCCGGGGCCTGGGTCTCGGCCGCACGCCCAGCCCAGGGCCGCTGCCCGCGCCCGGATCCCCCGCGCGCGGCGCGCCCTCCGGAGGTGAGCCCGGCGGCCCCGGGGAGGGAGGCGCGGGGGGCGCCCTGGGCTCGGCTCGGCGGAGAGCGCGCCCGGCGCCTGGCCACGCCCCGCCTTTGATGAGCAGCCGAAGGCCCCGCCCCTTGGCCTAGTCCCGCCCATCAAAGAGACCCGCCCCTCGCCGGGCCACGCCCCTCGCCGGGCCACGCCCCTCTTGAGGCCTCGGCCCCGGCCCCCTGCCCAGGCTTCTCGTTGATCTTGCTTTTATTTATTTGTATTTAGTACTGTTTTTTAATTGACGCAGCTTGATGTACATGGTTCCGCGCCCCTCCCTTCGCTTCCTTTTAGTGGAGTAGAGTGCGCTGCTCAATGCCCCTGACTCCGCTGAGTCTTTGAACTTCTATCCTGCCCTCTCTGCTCCAGCCCCCTGTCCCCCTCAGCCCCCTGTCCCCAGCTGCAGATCAGGCATGCGACCCCAACATCTTTCCTAGGCGGATCTATACAGCCCGAGATTCTCCCAGTTTTCCTGCCCTGTAGCCAGGAGGATGAGGCAGGGAAGACCAGGGAGTGAGGATGACCTTTGGGGCCACAATTTCCTGATTCACAGGGCCTAGAAAATAACCCATTCAATGGTAGAACTGGGGAAAATTCACTCTAGAATACTGAGCTGTGGCCTCTTCAGATCTACAGGTTTAACCTCAGGATCCCATTTCTTCATTCAGTTACTCAATGAAGCACCTACTGTGTGCTAATTAAGTGCCTACTATGTGCCATAAACAAAACTGATAAAACTGCTTTATGGAGTTGGTAGTTTAGGCATGGGAGTAGTAGACAATATAAATTAAATATAGAATGTCGTGGGTGGTAGTTAGGCATGAAACATTAAGGGAAAGCTAGGTCAAGGGACTTTGCTGGCAGAATGTAAAATGCTATAGCCACTGTGGAAAATAGTTTAGTTCCTCAAAAAGCTAAATTTAGAATTACCATATGAGCCAGCAGCTCCACCCCCAGGAATATGCCCCAAAGAACGGAAAGCTGGGATTCAAACAGTTTATACCCATGTAAAGTAGTAGTTGTAGTAGGAGTGGTAGAGGTAGTGCTAGTAATCTTCATTCCCTGTAAATGTGGAAGCAACCCTGGTGTCCTGGGGGAGATGACTGGCCGAACAAAACGTAGTGTGTGGGTCCCAAAGAAAGACCATCATCTTTAAACTGATACATGCTACAAAGAAAAACATAGCCTGCCGCCTTGGCAGAGTGGCAGTGTTGGGAGTGGCGTGGGGTGAGGGAAAGATTACTTTAAGTCCAAGCGGGTTGGCGCAATGAGAAGCCTAGAGGGGCTACACCGGAAGTAACGCGCAGCCCCATCCAAAGGCATCTAGTATTTATCTGAATCATGTACAAAAGTGGGACAAGCGTGGATGGAGTGTACGTGCTGGGAGTATGCATGCGTGGGGGTGCAGTTATCAGGAGGTGAGGTAGGGTGGAGTGACCAGGGCCTATTGCCTGGGGGGCTCCCTTGTTCCTGCTCTTCAAAGCATATTATCTCTAGTCTCCACTCTTACCTAACTTTCTGCTGATCCTTACAAATAAGGAGCTTCAGCTGATCCTGCTAATCTGGCCATAATATCTGCCTGCTGTTTTCAGCAGCTACCGGCTTCCCGGTATGTTCCTCAGACCAGGGCTTTTGTCTTTGGTGAGAGGCCTCCTGCCCAACTGTATGCCTAGCTGACCAGCAGGAACTCTGGGTATCAAGACAATAGCCCCGAGAACAAGGAGGGCCGGGGATCCCACAATAGATAACATTACATGAAGTGAAATAACTCGTCACGAAAGGACAAATAAAGTCTGAGTCCACTTAGGAAATATCTAGAATTGACAAGCTCAGAGACAGAATGCAGATTAGAAGTGACCCCGGTCTGGGATGGGACCTACTATTTCATAGTTAAGAGTTTCTGTTTGAGTTGTAGTAGTTTGCTAGGCTGCTGTAAGGAAATACCACCGAGTTGTTTAGACAACAGAAATTTATATCTCATGATTGTGGAGGCCTCCCAGAGAGATTGAGGTGTCGACAAGATCTTGCTCCCTCTGAAGGCGCCGGGCAAGGCTGTTCCAGGCTCTCTCCCAGCTTCTGGTGGCTCTATGGCTGATGGCAGCATAACTCCAGTCTTCACACGGCTGTGTCCAAATCTCCCCTCTTCCTGGGACCCAGTCATATTGGAGACGGGCCCTGCTCCAGGGTGGCCTCTTAACCACCTGCTTCTGTGGGGACCCTGTTTCCAGATAAGGCTGTATTCTGAGATACCAGGCATTAGGATGTCACCATGTGAATTTTGGGAGCCAAGCTGGCCTACATTGGAGGTGATGGAAAAGATCGACCTACATTGGGGGTGATGGAAAAACTCGAGAAGCAGATGGTAGTGATAGCCCTTAACAGCGAGGCTGCCATCAGTGCCCCTGAACTGTGCACTTGAAGGTGTTAGAGAGGTCTGTTTTATGTTTTACATGTTTTATCACAATAAAAAAAAAAAGTGAAGGTAAGGCAGGGGTGGAGGCTAGGGATATTTGTGTGGGAGTTGGCGAGAGCATCCCTGAGGAGGGGGTAAATTAGGGGAGAATGAGATGGTGGAGGGAGCAGCTGGGAAAAGAGGCTCTGGGGGCAGGTCCTGACTGAGATGAAGCAAGGTGGAGAGGCATGGGAGGTGACGTGGGGACAAGGGGCCTGCTCAGGTAGTGCTTGACGGCCACTCTGAGGGTGCTGGCTTTCCCTCCAGGCACTGGAGGCCCCGGGCAGTGGGTAGAGATCCTTGTAAGGGCAGGAATGGCCACAGTGCAGGTTTTCTGATCCAGCAGACGGGGTAAAGGAGGAGTCAGAGTCCTCAGTGGCTTTTGCAGGTCTTTTACCAGGCATATGGCAGGCAGGGGTCCTGGGGGGCCGGGAGGCTGGCAGGCCTCCCATCTCCCAGTAAATCCTCACTCTATCTGGGCTCTCTGGCCTTCTCTCTGCTGCTCTTCTTTTCTCCGCTTCCATTCGTTCTTGGCTTCTGCTGGCGTCCCCGTGACGCCGCCCTTATAAACTCAGTCTCTCAGCCCAGGTGTACCCACTTCAGGTGCCGCCATCAGGCATGCATTCAGGACCACAGGGTTCCCTCATCTATCCTAATGGCGGGAGGGCAGAAAAGCCTGATACCTTTTCCTTACCCTACAATCCTGTTCTGGGGACCAGAGCTCAGGCCAGTTTAGGTGTCACTGGCAGAGGCGGGACGGGGCTTGCAGCTGGCTGGCCCCCTGCAGTTCCAGTGTTGACCTCTAGGTGTCGTCCTGTCTGCCCTCTCTCCCTCCCCAACCCCAACTCCTCCCGTTGTGGGTCTTCCTAGCTGAGTTCAAGGTTATCTGCCAAGAAATCCGGCTAATTGGGTTCACATTCCAGCTCTGAAACTTCCCAGCTTGGAGACCAAGCAAATCGTTAAGCCAGCCCAGCCTCTGAGGGTAATTCCCTCGCTCTTAAGGAATTATCATGGGGGCTCTGAGGAGATGTGGAAAGCGTCGGTCCAGTTCCCAGCACACAGTGAGCGCTCAGAATGGAGATAGTGACATGATGGGGTGTCCTGGGACTGGGCCCTGGGGACGAAGCCCTCCTGGCACTTGGGCAGGGGGCAGACATCAGAGACCCCTGAGGGACGGATAAGTCCACCTCAGTGTAGCCCAGGGTCAGAGGCCTCTGGGGAGTGAGCTTTACATTTATATATTTATTTTTTAAAAGATTTATTTATTTATACAAGCACTGGGTACAGTCAGAAGCGCGGGAGGGTGAGAGAATTCACCAGAGCCAGAGCGGGGAGCAGAGCAGGCAGAAGGACCGAAGCACACTGCTGAGGGGAGCAGCGGGCGGCAGGAGAGGTCTGCGCGCCATGTGGGACCCTCCTCCGGTGGCCGGGGAGCAGCCGGGGATCTGCGGGCAGCTTTGCAACCCAGCGCTCAACCGCTGCGCCACCGGGGAGGCCCGAGCTTTACATTTAGCCCTAGGTCAGGTAAAGAAAGCCGCTGGGAGAAAAGTGAACCAGTGAAAGCCTGGAACATGGGAGTTGAGGGTGATGTGGAGTGACCAGTTCCAGGGAGGAACAGGGCTTCTGAGCCACACCAGGCAAGGGCGTGACAGAGGGCTGGGGGGCTGGTGGTGGTTAAGCTGTGTGCTGTGGGCGCTCACATGGGCGGCCAGGTACAGCAGGGACGAGAGAGGTGTTTGAGGAGCCTGCCCATGCCAGCCGGGCCACAGAGGCCAGTGGCCCCCACGTCCCTGAGCTCCCTCGTCCTTTAGGAAGCAGAGAAGTGCTCGGCAGTCCCAGCCCCTTGGAGCGCAGCCCTGTGTCCGAGCCCTCCTCCCCAGGACCTGCCACCTCCCCGGCACCTCCAGACCTGGACCCAGAGGTGGTGCGGGGGGCCCTCCGGGACTTCCTGCAGGAGCTGCGGAGCGCCCAGAGAGAACGGGTGAGGCGGGTGTGAGTGGCTGGGTGGGGAGGAGGTGGCCGAGGGCTGCAGGTTGTCAGAGCAGGGTCTTTTCCCCTACCCTCCCCGCCATGTTGGGGCTACAGGATGAGCTTCGAGTCCAGACAAGTACTCTGAGTCGCCAGCTGGCTGAGATGGAGGCCGAGAGGGACAGTGCAGCCTCGAGGGCAAGGCAGCTGCAGAAGGCTGTGGCCGAGAGTGAGGAAGGTGAGCCTGGCATGCTCACGCTTGCTTTTAGCAACTGAGGTGGGCGGCTGGGGCCTTGGTCTGAGCAGCTTCTACATCCCTGATCTGGCCGCTGTGACCCAAGTCCTGGCCTCTCCCCTGGGGGACCCTCCTGGTGGACCCCATCCTTTGTCCACACTGTAGCCCCTCGAGGGCCCAGCGCGGCAGGCCCTGTGGTGGGTGGAGTGCTGGCTGGGCATTTTGCGGCCTGGTTTGGGTCTCAGGGCTGGGCCTGGCCAGGCTGACGGAGCTGGGCCCACAGCCCGGCGCAGTGTGGATGGGCGGCTGAGCGGAGCCCAGGCAGAGCTGGCACTGCAGGAGGAGGGTGTGCGACGCAGTGAGCGGGAGCGCCGGGCGGCGCTGGACCAGGTGGCTGCCCTGGAGCGGAGCATGCAGGCCACCGAGAGTGAGCTCCGAGCCAGCCAGGTAGGCGCTGCGGGCGGGCTGGGGGAGAAGGAACTCTCCTGCCTGAGTGGGTGTCTGTAAGTCCTACTGTGTGCTTCTGTCGGCCTGGGTCCCAGCACCCACTGTAGGCACTAGCCTGTGGCTTTCTCCAAAAGTACCTTTGGATTCCATCATTTCGTTCCATACTGAGATCACTAGGCTGTAGAAGAGCAAGCCTGGGTTTGAGTCTTTTCCCTGTGCCTCGTGGCTTGTCTGAGACTCATTTTCCGTAAACGGGGTGAAGAGGGGGACAATACCTGTCTCCTGGAGATGGTGCAGATGCTAACACAGGGGCCGTGCTTTTTCATCTCTGTGCAGCCACATGAGTGGTGCTCTGGAGTTTTCGTGTGTGTCTGGGGGACAGTTGTGTGTATGTGTTTGCGTGTGCACATGTGTTCAGTCCAGGGAGCACAGAGCACAGGCCGTGCTGGTGTTAGGCCAGACTCCTGAAGCCTCCAGCCCTTCTCGCAGACACAGATCCCCTCCCTCCTCCCTCCCTCCTTCCCCTGTCCTCCCCTGGCCCTCTGGGCTGCCCCCACGGCCCACCCCCTGCTCTGGCTCCCAGCCGGGCTGGAGCTGGATTGTTGTGTCTGCGGCTCCAGCTCTGGCCTTGGGCCCAGCCGCAGGAGGAGGCCGGGAACAAAGCTGGGCAGGAGCCAGAGTGGGGCTGCCGGCTGTAGACCTGGCAGGACTGGAGCTTTGAGCAGGGCGGGAGAGGGGCCAGATCTGGGGGTGGGGGGTTAATAATGACACCCCTTAACCTGCCCTGTCTCTGGGATGGTAGTAGGAAATGAAAGACCGAAGGCTGTTTTTCTGCTCTACCCCCACCCCCAAGCCTCCTTTACTGTCTAACCCCACATGAGGAAGGGAGGAGCATCACCCCCCAAACCTCAGAAGGCCCAGGGCTCCTGCCTGTTCACACATGGCAGCTTCTGGGCCCAACTCTAGAGAGCAAGGCAGTGAGCAGGAGAGGCCCTGGAATCTGCATTTGGACAATCCTCTCCCTAGCGCTCTGAACACGGGGTTGTGGTATCCGTGGGCCAGTCCAGGCCTCCCACTCTACAGAAGTGAAATAGTGCCAGAGAGCAGGAAGGGACAGGCCTGGGTCACACAGCTGGTTAGATGCAGCCAGAACTGGGCAGTGCTCTGGGAGCCTTGGGTCAGCCCATGTTGTGAGCAGTTGGGGAGACTGAGGCCCCAAGAGGGTCCTGGACTTGCCCCAAGTCCCACAGGGAGTGCTTGGACTGCCACTTCGAGGCTACTCCCCACTTCCCTGTCAGGGTCCTAAGGGAGGTGGGCGCTGTGGGTGGGCAGGACAGCTGGGGCCTGAGCTGTCCCCCCCACACAGGAGAGGGTCAGCAAGATGAAGGCCAATGAGGCGAAGCTGGAGAGCGACAAGCGACGCCTGAAGGAGGTACTAGACGCCTCCGAGAGCCGCACCATCAAGCTGGAGCTCCAGCGGCGCTCGCTTGAGGGGGAGCTGCAGCGTAGCCGCTTGGGCCTGAGCGACCGTGAGGCCCAGGCCCAGGCCCTCCAGGACCGGGTGGACTCTCTGCAGAGGCAGGTGGGTACCCTCCGCCGTTGCATCCTCGTCATCTGCAACTCCGGGCCCCTTCGCTTTACAGAGACTACACAGCCCTCCCAACAGTGGCGTGAGGCTTATCATCACTGTGAGTGTTATTCCCATTTCACAGATGGACAAATGGAGGTTCAGAGAGGTGATGTCATTGCCCAAGATCTCACAGCTAATTAAAGGCAGAATCTTAATTAGAATTTAGGACTGTTTGACAATAGAATATGCACTCATAAAAGGCATATGGGGCCAGTTAGAGATTTAACTTTTCCCTTTTTGCTTTGGCCACCAGGAAGCTCAGCTCTCCATGATTTACCCAGTAAAGTAAAGAACATAGAGAATTTAGAGGTTGTTGTTGCTCTTTCTTCTCTATAACACGGAAGAAAGAGGAATGAGAACAGAGAGGAGACCACAGGGTCTGAGACATACCAGGTTAATGGCTCTCTGGATGAGGGTAGTTCACTGACCCAGGGCCGGGCCAGTTTGCAGCAGGTGGAGCCAGTGGGAGCACGTGGGAACAATGAATATCAATGATGAGGGTCCAAAGAGGTGGGAAGGGTTGGGCACAGCTGCTGGAGCTCACGTAGAGCAGGGACACTTAGGTCCTGTCTGTCCTCCTGCCAGGTGGCAGACAGTGAGGTGAAGGCGGGCACACTGCAGCTAACAGTGGAGCGACTGAGTGGGGCCCTGGCCAAGGTGGAGGAGAGTGAGAGGGCCTTGCGGGACAAGGTTCGGGGGCTGACAGAAGCCCTGGCTCAGAACAATGCCAGCCTCACCAGTACCCAGGACAAGAATCTGCACCTACAGAAGACCCTGACCGCCTGTGAACATGACCGCCAAGTGCTCCAAGTATGGGGGCCTCGGGGGCTGCCTGGTGGTGGGTCCAGAGACGTGGGGACTCTGACCCAGTCAGTGAGAGCAGCTTAGAGGAACCCTGGTACAGGGCCAAGGGGGCAGAGTCGGGGTCTGAGTCATCCCCACCTCCAGCAGGCCAGTGGATGGGCTGTGAGCCAGGCTGTTGGCTCACTCTCGAGGTGTTTGTGGCCCAGAGATACAGAGTAGAGGACCCCTGTGCAGCAGGGCCTCCAGGCTGACCGCACCATGGGCCCTACCCCCCAGGAACGGCTGGACGCCGCACGGCAGGCATTATCTGAGGCCCGGAAGCAGAGCAGCTCCCTGGGTGAGCAGGTGCAGACAATGCGGGGCGAGCTGGCGGACCTGGAGGTGCAGCGGGCGGAGGCCGAGGGCCAGCTGCAACAACTGCAGGAGGTAAGGCCAGGGCAGGCCCCGTCTCTCCATCCCCAGGACTGGAGGCCCCTGGATGATGTGGGGACCTTCTCACCCACCCTACCCTACCCCAAACCTGTCCCAGCCTCCTAGGAGAGCATGGTTCATTCAGCCCATACCCCCATCATACAGATGGAGATAGTAAGGCCCAGAGGGACTCTGCCCTCAGGTGGCCCCCATGCGGGCCTCACAGTCATCCTGCCTTGGGTGAGTGGGCAGGCTAACACCATCAGCCCCAAGTGTCACATGTACACACAGGCCCGGAGGGCTCAGGGGCTTGCTGGCTTTTCTGCAGGTGTTGCGACAGCGACAGGAGGGCGAGGCCGCGGCCCTGCACGCCGTCCAGAAGCTGCAGGATGAGCGGCAGCGGCTGCAACGTGCCCTGGCGCAGCTGGAAGCCGAGAAGCAGGAGGTGGAGCGGTCGGCATTGCGGCTGGAGAAGGACCGGGTGGCCCTCAAGAAAACTCTGGACAAGGTGGGCTTCCCCCCCAGGGCCTTCCCCTCACTTCCTCTGGATCCCGACCCAGACCCCTCTGGCTGTCCTGGCAGCTTGTGCCCAGGGCCTGGGAGCCTTGGGTCTTTCCTGGCCTCTGCTCCTGCTGCCTCTAACGTAATACCCCTCTCGGAACTGTTTCCCCTTCGGGGACCGCCCTCCCTCCCCAGGCACCCTCTGTCCCCTTCCTCTCTGTCCTCCCCTGGGCACCCTGATTCCCTCCGGCTGTTCCCACCTAGGTGGAGCGGGAGAAGCTCCGCAGCCACGAGGACACGGTGCGGCTGAGCGCAGAGAAGGGCCGCCTGGACCGCACGCTCACGGGGGCTGAGCTGGAGCTGGCTGAGGCCCAGAGGCAGATCCAGCTGCTGGAGGTAGGCCGTGGACACCCACCCCTGGACACTCCGCCTCTCCCTAGCCCTGGGCCCCTACCCTACTGCCTGGCTGCCCCAGCAGCTGTGATAGCTCGGCCAGCCCAGACTCCTCAACCCCCGCAACCCTCGAGCAGACCCTCAGAGAGGGAGGCAGAGGCGGGTCCCAGAGGGAAGCATCTTCCCCAAAGTAGCCTGTCAGCATGTGGTCATGCACATGGTGGACGTGTGCGTATCCTTGTCCTCGAAGCACGAGTAGGAGCCTAAGTACCAGGAGTCCACATACATGTGTGTGTCTGTGCAGCCCCTTCACGTGTGCAGTATCGGGCTTTTGCACATACATGTGCATCTGTGTGAACGTGGATGAGTGTTCACATGCTTGTCTCTGTGCCTGTATGTATCGGGGCCTGTAGCAATGTTTGAATGTTTCTCTGTGTGTTCTGTTCACACACGCACACACGTGTGAATGGGGGTGCCTGGGCACCCTGACCTAGGATTCGCAGGCCCGAGGGCCAAGGTGAGGGACAACTAGGATCTCTCCTGCAGCCCCTGCCCGCACTCCCCTGCCCGAGGAAGCTTCAGGCACAAACCCCCATACAAGGCCAACCCCCAACTAGCAGCTCCTCCTGCAGGCCCAGGTGCTGGCCCTGGGGCAGAACCACAGCCCGGCCCAGCTGGAGGCAGACGAGGAGCAGCAGCAGCAGCAGCAGAGGCTGGAGCTGCAGCGGGAGGTGGAGCGCCTGCGCAGTGCCCAGGTGCAGACGGAGCGCACCCTGGAGGCGCGGGAGCGGGCCCACCGGCAGAGGGTGCGTGGGCTGGAGGAGCAGGTAACTGGCTGGCAGGGGCGGCCCCTCCCCAGGGAGTTGCGAGCTGCAGAACCAGCAGGACTCCCTCTCGGGAGGCTGGGCCTGATGGTAGTGGGGAGCTGCAGGAGGGGGCCAGGCTGGTCATGACCTCTGGGGTGTAAGCAGCCAGCGGCCCCCCGACAGAAACGGTGGCTCCAGAGTGGTATCAACCGAGGCCGGACCTGGGGCTCAGTCCCTTTGCTCTGCTCCATACCCGGCAGGCCCTCTCGCTGGGCAACAGCTCCAGGCTGGGGTTATCTCAACTCCAGACCCTAGAGGAGAGGGGGTTCTTTCCCTGCCCCCCAGCAACAACCAGAGTCCCAGGGATGATCCTTAACTGGCCAGCTTAGGTCATAGGCCAGGCCTGGAGCACAGGTTCGGGTCTGAAGATGACTTGGGGTGCGGTGGACCCCAAAAATGCACTAAGGAGTCAGAAGACTGCTACTAGGAGCAAACTGAGAAAGGGCGCCCTCATTCTTAGACCCGGTTTTCCTGAAACAGGCAGCACTGGGTCCCTTCTGCAGCTGAGGGGCCCCCCATCACTCACCTCCCTTTCTCTGCAGTCAGACTGGGGACCTAGGCTGCTCCTACCCCTTCCTTCTCTAGGTGTCCACACTGAAGGGACAGTTGCAGCAGGAGCTTCGAAGGAGCTCCGCGCCTTTCTCCCTGCCGGCCATCTCCCCAGAGAAATGAGCCCCTTCCTGCTGGCGGCCGTGACCAGGACAGGGGGGGCCTCCTCTCCAGCACAATCACCCGCAGCCTGGGCCCGTTGGGGCCCCAGAGCCCGGCTGGGGTGAGGAGCAGCAGAGGGGGCGGTGCTGAGAGCCACGGCCCCAGTGCTACACCCCCACACCCGCAGCGGCTTCCCAGCGCTTCAGAACCCCCGCGATCTGTGAGCCCCTCAGTCCAGGCGCCCTCTAGGACCAGCCACTCCACACTGTAGAGGAACCCCTGAAGTGACTAGGGAAGCCAGGGGCTGGGGGCCCCTAGCTAACACTGGAATAAGGGGCAGAGGAGGGGCCCGGGCAGGGGTCCAGGCCGGCCTCTGATTTCCCAGAGCCCTCTCTGCCTTTGGCGTGTTCATCAGGAAAGTCCTACGTTCAGAGTCCCTGTATTTTTATACCTTTTTACCATGTTCATTGAAATTGTTGTTTTGTAACGGGAAACCCACTTTTCTAAAAACCCTTTGTGCAGACTCTTCCTTTGCTATCACTGTGCCCCTCCCCGGTGCTGGAGGGGACGCAGGCGCGACTGGGGAGGCTTTAGGGGGGTCTGTGTGGAGCCGGAAGGAACTGCCCTCTCTCAGGCTGTCGGGTGAGGTGGCCGTGGGGAAGACGCCCACCCCAACAGACAGGCCCCCGAGGCTTGGGCTGTGACCCCACCTGCGGGGTCCACGCTTTCCAGGCTACGCTTTCTGCCCCCTCTGGGGCCCTCCCTAAAGACAGGCCGCCCCCTGCAGCAGCAGGCAGGCCTCTGGGCAGCCTGGTGAACAAGTGTAGGCCTTGGGGTGAGAGGGAGGTGGGGTCTCAGCGGGAGGGTGAGAGGGGGGTGGGGTCTCGCCCTGGCTCTACTGAGGGTGCGGCTTCATCACCCAGAGCCTCAGTTTGCTCCCCCATGAAGCCGACCCCTGCTCCGGGGGTCCTGGGTGGCACAGGTGGGAGGAGCTGCGCTCATCCCCGCGTCTACCGAGTCAGGTTCTGCCCCAGCGCTGCCAGTTTGGGCTGTGGGCCCTTGGGCTTCGCTCCCCTGCTGTGAGGGGTTTAACTGCACCCACCAGCAGGCCTGTGTGGAGCTGAAACACGGCTGTGGGGAGGTGTTATAAGTGGCTCAGCTGCATCTGTCATCTGACCTGAACCAGCCTCCCCCCACCAAGAGTCCTCGACCATCCGCCACCACCCCCAATGCGCTCATGGCTCCACACAGCGGCTGTGAATTTTGGCTTGTACCCCTCTGTTGATGGGGGACTCATGCCCTCACTCAGCAGCCCTGACCATGAGCAAGCCACGTCCCTGAACCTTCTATTTCCGATGGGAGAGAGAGAAAGACACATACACCCCCCCCACACCCCCATCCCCCCAGGGTGAGGCGGCAGGGCTGGGGCTACAAAGGCCAGAGCGTGGGTCACCCCAACACACCCTTCTCCCCAGAGGCCGAAGCCTCTCAGCACTGGCAGTGTTGGGGCCGCCTGCCCCCCTCTGCGGTCTCCCCTGAAAAGGTGACTCTGAATCTTTTGTAAAAATGTGTTTTTAATTTTGTATAAAACAAAGGTGGCCTATGCCCAGGGCTGTAGGAAACCCAAGCAGACCAGCTGGGGTGAGGGGCATAGCCTACCTGGGGGGGGGGGGAGGGGGCTGTCCTCAAACGGAGGAGAGGCGCATGAGAGCCCGGGTCCCACAACCAGGCCTGGGGTGCCCCTCACCCAAGGGTGAAGACTGGGTGGGGGGGAGTCCCACTGCCCTGGGGCCAGGCTGGGAGAGGGGCCAGAGGCGACCCCCAGGGCCACAGTCCACTACCTTTTTACAGAATACAAGGAATGTTGGGCTGGGGAGAAAAGCACCAGGTCAGACAGGGCCCAAGGGCCCCAGATCTGAAGAGCGTCCAGGGTTTGGGGTTCCAGCGCCACCCTAGCAGCCCCCGCAGCTCCTGACACAGGAGGCTGCCACGGATTGACACAGGCCACTGCTGGCCATCACGCCACATTTGGAGAACTTGTCCCGGCATAGGTCAGCTGTTGGGGAGCAGGAAGGAGTTGGGGTCAGGGTGGGGCTCCTTCCCCCGCTGCTGATGGAGGAGGCTCTGAGGATGAAAAGCACCTGGAGGGGAGCGCAGGAACCCCCCCCCGCCCCCAAGCGCAGGCCCATGAGCATCAGGTGGGTTGTTCATAAGCATCAGGTGGGAGAGGTCCCGGGGTGAGACCTTCCTACCTCGGAGGAGCTCCTCGTGGGCACAGACCGTGCGGACACAGATCTCCCTGTTGACCACGTACACGCGGCGGAGGCTGGGGAGCAGGCCAGGGGCAGCGTCAGCCGCCCGGCCCAGCCCCGCCGGGAGAGCCGGAACAGAGCCTGGCACGGGGGCCCGGAGTCCCCGCCCCCAGCCAGGGCTCCACCTGAGTTGAGTCTGGCTTCAGGGTAGCCTCCCCCACCCCCCACCCGGCGGACTGAGCTGGGCCCGGCCTCCCAGGCGGCCTGTGCTCACCTGTAGAAGCAGATCTCGTTGAGACACTGTTTGCAGGGTTTGTGGATGGAGTAGAGTCGGGTGCAGGGGTACTGCTCCTCGCGGCAATCTGGGTGGCAGGCGGGGTCAGACCAGGGGTGGCAGCTTGGGGCTCAGAGCTGGGGAGCAGCCCACAACCTCCCCCAGGGACTGGCTCTGAGGGTCAGTCCAGGCACCCCCCACCCCCGCCAACCCAGGCACACACAGCATTGCTGGACCTCCCAGGGCTGCCCACTTTTGCACAGTACTTATGAGTGCACATACCCACAGCCACAGTCAGAAGCGTATATTCAAACACGTACGTTCAAGCACAAATCCACACCCACCAGTCACACAAGTCCGCGGCAAGCTCAGCAGGTCCGAGCACGCTCAGCGCACACGCAGGCGCCTGCGAGCTCACGGCTCTCGTGCTCTCGGGAGCGGCTGCACTGGGACGCACAGGGCCCTCCACTGGCCCGGCTTCCTGCCCCTCCTCATTTCGCCAGCCACCAGCACCCCCAGTCCCTCTGGCAGGATGCCTCCAGCACTCTCCCTGGTCCTCCTCGTCCCCCCAGCATGTGGGAGTAGCGGGCCCTCCTGAGGCTGCGGCCAACTCAGCCTCCAGCCAGGCCCAGGGGGCAGGGGCTCTGCCAGAACTGCCTAGGGGGCCCCGGGGTTGCCAGCTTTAGGCAGGGACACGTCTGCAGGTCCCCACCGCCACCCGCCACAGCTGAGCAAAAGGCCTGGCTCCTCCTGTCCTACCAGCGCTGCACCTGCCCTGCCCCAGCTTCTGGGCGGTGCCTCAGTTTCTCCAGTGTCAAGACAGCAAACTTACCAAGAGGCCCAGGCTCCGTGGGCTCCGTCTCTGAGTTTCCTGGTTCTGGCGTTGGATGGCAACAGGCAGAGATTATTGAGAGGGTCTATTCAGGGCTGGGAGGTCACCTCTCCAGCTCCAGCCACACCTCCCCACCCCAGGGTTCAAGGAGCTTGTGGCCTACCTGGGGTGGGGGCCGCAATGACTTCCTGTTGCACTTCTTGCTGGGATTGGAACTGGAACTGCTCCTCGGGAGGCCGAGCAGTCACCTCTGTGACAGGAGATGATAAGGGGGGCTGCCCCCTCCCCCCACCCACCCCTCCGAGATGGCCCCCGCCCTTTACCTTGATAATCATAGTAGTCCGGGTTGTCTGAAACAAGATGAATGTGGAATTGGTGGGGGTCATTTGCCAGCTCGTGAGTCACGACCGAGTGGGGGACTAGCCTCTGTGATCCCCATCACCCCTGCCTGGCCGCTGGCTGAGCCCTGCACACCTGGGAGCCGGGCCTTGGTGATGGGCAGGTGGGGGAGGCCTGGGGGAGGCCAGGTCCTTACCAATCTGGTCGTTGTAGTGGGTGTACTGGACGTGGTCCGGGAATGGAGGCAGCGGGTCCAGGTCATACTGGCCCTGAGCCAGCAGGCCTGCAGTCAGGGAGGCAAAGTGTGAGGGGGTACCCTGCAGGGAAGGACAGCAAAGCCCCAAGCGCTTCTGGGGAGGGTCGGTAGAGGTTCAAGGGCTGTAAAAGCCTAGGCTCCTCTAGGTTCCCAGACCCACGGGATTCAACTCCTTCCTTCCTGGACCGGACGCTCCTGGGCCCTCACTGACTTCACCCCGCCCCTCTCCCTCTGGCTGGCTCCTGGCTGCTTCAGGAACTCAGCACCCTCCTGCCTGTCCAGGGCGTTTGCACTTGACTCTCCCCGGGCCTGTGCTATCTAATCTACTCCTTTAAGTCTCAACTGAAAGGTCAGGTCTGCTGAGAGGCCCTTGCTGGCCATCCACCCGCACCGTCTCATCCTCGGGTTAATTTCCACTGGAGCACAGCACAGTCTGACATAAATCATGTCTCCTTGATCATATGGGCCTCCCTTCCCTAGACTGGCGGTACCGTGAGGGCAGAGATGTGTCTGCCTAGCACAGTGCCTGGCACATATTCGAGCTGAATAAATCTCTGTTAAGTGAATGAATGTGATGGTTCCTCATTTGACCAAGAGGGACTTTGTCAAGGTCAAGACTGTGAAGGGTGCTGGGGTCCAAATGAGTCTAGAGCAGGGATGCCACTGTTGGGGGTGCTGTGGGCAGGGCCCAGGAGGGGTCCATTGGGAGGGGTTGGCCAGCCACTGTGGTCCAGGAGGCAGGAGGACCTGGGAGCTGCCGGGCAGGTTCTGGCCAATAGGCATGACAGAAGCCCACTGCCAGTTTCCACAAACCCGACTCACACCCCACCTGAGACCCACAGCCCCAGGACCACTTACCGGGCAGGAACAGCAGGAAGAGGTAGGCAGCTCTCATGGCCACGGGTGAGGCGGCTGGGCTGGTGTCAGAGGACAGCTGGAGGGAGGGGGGTTGCGAGCTGCATCCCAGGCCCACTCCCCCAGGCCTGCAGAGCCCCCCTCGGCCCCCCAGCCCCAATTCAGAAAGAGGCACTGGGAATACACACTCTAGAGAGTTGGGGGGCAGGCAGTGGGGGGGCGGGGAACTACTTAGGAGGGACATTCGCTGTCCCTGATGGTCCATCTGGGCGCTGGGATTCTGAAGGACAAGATCTCCAACCTGGCTCCAGGGCTGTTCTTGACACATGGGCAAACCCCACTCTGCCCGGCTCACAGAGCAAGCATTTCCAATTCCCCAGCAGCCATGAGGCCTTTCTGGGCTAGCACCTCCCCAGGTGGCAAACGATAGTGGGAATCTCCGACCCGCTCATCTTCCAGCGTCTCAGCCTGGACTCAGCAGCGTGGCCAAGCCCACCACCTGCTCCCAATTAGCCCCTGAGCATCTTGCTCAGCAGGAAAGCACATGCTCACAGGCCCCAGGGGCCCCGGGGCAGCCAGGCCCGGGCAGGGCTCCCAGCCCCATAAGACTCCTCTCCTGCCAGGCCTCCAGGCCTCCCAAGACCTGGCCGTCTTCATCGCACACTCACGAGACTGAGGCCTATTTGTCTGCAGCAGCAGGAAGCACTTAGGGTGGAGCCTGATGAGGGCTTCTCTGGATCCTAGAAGGGCAGCCCTGGAGGGGACCATGATGTCACCCAGCCCGTGGCTCTGAACCCCCTGACACTCTGACAAGTGGTGTGTGTAATTTTTCTTGGAGAGGGCATCGGGCCATAGTGTCCACCAGGCGCTTGAGACCGGCCAGCCTCTAGTCTGGCTACACAGTGGACTTGGCAGAAGCGTCTGCTGGGAGGGCTGGGAGAAAGCCCACGGGCTCACCCATCCGGGAGGGTCCCCTCCCTGCCCGCCGAAGCACGTTCTGTAGACAGCTAGCTGCAGAGCTGGCTTGGCCTAGCCCTCGCCCCCACCCCCACCCCCACCCAGGGAATCCAGGGAGAGGGGAAGAAACACGGGCACATTCCCTCCTCCCTCCGGGTCCTGAGGCCTGCGTCCTCCACCCCAACCCATGTTCAGCACCTCACTGTCAAGCCTCACCCCAGTGGAGAGGACATCGATGTGGGGGGCTGGGCTGGGGAGAGGGACTCAGAACTCAAGCCGCCCAGTGCCAGGGAACACCTGGCTCCCCACATCCCTAGAAACCTTTGGCCCCATGACTCAAAGACCTGGGGAGGCTGAAAGACGGGGCGCTCCATCCCTGCAGCTCCTCACAGGCCTCCCTCCCCACCTGCTCCTGTCCCCCGAGGCTGAGGCTGGTGGGGTCAGGCTGTTGGGAGCTGTCACTACTCACAAGACCCTGAGCTGGGGCCTCAGAGGTGGGGGGGTAGGGATGTCCCTCTGGCCCCAAAGCCCTTCATTGCTGGGCCCTTCAGCAGGTCTGGCCCCCAGGCACATGTTTATTGAGGGACGGGGCCCCCAAGACAAGGGGTGGGGCTGTAAGAAGAGAGGTGTGGGAGTAGCAGATCCTTCCCAGGGGACGCATCTCCAAGAACTTCTAGAGGAGACTTTCGGGGTTACGAGGGAGGCCAGGACCTGCCTGGGAGGCTGTCCCCCACCTTCCGCGCTGCAGATCCCCCACCCCCCGCAGGTCCGAGGAGGAGGGGGCCGAGCCGGGCCTCCTGGGGGCCCTGCCCCCACGCTCCCGCGGCGGAGGGGGGCCGCGGGGAGCCGCCGCTGGAGGAAACCAGATGTTGCTGCGCCCGCACAGCTGGAAACAATCAGTCACGGAAACTTGCTCGGCCGCCTGCCCCCGCGCTCTCTCGGGCTCTGATCTCTTTTGTCTCTCCGCGTCTCTGTCCCCGCCGACACCCCCACCCCAGCCGCCACATTCCGCCGCCCGGGGAGAACAAAAGCCGCCCCCAGCCTCGACGCCCCACTTCTGGTTCCCTGCAGACTCGCGTTCCCCTCCCTTCTCCACGCGCGCGCTCCCCCGCAAGCGACCCCAAACTTTCCACGCGTCCTCTTAGCATCTGCCCTGACGGCCCCAGCTTCAGGGTCCCGGGCGACCGCCCCCGGGATGGGGGGCCGCCAAGTCCGGCACCCCACCCCCCGCCATGCCCCTGCGCGCGCGCGATCGGGCCCCCCGCGCCCCCAGAGCTCCTGGCCGGGTCAGGCGGCCAGACCCGCGCCTACCTGTCCCGGTCACTCCGCCGCCCGCTCCGAGTCCGCCCGCCAGAGCCGCCCCTTTGCCCGCTCCGAGCCCCCCTCCGGGCCCCCGACGGGGCGGGCGCCCGCCCTCCAGCCCCGGAGCCGCTGGGTCCTAACGCGAGCGCCCCTGCGGCCGCCGCCAGCCCTCGGGTCTCCCACCCCAGGGCAGCCGGGTCGGCTCGGGGTCGTCGCAGGGCGCGCGCGTGCCACCTGGCAGTGCCCTTTCTCACCCTCGCCCGAGCGCTTCTGGCCTGCAGGCAGCGTTGCCAGGGGGTTCGTGGCTCCATTTTACAGAGGGGAAGACCAAGGCCGTAAAGGTGATTTGTTCAAATCCACTTAGCTAGAAAGTCAGTCTTGTCCTCCTCGCTGGCGTCTCCCAGCCTCAGGACACCTTCCCTGGCCATTTAGCAGTTCCCGCCCTTAATCCCTTTCCTCTGCCGGCCACAGGACCTTTGCTCAAGCTGTTTCTTCCTCCTGGAACACGGGTCGAGGTCTGCCTCCTTTGGGTTGCAGGTCAAGGCCTCCTGCCTTTCGAGGAGCCTTCCCTTGCTCCCTGCTCAGCTCTTCAGCTCCTTCTGCTTTACTGCCCACAGCTGTCAGGTTCCCTGTCTGTGCCAGACTCAGCGCTGTCCAGTAAGCATTTGTGGAATGAATGAAGGAGTGGCTGTCCACTCCGTTCTAGTGGGAGAGACTGACGGGGTGGGGTGGGGTGTGCAGGGCCCCTACGTGGCCACAGTTGCCTAGACCTGAGGCTGGGGATCCCTATGGGATGACCAGGGTCGCTATCAGACCTCCTCACCCCCTAGTCATGCCCCCCACCCCCAGCTGTCCTTAGATGCTGAGTCCTATTAGGCAGAAACTAAATATGCATCGTTTGTTCCCCAGGGCTGGTTTGTCAAATGACTGAATGAATAAAAAGAATAACTACCTGCCACTCCCCTGCAGTGTCCAGTGCAGCACTGGGGCTTTAGTCACAGGGAGGTTAGTGGGCCCTGGGGACTAGTCCAGCCCTCCCTGCCCCCTTAGACCTTCCCTGCTGCCAGGGCAAGCCTGCTGGGATGGGCGAGAGCTGCCCAGAAGAAACCTGTACCCTGCACTTGACAGAAAGGGGAAACAGATCTCCAAGATGGCAGTTTGTATCCTGGTTCCAGACCCTCCCTGCTGCTTCTCCCCACTCTCCCGGTCCTAAGGCCCAAGCAGAGACAGCAGCTACTGGGGGAGGGGTGTGGGTGCCCATACACCTTTGGGAGAAAGGCTCCTTCCCCGCCCACCTCTCATGCTGGGCTACACGCTGCAGACAGGCAGAGGCCGTTTTTCCTTCCCGGCTCTAGTTCCTGTGCCCAGCACATGGCTGCCAGGAATACTCTAGATCAGGGGGAGGGAGGAGTTTGAACCCTGGCCTCTCTGAGTCCTCCGTCTCCCCCGCCACCCTGACCCGTGGCTGACCTTTGACTCAGTGCCCAGTGCAAGTCTGTGACTGCGTCTGACCGGTTACTGTCCCGCTCCTGTCCCACCCCCACGCCCCTTCTTCCATCACAGCTGCATGTTCACTCAGCTCGCACTGGGGCAGGCCGAGGGACGGCACCAGGACTTCCCGTAAAGAGGTTGGCAGGGGGTTTGGAGAACCAGGAACAGCCTTCCCGTTCTCCCCTGCCCGGTATGGAGGGCCTGAAGACCCATCTCTAGAGAAGGGCTTGGCCTGAGTCTGACTAGGGGGATGAAGTCAGAAGCACCCACCCTTCCCCGGGGGATGGCGCACAGGGTTCTGGCTGGGAGATGCAGGCTCTGCGCCTGGAGTCTTATCTAGCACGCCCTGGGCTGTGGGGGCTGGGGAGATAGGCGCCGCCCCAGTTAAAAGCCTCCTAGGTGCTGGCACTTAGTGGGCACTGGTCTGAGCCAAGTCCCGCTCTGCCTGCCCTGCCAGGAGGGTAGGAAGGTTGAGTATGGATGCTGGTTCCATCTCTGCCTGCCTATGTGGCCTCTAAGCCTCAGTTTCCTTGTCTATGAAGTGGGGCGAAGCTCCAGTTGTGGGGATTAAATGACAGTGCACCCAAATGCTGAACGGGTGCCTGGCTGAGGAAACACTGTCACGTGGGGAAACACAGGCCCAGAGAGGGGAGCTGTCCACTGTGACCTGAAAAATCAAGGGGTGCTGGGAGCAGGCAGATGCCAGGGGCTGCCAGCAGGGTACCGGGTCAGTGGCCCCAGGGAGGAGACAGACACGGCCGAACCAGGAAAATATCATGACTTTATTCGCTACAGCGACAGCAGCTCTGGGTGGGGCTGGAGGCTGCTGTCTCTACGTGGGATACTCTGAAGTGGGGACAACAGATTTCCCAGGGTGGGGGCAGGGGAGGCTGGGCCGGTGTGACAACTCCCAGCCTGAGGGCCGTGGGGGTGACGGTGGTGGTGTCGTGGAGAGATGGTCCCAGTTGTGGCTCAGAGGCAGGGAGATCCAGTGTTCAGGGTGCCCGAGCGGGGCCTGCGCTACCTCCCGGGCCGGGTGGGTGGCAGCCAGGGCTGCTCAGCCAGCTCCCGCTCCAGCTGCTTGAAACGCTTCTTGGAGGCCCGTTTGGGCTGGAGCCGCCGCAGGCAGGCCGGGAGGCAGTGGTCCAGCACGCTCTGTGCAGGCAAGGGGGGCGCAGAGGGCAGCTGAGGCCACGTCCCACCACAGCCCTCTGCCAGCCCCCGGGGGCGGGGGGGGGGAGCCCACCTCTAGCATGAAGGCTCCCACCGAGTTGAAGGCGACCAGCCCCAGCAGCAGCAGCTTGAAGCAGGTGTCAGGGATGTTCCTCAGCGCCAGCGGCCCCTGCAGGACGCCGGGGGCCAGGAGGACACCCACCAGCACGGAGCCCAGGAGCGCCAGGGCCACCAGGAAGGGCACTGCGGGCAGTGAGTCCATGAGGCCGGGACACACACGCACCTCCCCTCCATCCTGTGCCCCCCACAGCCCCTCCCTCCCTGTGCCCCCCGCCCCACCGCACAGCAGCACCGTTGGTGTAGAGAGGCCGGCGGAAGGGCGCCCCCTTGGACACGGCCGCGGCCAGGATGAGGTACTGGAAGCCGGACACAGAGAACACCACGGTGTTCTCGTAGTTGGGCAGGTTGTCTGGCGCGGGCACCGTCCTGTTCAGAGGCACAAACCTGGGGGTGCAGGGGCCAGGCGGTCAGGGAACCCGCATGAGGAGCACATGTCAGGGGTGGGCGGGGGCGGCCTCCCCACTCACCAGGGCTGGGTGACGGTCAGGAAGTAGCTCCCCAGCTGCACTCCGGCCACCAGGGCCACCTGCAGCAGGAGGCTGCTCAGCACCGGCACGCTGAGCAGTGCCCCCGGCGGCCGCGCCCGCCCCAGTGCCAGCGCCGGCCCCGTGCGGCTCATGAGCACGGCCACCGTGGTGGTGATGACCAGGTCGATGGCCAGGAACTGCACGTCACCCAGGTTGGTGTTGATCTGTCGGCAGGGGAGGGGGCAGAGGGGAAACTGAGAGCTGACCTAAGTTCAGCGCAGCCCCAGGGGAGCCCCCAGTGTGATATGGGAGGCACAGCTTCCTTGAGAAGACTCTGCCTTGCCTTCAGGGAGCCTCAAGTCTGACCTTGAAAGGCCCAAATCTGATGGGACAGGTCCCCTGTACCCACAGGGGACTCCAAGCCCGCAGGAGAGACTTAGGCTCTGCCTTGTGGACCTCCAGGCTTCTAGGGACACAGTTCCTGGCCTCAGGAAACTCCAAGATTAAAGGTGGACACGGCACAGAAGGAGGCGCCAGATCTGCACCGCCCCCTGGCATCATCTGCTTTCGTGGTGTGTGGGGGGCACCATGTGCTCAGAGCAGGGGGAGGGAGCAGGGTGTGAGGGTTTGGCCACGCCCCATGCCTGGGCTCTGCCCCAAACCCCCTGCAAGGGCTGTGGTGGTGGGTTTCCTGGAAGGCAGGACAAATCATCAGCACAGGCCAGCTGCTCCTGTTTCTGAGGCCCTACTGTGCACCAGGCTCCGAGCCCAGCGCTTTCACCACCGCGCACAAGCCTAACCCCCCAGGCTCAGGAGGCACTCAAGCCACACAGTCAGAAAGCGACGGAGTCAGGATTTGAAGCCACGCCATCGATTCCAGAACCTCCTAGCCACACTGCTGGGAGTCCGCACCCTGGGCCTGGCACGGGGCCTGCTCCCCAGCATGACTCTGGCTGGCACACGCACACACTCACTGTGTAGAGGAGCAGGACCGAGATGAACTGGGTCAGGCTGTACAGGGCCATGTACTTGAAGACGCTGAATGACGTGTCGAGGGAACAGCGGCCTTCCCTGGGGAGCAGGTCTGGGCGTCAGGGACCCTCACTGGCTGACCAGCCTTGCCCTACCCAGGCCTGCTGCCCCGACTGTCTCACCTGATGACCATGGGCACACACTCGATGCTGGCCATGCTCGAGGTGAAGGGCGAGACCACCGAGGCCTCGGCCTGGGAGAGTGAGATGCCCACGTCAGCCGCCTTCAGGGCCCCGCAGTCATTGGCGCCGTCCCCACACATGCCGACGCAGTACCTGGCGGGGGGGCAGGGTGGCCCTGAGCCCGAGAGCGCTGCCTCATGTGTGCGGTAACTCCACCCGCCTCCTGGGCTAGAACTCGGAGGGCTGCGTGCCCACTGTCTGCATGGGCCCGGCACACAGTAGGTGCTCAGGAAGATGGGTACAGTGACTACCTGGAGCGCAACAACCTGGGGGAACCGCTTGGTTCTCTCAGAGGCTGTGGGCGCTCTACTGCCCGAGGAGGGAGGTGGGGCTCTGAGCAGCTGGCGCCACCCCCACCCCCAGCCCCCGCCATGGGCACTCACTGAAGCTTCTGCAGCTCACACACCAGCTCTGTCTTCTGCTCGGGGGCCATGCGGGCGAAGACAGTGCCCTGGACCAGGACCTGGGGACAGAGGGAGACGGAGAAGGGACTGAGGCAGCCAAAGACCAGACCAGGATGGGGAGAGCCAAGAGGAGGGAGCGAGTCGGGGGAGGCACGGGGTGGCCAGGTGTGTCGGGGGACAGCCC